TGCTTCTCATTTTTCTTCATTCAAAACTTATTGTTTTCATATTTATCTTTGCAATTGAAGAAGATTTGATTTAAACTCGTTTTTCTAATCTGTTTCCAACAGCACGGTCCAAAGATGGCTCACAACTGCTCCTGGTGCACCTACAACACATTGGTACCAAATCAGATGTGTTCTCTCGCAGCCTCTTTACGTAATGGCAGGTCAAGAGATCACTGGTAGACTTCATTTGATAGCCCACAGTGCTCAGAGTTACACCATAGATCTAACTTTGTCAGGTCCAATTTGCTGTGCCTTGCGTTTTTGGTCATTCTAAACCACCATCATCCAACTTGCACTCCAGAACTGATAAACGAAAAGTATTTTGTTTTTAACAGCTAAAATGTGGGGTCCCGGTGCAAGTCAAGGCGGAATTCTCCAATCATCAACATGCAAATTCGATTTGAAAGAACCATATTATAGAATGTCTCAGCCACAAGCATACCCTGTCGCACAAGAACCATCACTACAACTACAACCGGAGCTAAATACACAGGTAAAAATGCATTCAGCAACTAGAGTAGTTATGGTTGCTTTCTTTTTATATGTGTATCGATATTTATGCATTTACTGTTAGCAGGACATACAAACACAAAACGATGAATTAGAAGAAGAGTTACTGCAACAACTGCCACAGAATCCGAGTACCCAGCTCTAGAAGCTAATAAGTGAAATGAAGTTTAGAGATGATCATCTTTTTGAATCTCAGTCATATAATGAACTTGCGATTCCTGTTTGTATCACGTGAGTTTTGGTACGGTTCTATCTAAAGGAGGAGCATGGAAAGATCTTATCATTCCCATTGCTTCCATGTAAAAGTCTTGGACCTTAATTTTTTTTTTTTTTCACATCCATCTTATCATTTAAGTTTAAGTTGTCTTTAAAATCTACTCTTGTAAGTAGTAACATCCACACGCCATGAAACTAGAATCAAGTTCTTTTATCAAAAACCAATAAACAAAAAAAATCATTATATTCCTTGTAAATCGAGTTCTAGGTTTGATAAAATGATAATATTTCCCCCAAGCAAGAATCGTAAGAGAACTTTATCAATGGACACAGATGTAGAACATATAATGAAAGTAAAAACTTGAGCAAAAGTTAAGTTTTCTACGAAGCTGTTTATATCTCGAAACTGGTGCTCTGTTATAATGCAGTGTAAGACAGAGCAACACAGGCATTTTCTTATGAAATTCACTTCTAGTCACAATCTTCATAAGATTTCTGCTTCTTACACTACACAAGGAGCTGGCTCAGATGTAAGAGAAAATACAACCTTTGTGATATGTAAGAGCTCATACCGAAATGTTAGACCGAGCAAATAGTCTCCAATCAAAACCAGCAAATCTGGCAGTGCAGCCATGACATCAGGAAGAACGCAGAAGATGCACCTGGATGGGGAAGTTACCACGAAGATTTTGGTGGTTCTCAAGAACTGAATCAAAAAACGAAGAAGGGAAACAGAAGAAATTACTCTGGGCTCAACTGATATAAGCATGTTTCAAGCGAGGAACACCCATCTTTCTCGATCTGTGAACACCACTGACAGATATCGAACAATCATTTTCCCCTCCAAAAACTTGGGATTCTTGTGATTCAGAATGCTCACATGAAGCAGACATAACCCAAAAAGTCTTTGGTTGGTTTTCCTATGCAAGAAACGAGATTATTGATAACTGTCTACCAAGATCGTGCAGCATGTCGTGCCTTTCCTGTTTCTCTCAAAACAGCACCAACAATAGCTGCTTGCTCAAGACAATCATTCTTATGCAAAGTATCCAAAAGAACAACACAGGTCTTGGTATGGATCTGTAATCCTTTTCGACGTGTTTCCTCAAAAAGAGAAAAAGCATCTGTTGCCCTGTTTCCGCTACTTAGACCTTCGATCATGGCATTATAACAAGCAGAGTCTGGAACGCCACCATTTGCCTTAAACCGATCAAAGAGCGCCCCAGCCTCTGCAATATTCCCAGCCTTTGCAAGTCCAGATATCATGGTGGTGTAAGAAATAGTGCTGGGTTTCATCCCCTGTTTCTGCATCTCTTGCCAAAAGACAAAGGCTTTATTGAACTTCCTGACCTTACAAAGACCATTTATTAGTATACCGTAAGTAACTTGGTTTGGCGTGCATTTCAATTCTTTCATCGACTGAAAACAGACAAGGGCTTCATTGATTTCCTCAGCTTTGACCAATGCATCAAGCAATGAGTTCCATGTATAAACATTAGGTGTTAATCCTTTCTGCATAAGCTCTTCCAGGATAAGGTAAGCTTCATCTATCCTACCAACTTTCCCAAACCCATCAATAAGACTACTGTAGATTACCACGTTTAGCTCTATTCTCTTTGATTTTGCTTCCTCAAAGAGCATATAAGCTTCATCAAGCCGATCTATTTTTGCAAGCCCGTCAATGACCGAACCATATGTAACGACAGTTGGCTCAAAACCTTTTGTCTTCATTTCCTCCAGCAGCTGATAAGCTTTGTTAACTTTTCCGCACTTGCAGAAACCGTCAATGACAATATTGTAAGCACGTGTGTCCAAGACACAGCCTTGCTCTTTCATGGAATAAAACAACTCATACGTTTCATTTGCAAACCCTGCTTTTATTAGTCCATGAATTAATATCGAGTAGCTTCGAGCATCTGGGACAAACCGATGGGATTTTATTTCAGCAAACATCGCCCTTCCCTTTTCTGGTTCTCCAGCCTTGAACATGCAATCCATGTACGTATTAAGAAGCTGCAAATCAGGCGAGCAATTTTGATTAATCATCTCCTTGTATATCTTGTGTCCATCTTCTTTTCTACCGTGGTTGAAGAAGTTCCTTATCAGGGATGTGTAAACAATAGAGTTAGTACGACAATCAGAATCCAACATCTTCTCATATATTTTGTAAGCGTCATCAACTCTTCCGACCTTCCCTAAGCCATCTATGAGGGAGCAAAATGTAATCTCATCTGGGGTACAAACCTTATAATCCATTTCCTCAAATATAGCACATGCTTCATCAAGTTTTTGGGATTTACAGAGCCGATCAACCATTATGTTCACAGTCCTAACATTAGGAAACAGACCAACCTTCTGCATAGAATCACGTAGCTTAAAAGCATAGTCAAGTTTACCAGTTCTACACATCATGTCAATGAGAATATTATACGTTGAAAGATTTGCAGCAGCATCCTTTTTCATCTCCTCAAACATTCTCAAAGCTTCGTCCACTTTTCCCATTTTCCTTAAACATGTAAGAATGCAATTATATGCGATCACACTCGGTATAGAGCCCTTTGCCCTTTGTCTCTCTAGGAGACTGTATGCTTCATCAAATTTTCCAGCCGAACCGTAACCCATAATCATCGTGTTGTAAGCATAAGTGCAAGGGACCCGTCTATTCTTCTCTAAATGCTCAAACATCTCCACAGCTTCATCCAATCTGTTTGCCTTGCACAGAACTCCTATCATGCTAGTATAAGTGACTTCATCAGGCTTTAAACCATTAGCTTCAATCTCGTGAAAAAATTTCCATGCCATATCAACCTTGCCCACTTTACCAAAGCTATCTATACATACGTTGTAAAGAACAATGTCGGCATCAAGAGAGCTGCTCTTCATCTCATCAAGCAAAGATAGAGCAGAATCAACTCTACCCTCTTTGGCAAATCCCCGAATCAATGTCGTAAAAAGATGAACAGTTGGTTCATATCCTAACTCCTGCATCTGCTGAAAGAGAGTCAGCATCATATCAGAATGATTAATTGCCGAAAAAGCTCCGATAAGAGTTGTGTAAGCTGAAAAAGCAGGTCGGAACTTGAACTTTCTCATCAACTGCACAACATCAAAACCTTCCCTAAGCTTATTAGCCTTAACGCAGCTCAAAACCATCTCAATACAAGTATTAACAGAAGGGCCAAATCCTGCAACACTCATTTCTCCAAGAATCTGTTCCAAAGCATCAAAATTTCTACAACGAGCCATCAACAAAAGCAAGGAGTTGTATGATTCGGGACAATGGGGCAGCTCGGTTCTTCTCTCATACCAACGGAAATACTCAATCGCCCGATTAACGTCTTTCAGCCTCCGTATAACCCCAATGACAAATTCTGGTTGTGGTTTAAAGCTTAAAGCAGATAGAGCAGTCTCAGCCGAAGGTCCCCATGGACTCGTCTCCAAAACATTACAAATTTCATTAACAATTTGCATATTACCCTCAAATGTATATGGTTTCTCATGATTTTCGCCATTATCAGACAAAGATGATAAGGGCTTACAAACTGTGACAGCACAAGAGGATTGTGTATAGGTGTGAAATATAATTCCTGCAGAGCGACAAACATAACGTAAATCAGGAACAAACTAAGATAAATTAATAAACACATTTTGCTTTTACGAATCCCAGCATTGAATAATTCATATGAGATAAGATTCATCAGTTTCTAAGCGAAAAATATAAGGAAACCACCATAATTTAGCTCAGTACCCATCTTCATTATCAAATATTGAAAAATTGCAGAAACTGAAATGCACAAAAGCAGATTACCTGGTCTTAGTAGCATCCGCATCTTCCTGATGATCGAGTTCCAAACTGCGGACTAATCTCAAAACCCAACACGATCGAAGAAGATAACAGTTATAAATCAAAGCTTGTATTTTTAACGAAACTCTGAAGTGAAAAAGGCCCAGCTTTCAGGAGAGGAGAGTAGAGGGTTTAACGAGAAGAAATCAAACATAGGTTTAGGCGACTCGGAGGAACCAAGATCCAGAAACCTCCTTCTCGCTCAGAGGGTTTAGGAACGGTCAACAAATATGAGTTTGACCTATCTCTTCGAAAACAAAACCTCCCGGGTCGAGTCGGGTCAAACCGACCCGGTCGCCATCGGAAACGTCGCAATTTGAAAACGACAGTGGGTTTAATGAAATTTTGAAAATTGCTTGCTCCCAAGTTTTCATGATATTCAATCTAGGGTTTTGAATCCTGAATTGGGGATTTTATGACCCTTCGGTTTCGTGGGATCGAATTTTGAATTTCTAGGGTTATGGTTCCTTCTGTTTTAGACCAATGGACGGCATGAGCAGTTACCACAAACGCAGCGCCCGTTTAAACCTTTGTGAAAACTCCAGTTTCTCACATTCATCAAGAGCCATGGCTCCAGGAAATTACCGTTACCCAGAAGTGAGATCACCGTTGCGGAGACAAGTTCATGCGCCTTCGCGGATCCTCAAGAGCGGACTCTCTGCTAGGACAGGACAGGTAGGTCGAGACCGTAGCACGCGACAAGTTTCTGGTAATGGGTTTGGAGCGGATTTTCTCACAAGGAACTATGACATGGTTAGACGAGATGCACTTGATTTTTCTATACCCTATAGAACGGATAGAGAAATGTTTGACGTTGACGATGAGTGTGGAGATGTGGAAATGATACATAGTGATACAAGTATGGAGTGTGTCGAAAACGTGGCTATGGAGGTGGACGAGGTGGAAGAGAAGGCAGATATGGGATCTGAGGTTGTTAATCTGAAAAATAGGAGCTTGATGGTGGGTGATGGTTCTCAAGCTAATAGTTCACTTGTTTTGAATCGCCCTGTGACCGATGTCTCCAGTTATGAAGCATACAGAAAGGTTCTGGAGAGTGCCAAGGACCGGACTTCCAAACTGAAAGACAGAGGCTTTGGCGGTTATTTGAAAGAGAGAAGTCGTGCTTTACTGCGACGCTTTTTTTCTTTTTGGAAACGAGATGAAGAACCAGCAGAGGTTTGGCTGTTTTCCTTTATCTTTTATAGTTGTGGCTAAAGTTTAAGCTTTTATGCTTCCTGATATGAACCAGTTAATATCTTTTGATTTTGCGAAACTGGTTGCGTCGTTGTTCTTTAATTGATTTTCAGGATGTACAACGTGAAGCATTTCTGCCTCTTTCTAGAGAGGAAGAGACGGCAGTCAAGCGTGTATTCCTAGCTAATGACTCGTATGATTTTGATTTTTGATCTCTTATTCACTTGCTCTGAGAATTCATATTTGTTTTTGTGATGTAATTTTATTAACATCTCTCACTGCAGGAACATCTTGGTTGCACATAAGAACTCAAATATTGACATTACAGGGGAAATCCTGAGGTGCCTTAGACCAGGTGAATGGTTGAATGATGAGGTTCGTCAGCCCATTTCAGTCACATGTGATCTTTTTGGAGATTGGATATAATATTTTTGTCCGATTAGAACCTCTATGATTTTGTGAAACTTTGGACTTTGTTCTATGTAGGTCATTAATCTTTATCTGGTATTGCTGAAAGACAGGGAAGCTAGAGAACCAAAGAAGTTTCTAAAATGCCATTTTTTCAATACATTTTTCTTCACTAAGGTTATACCCATTTCTTTGGAAAATGAAATTTAGATTTACATATGCTCATGAATTTTAACAAGAAGACATAACCTTAAATCACATCTCAGCTAGTTAATTCGGGGACTGGATACAACTATGGTGCAGTCAGAAGATGGACTTCAATGAAGAGGTTGGGCTACCACCTCAAAGACTGTGACAAGGTAAACTTGTTGTGTGCTTCATCTGCTATCACTCTCTATATTACACACCTTTTTGAGTTATGCAAACTTTTTTTCTCATTATACCATCTAAGAGACTTTGTTTGTTGTCAGATATTTATCCCTATCCATATGAACATCCACTGGACGTTGGCTGTAATAAATATAAAGGACCGGAAATTCCAGTATCTCGACTCATTCAAAGGAAGGGAGCCTAAAATACTCGATGCACTGGTAATATATAAGTAAGGAAACCAATTTTTTGTGTCATAACATGTATATCCTGATTCCGCAGTTTATTATTTGTCAGGCTAGATATTTTGTGGATGAAGTTAATGACAAGAGTGAAGTAGACCTTGATGTAAGTGGATGGAGACAAGAATTTGTCCAGGACCTTCCGATGCAGAGAAACGGGTATGGTCTTCCTAATAAAGATGTCAGCTACTTCCTAGTACAATTTTTGTAAAACTTTGGCTCTGCAATGTGTAGATTCGATTGTGGAATGTTTATGCTGAAGTACATAGACTTCTACAGCAGAGGTCTGGAACTTTGTTTCACGCAGGTAAAATCTCGGAAAGTGTCAAAACCTGCCATTGTCTTTAGTAGGTCGGTGTCATTTTTGAAAGACTTAGGACTGCATAAAAACAGAGAGTGTTTGTGTGGTTTCGACAGGAACAAATGCCATATTTCCGGGATAGGACAGCGAAGGAGATTCTGCAACTGAAAGCTGAGTGAGTGATGCCACAGCAAAATAAGGAAACTCTTGAAGAATAGTTTTGAAAGGCCTTCTTCTTCATGTAGATAGATAGTGTTGAGAAAGTAAGATGCATTTATGTCACGTGTTTGATGTACATAGAAATAACACGATGTGGTTGGTTATCTGATGATGAGGCTTGATAGTGAAAATCGGATAATTGATAAAAGATTCTATTTTCACCACCAGGAACTCTAATTTTGATATTATATTTGTAGTTTGTAACATGAAGGGTACGAATAAAAAGGGATACGCATTATTTATTATTATTGTATTAGGAAATTGCAAAATGAGAAATCAGAAAAATGTCTGAGAACAACCATCTCAGTTGTCACGTGGTCGTCATGTGGCGACCGAGTCCGAAACTCCAATGTGTCCCCCATTCAAATATAGTCCTGATCTCTCTTTATTAAACAATAAATAGTTGTCAATTTGTTTATCTTATCACATCAATTAGTACATACTTAAATTTAATTACACTAAAAACTTGAGCAACTAAGATTTATATTAGGCTTAAATTCTTTCTGTAGATCTTTGGACCCGGAGCTAATTAAAGTTCATATGTATAATAACTACATCCACATGTTACGTTGGCAATTTTTTCGTAAATACGTCTCATAATACAAACCTGATCAGTGCAATGACACGTGAGTCTCACGTGCAATACCTACATTACATGGAAACACTGCTGTGTGTACAGTAGTTGTTTGACTTCAACTGTCAAACAAAATAAAACGAAAAACAATTTTTTTTATAGAAAAATCGAATTAAAAATATAAATTTATTTCATATTTTTTTTTTTCCAAAAAAGAATTAAAAAGAGGGAAAAAAACTAGATCTGAAAACACGACGTGACGTCGCATCAGTCATCGGAGTCATCATCTCCACCGAAGATGGAGAAGCGGTTGTAGAGTAAGAACAAGATAAGTACGAGGAAGAGAGCGACGCCGACGGGAGATCCGCTAACCCGGTGAATGGAGTCGGGTTCCCCGGTTGAGAAAATGGCCGAGACGAAGGAACCGCGTTCCGAGGAGAGGAACTGGATGATGAGGAGGAGGATGATGGGAAGCAACAGAAGTCCCACCGGACTCAGAAGCTCTGCGATCGCATCCGTAATGGCTTCACCACCGTCTCCGATGAAGAACGGAACGAGCACTACCAGTGCAACGACGACGACCAGTATGATTCCGTGTGGCGCAGATCCACCACCGCCTCCAACGCCTTGCCGGGGATCTTGATACATTTCTACTGACTGTGTTCGTGTTTGTGTTTTTGCTTTTTTTTTTGCTTTTCTTTCTCTTTATTGCTTTTGTGTGTTGGGGGGGGGGGGGGGGTTGCAGCCTGCAGTTGTAGTAGAATTGGTTTGTTTTCGTTTTTAAATGAGAGGGGGTAACGAGGGACGCCTTTGTCTTTTCAAATAAAGCTTTCAAATTAAATGCATTTCTCATGCCTTTTCATTTTATTTTTAAACTTTAATTTTCTAAGTTATTTTACATATATATATTTCTATGGTTTATTTTTAAAAAAAAATCTAAAACTTAAGGTTAACACATTCTTAGAGCATCATTATTGATAGTATTTTACTATTTTAGCTATATTTTAGTCTAAGATTTGTCTAAGATACGATCTTAACATTAACAATAAAAAAATCAAGGTTATAATTAGGTTGTAGACTTAACATATATCACATGTGTAAACTCAAAGAAAAAAAAAATCTTACGTAAATTCTTGCGATTGTAAGTTGTAACTTTTGGTTAGAAATAAGATTTAAAGGAAGCCATATATTTTGTTAAAAAAAAAAAAAAAAAGTCATATATAAAGTATGCGTCATTAGATTTAAAATTATTGATAAGAACTGACCAATCAGTCAATGACGCTCTCAATAAGAGACTATTAGTTGGAACACAATTTCTGATTAATTAGTTTCTAAATAGTTTGTGAACAACATTCTTGTGTGTAAAATGTATGACGACTAAATAATTACTTTACCAATAATATATATGCGTAAACAATGATCATACATACAGTTGAAAGAAAGCAAAAATACATTAATGATCGAATGATCGTATATACTGTATATATATTCACATATTGGTATATTGCGTCTCTGAACAATGTAAACTTGGTTAATCTTAGCTAAATTTGGATGTAAACCTAACATATATAACTTTCATCGATCACAATTCAAACCAATACAAAGGACATAAGAGTTAAAGAAGCAATTTGTTCCAAAGCTCATATAAAAATTTTGGTTCCCCGTGACAGAAAATTCTCAAACATCCTTCTTTTTCTTGGGTCCCAATCTTTTTTTTTGTTATTATTTTCGTAGAACCTCAAAAGCAATAACCTAACCATGCATCTGATCACAAGACAAAATTGGTTTTTAATGACAAACCTCGCGTACTTAAGTTCCAAACGTTGTAAGTTGATTAGAAGAACCCTAGCAGTTTTTCTCTATTCATTTCTTCAACCTATGTCATGGGTCCAAGTCACACTAACTTTATCATATGGGCTTATAAAGATCATTGATATACGAAAGGACATCAACATTTATAATTGATGTGGTTGAATTCAGATTTCTAAACTTATCAACCGTCCTCTTCCACTACTTAGCACAAATATATCATAGCCCTTCCTTCTTTATATTCTTTCGTGATAATTAATTGAGAAAGTCAAGTTACACATATTTAGTAGAAGAATTCAATGAGACGTGGGTTGGGAAGTGAAATACTATAAATTACTAATAGGGTGAATCATATGATAGATTAAAAAAGTTAGTAGGTTTCCTCTTGCGTTTTCCTCAAACACACGCAACACCTCTTGACTTTTGTTTCTATATATTGTCCTTTTTGACAGCATAAGATTACAAACTAGGACCAATCATTTTCTTTCTTCTCTAGACTTTGGCTGGTTCCTTCACGAGACTACATTTTTCTTACACACACTCTCTCTCCCAACCTCTCTATAGCTAATCTCCAACATGTTCATTTCCTCTCTCATCTTATCCCCATAAATAAAAACCATCAAAAGTTGTGTGCAGCATAGTTATGTGACTATGGCTACCCTTTCATCTTCTCAATCGAGTTTTATCTCTTGTAATGAGAATTATTCTCTTGATTCGATTGCAGCTTCTATCAACGACTACATTCTCAGCCTCATATCAGACTCCGAATCATGGATTATGCTTAAGCAGAAATGTATCACATTGCTGAGAATTGAAGAAGAGGATACTCTGTTTGAATTCTCTTCCGAGCACTCTGCTCTCTCGAATCTCTACTGGGGAATCGATAGCATCGAAGCTTCTATACAACCCGAATGCTCAGAAGAGAAGACGTCTCGTCTGAGAAACTCTGAGAGAATGCTTCAAATGCCTGCGTTGCTTGACGAACAAGGGACCACCACTTCAGGTGTTCCAAACACAATCTTGGTTGCTTTCTCTTACTTCTACCTCTCCATTGTGAGCTATCTCCAAGGTGATTCCTTGCAGACCACATTGCATTTTCTCCAGTCAGTTTTGGTCTCGCCGGAGATTGTAAGAACCGGCATTGCCCCTCAAGTCTTCGAGAGCATTTTCTTCACTCCTGGTGTTTACAAGTCAGATGAAGAGATCAGAGAGATTGCGAGGAAGTATAAATACAGAGCAACTTATTACCAGGTTATGTCTTATGGAGAGACTCATCAGCCACAGAGTGAATGTACAGAGAAACCGCTTCGAAGGCAGATGAAATATGGGTAAGCATTCAATACTAAAGCTATAACTACATTAGATTGGTTCTTTCTGTCTTTATGTTCTGCTTCCTGAAACAGAGAAAATCAAGCTGTAAAATTCATTAGTCATGATCCACTGTTTTTAAATCCTACCCTCTACACATGAACAGGCAAGAAATATCTGCGGCTAATGCTCATTCAGTTGCAGAGAAGCTAGAATTGTCAGAAACCTGTGAGGTAGGTTTAACTAACTACAGATACATGCTTTTAGGGATTCTTAGTGATATCTAATCATAAGTAACAGTTACCTTCTTTCACTTCTTGGTTACCAATGTTGAAGAAGTTATTGCAGTACCAGAGTCACCTCCACAGTGTTGATTTGCAAGAAGATGAGCTTAATGACATCTTCAACAAAATCAAAGCATCAAGGAAGATTGAAAAATCTACAAACAACTTTGAAGATTCTCCTCCATATTTGGATTGGAACCTGGAGGAAGATTACAATCCAGAGCTTGGAAAAAGTACAAGAGCCAGATGCCTCAATGAATTCTTGAAAGAGTCACAGCCAGATACGTCAAACTCAGTATGCAATACTAGAGAAGACATCAGCACGGTAATTTCTCTAACCAAACACTTTCATTGCTTAAAATTTCAGAGAAATATAGAGAATGTAAAATTAATACCTTCAACAAATAAATGTATTGTGAATTAGGACACATCCGCCAACATCTTTTGTGTTTCCCAACAAGAAGCTCACAATGAAGCATATAATGAGGAAACATTAGCCAACAGATCCCACAGCTTGATCGGTAAGTTTAACCGTTCCATCATTGATATTCAGGTTCAACAAGCAAAGACAAGTTGGAATACGCACTTAGAAGATGTCTCTTCTTTGAGGCAACTAGAGTTGGAAGAAATTTCAGTCTTTGGACATAAAGGGTCCATAACTTTTGAAGGAATGAGGAGAAATTTGCATACCAGGAAACGAGGATATGGACCTGAGACGCATTCTAGAAGAGCTCCGACGATGGATTTATGGAAGAACCTTCAGAGCTTGATAAAGGAAGTGTTAGGGAATGCGGATGAGAAATACGTCTCAGAGGTTACAATGATTTATCAAATGCTGAACAGGAAAGAAGGATTCAAGTATAGCATGCTAAAAGATGTCATTCTGGATCAGCTGTTTACGGCTATTTCTAGTTCCGAGGAGAAAACTGTCATAAAGGCATCGATGACCGCACTTACCAAGATCATATCAGTTAACAGAACAGCTCTTGAGGAGGTCAAGAGGAAGGGTTTAAATTTAAGTCACTTAGCAAATGCCCTGAAACAAAATGTGCAAGAAGCAGCTATTCTCATCTACCTGATAAAGCCATCTCCAACAGAAATAAAGAGTCTTGAGCTTTTACCAGCTCTTGTTGATGTTGTTGCATCCACTTCGTCGTCTTCTTCTTGTTACACATTGAGACCTTCACCTCCTCTTTTGACGCCGCCTGCTGCATCATTGATGATAATTGAAGTTCTTATTACTGCTTTTGATCATGCCACAAACACAATGCACTTGGCTGCAATCAGCTCTCCTTCTGTCCTTTGTGGACTTCTTGATGTTGCAAAAAGTGGAAATTCAGGGGAATTCATATCCTTGGCAAGTATTTTAGTAAAATGCATGCAGTTTGATGGACTTAACAGGAAGTATATCTATCAGCATACTCGAGTGGCTCCTTTTGCTCATCTCCTGCAGAGCAAAGACAGAGAAGAAATTTTCATTGCTCTTCAATTTCTTCATGAGGTCCTGAAGATACCAAGGTATACATATCTCAGCAGCAAAACAAATTTCTCCTTTTAGGCTACCAGTCACACTAATTCATATGACATACTTGTAATATCAGGTCGTCAGCAATTAAGATTCTACAACAAATAAAAAGAGAAGGAAGTTTTGACATTAAGGATACATTATTGCAGTGTATAAAACAGTTGCAGGGTGATCACAAACTCTTTGCAGTAGATATATTGCTTCAGTTGAATGCACTGGTTTGTTCTAATCACTAAAAACACATAAGTTGTTGCTGATTCCAATCTCTAAGTAAATAATTACGTTTCAACATTTTCTACAGGACTCTCAACCTGAGAACAAAAAGTACAGAAATGAAGCTACCAGAGCTCTGCTTGATGCAGTTACATGTAGTGAAGTACCAAATATGCAGCTGTTATCAACCTTCATTCTTTCGAATATCGGTGGAACTTATTCATGGACAGGAGAACCGTACACTGCTGCTTGGCTAATGAAAAGAGGAGGTCTAACTTCAATGTCACACATGAATATGATAAGAAATATCAACTGGTCAGATGAATGCTTACAGGTAACAATATTTTTAAGTTGAGTATGGCCAAGCTAAAAAGAGTGAGTTATAGAAAGATTTATTACTTTTTTCAGGATCCAGGAATAGATGGATGGTGTTGTAAAATAGCAAGAAGAGTTATTGATACAGGGAAAGCCACGTTTTGTGGTTTACAAGAAGGGTTGAAGAGTAAAAACAAGAGTGTTTCAAAAGCATGTCTTACAGCCATTACATGGCTCAGTATAGAGATTTCAAAAGGTCCAAATAGTTTGAAGTACTCAGCATGTGAAGTACTACTTGATGAGGTTGCACAATTCCTACACCCTGGTTTGGAGCTTGAAGAAAGACTTCTTGCATGTATCTGCATCTACAATTTTAGCTCTGGAAAAGGTAAATTTCCTAGCTTTGAAGTGAAAATAATTGGAAAATACCAACTAATGCATGTGATTATAAGACTTATCTTAAAGTGCATTTGTCACACAGGAATCCACAAACTAGTAAATTTCTCGGAAGGAGTTAGAGAGTCTTTGAGACGTCTTTCATATGTGACTTGGATGGCAGACGAATTGCATAAAGCAACATATTATCTATTCAGCAAATCTGTAAGTTTTTCTTCACCTGCAATCAAGTTAGTCCAATCGATCTGTACCATTGTCACAACTTAAACGAACGGAATCATGGTCAAATTGTAGCGTCAGACATGACTCAGAATTATGAAAATCTCAATATTGACAGGACCAGCGAATATCTTGTGTTCATACACAAACCATAGAGTTGCATCACTCTGGCAGCGGAGCTGTAACAGCCCTCATCTACCATAGAGGCTTGCTCTTTAGTGGATACTCAGACGGTTCTGTCAGGGTATATCTACTTATACTTTTAAATAAATTTGAATAGGAGGAAAAATATTTAGAAGAAACCTGAACTTAGCTTGAGCATGCATGCAAACATACATACCAGGTGTGGAATGTGAATAAGAAAGTAGCTACGCTGTTATGGGACATCAAGGAGCACAAAAGCGCCGTAACATGCTTTTCACTCTCTGAATCAGGAGAGCGTGTCTTGAGTGGATCTGCAGATAAAACTATCAGGGTATGATATATAATGGTTCAACTCTTTGTTTTCAGGAAACTAGGATCAGGAGAAAACTACAATTTTTTGAAATCTAAATCCTTCTTTTATATAGATATGGCAGATTGTTAAAGGAAAACTGGAATGTGCTGAAGTCATAAAAACAAAAGATTCAATAAGGAAACTGGAAGCATGCGGAAATATGATCTTTGTCATAACCAAAGGTCACAAGATGAAGGTAGATATCTCTCATTATGTCACAAGAAGGAAAAGACTATTTGCATATTAATATCATATAGTAATCTCCAACTCTAAAATAAACATTCAAGAGGCTCATGATCTTTTGCAGCTGCTTGATTCATCAAGAATATCTCAAAGTATCTTCAAAGGTAAAGGTGTGAAGAGTATGGTAGCAGCCCAAGGAAAGATTTATATAGGATGTATAGATACAAGCATACAGGTATTTGCGTGGTGGCATTTCATCCATATGGTAATGAATTATAAGACACAGAAAAAGTAACATGGTTTGTTTCAGGAATTGATCGTCACAAATAAACGGGAGAAAGAGATCAGAGCACCAACGAGAAGCTGGAGACTTCAAAATAAGCCTATCAATTCAGTGGTTGTGTACAAAGATATGTTATATAGCTCAAGCACACATGTTGAGATGTCTAATATAAAGGTAAAAAAAGGACTACATTAACAGTTTTTTTACAAAGCGATAGACTAAAGAAAGTGACTTAAACAAAAATGGCTTACAGGATTTGAGAAGGAATTATGATCCCCAAATGTCAATACCAGCAGAAAAGGGGTCTAACGTAGTAGCAATGGGTGTTGTTGAAGACTTCATCTACCTGAATCGAAGTTCATCCGCAAACACTCTTCAGGTAATCTTTCTCTGCAAAACTAAAACACTTCCTAGACCAAGACCAATGCAAATGAAACCACCGGAAAAAGTAACTTATGTAGGATTGTATATGATTAGAAATGATATGAAGCTGCATGGTCAAAATTGGTTAAGTGGGCAGAGATATAGGCTTATACTTACTTATTTTCATACATCTTTTATCATTACTATTATATTTGAGATTAAAGTAAGATCATATGGTTTGTGAAAACAAGATTTGGTTGAGAAGAACACAACAGAAAGTGGGAAGACTATCAGCAGGAAGCAAGATAACAAGCCTCCTTACTGCAAATGATAGTGTTTTCTGCGGTACAGAAGCTGGAGTCATCAAGGTGAATAATACATCACGAGCTAATAAATCTGTTTAAATTATTTCAAATGATATTATATAACCACTAAGAAGACCGACACTAATGTCTTACGACAAAACAGGGATGGATTCCATTATAAATAGCAGAGAGGACAAGTACATGAGGTTAATAACCATTAAAACTTCAACAATCAGCTCAAAGTTATGACACATGAAGACTCATGTTCATATCACCGTGAAGAAGTAAATATGCACAGCTTAAACTAGAGTGGAGTGAAGCTGCCCTTATGTGATACTTGTACATGTGTAGTAAGTAGTCCATTTCAGTTGTGCGTCGATAGTGATTTTGCAAGTATTTATGATCACTTAAGATCATTGCTTCAACAAGAGTACCAATGACATTATAAAGACAAAAAGTTACTGTGGAATGGATTGAGACTAGTAAAGAGTAAAAGATTAGCTGAGAGATCTTAAGAGGTCCTACATTTTTTTTGTATGTAAAGATGCTTCACAAATATATTCACAACGAGAAAATTGATAGTATTCACATGGTCACGTCTGAAGAATCTATTTATGCAGATTTTTGGAATATGCATGAGAAGTCCAAAACTTGGTCCCCACGATGAATACTGAATAGAGAGTTAAGTCAGAAGGCAGCTTTTTTTTTGTTTTCCTTCTGTCTCTTTGCAGAATTGCTAGTCTTTATTTCATCTCATGGACCCCCTTCTATGATGTCCTTGTCCCGACCATCTCTTCCACACATTATATATCATCATCTGATTATCAATCTGAATTTATTACTGTTTCATAAACAGTATGTATATGCTACATGATATGGATATATTGAAATGTATATCATATCTAGACTCATACATATCTAGATTCATAACAGGTTTGTTATAAAGAAAAGAGTGAACCAAATTTGTTTTGTCTTGATCGACTTGACGTTTTATGTTTTCTTCCCTCTTATTACGTGAAACAGACAAAGTACATAACTTGTGGTTTTGTCGGACCGCAACCTCAATATGTTGGCCTTGCATAAATGTAATTTATTATAAGAGATTAGCTGGTTGGTGGTGACTGGTGACAATGAATTGATGATCTTGATGATTGATGATGATAGTTTTATAGAGAGATATTGTTGACTTCTTGTTGCTGCATGTCTTACTTAAAGTTTGTGGGGGCTCAAACCACACACACAAAGAAGATAAAAACCAATGAGAGTATTGGCAAAAAAGATAATGCATGTGCAAAGGCATGTGCCTTTTGATTCCACTCATTTAATAACTTAAACCCTCCCCTAAAACCTGTTGACTGCTTTTTTTTTCAAGTGGGCTTTGTTACTATTATAATAGTACTACAAGTAAACACATCTGGTTTACCATCACAGTGATCCACCACAAGACAAATAGTCTTGGGGAGAATTAGACAATGTGTATTATATAATCATTGAAGAATAAGACAAAAGCAACAAGTATCCTAAGCTCCTTCTCCTAAAGGTTTCAAGCTTTATGATGATGAGAACCAAGATGCCAAACATAGAAATGAACAAGAAAACTAGTATGACATTACATTACTGATTGAAATCAAAAGTTCAAACCAATGTCCAAAGAACAAAAGAACAGCCTAACTAAAAAGCACATGAATGAAATATGAAGATCTCTAAATACTTAGTAATGCATCTCTCTCTCTCTCTCTCTCTCTTTAGCTTTTCAAAGCCACCAATGAAGGAATTGAGTCCAAATTCGGAGATGTGTTCTTGTTGTCAGCTGAAGACTCTGTAATAGTACGACCTCTATGATTAGTAGTAGCCTTGGCTCTCATTGGACTTGCAAAAGCCCATCCCCAGCTTCTGTTCCCCATCTTATGATTTTGATGATGATCAACCGTTGATGAAGATGTTGTTGATGATGGTGTAGATGATGATGTCATGATCATAAACCCACCAAAGATGCCACCACATTTGACCATTTCACTCATTGCATCCGCTGCTTCACCACCACCATTACTAATGACCTTAGTGGCTTCCCTCTGTGACTCAATCCTTCTCAAGGCACAATCACCAAAACCATTAGAGATCCTCTCAAAGAAATCACCAGAGAAGCTTCTACTTCCACAGCCAACAGATCTAGATCTCAACACTTTCCTCCCAAAAGAAGAACCACCACCACCACCAATACCATTTGTTGGCGTTTCTGCAACCACTTTGTTCGGAGTTTCACCTTCTTCCTCAGCTATCACATCAATGCCTCCACCACCACCGACCCTCTTTGATGTCTCTGTTCCTGGCTCTGTTCTATGGTTTCTCCTTGAATGGCTAAAGTTATCGACTTTTTTGGTGGTGGTGCTGCTGAACTGATGTTTTGAAGAGTAGAGATGAAGAAAAGACCAAAAACCACCTCGTTTCCTTTGGCTGAAACTCTCACCGTAAGCCGTCGATTTGCTTCTCTTGTAGATAAGATTAGCTGAAGAAGACGAAGAGGAAGAAGAAGAGGAGGAAGAAGAAGCAGCAGCTGCGAGCATACTCTTCTTCTTCTTCGCCAGAAGAAAGGGGAGATTGTTGTTGTTTGTGGAGTCTCTTCCGTTACTTCCAGAAGAGAGAGACAGAGCGAGAGATGTAGTGGACGGAGTGAAAGACTTAGGGGAAGAAGAAGAGAGGTGGTCGGATTTTGGGACAGGGAAGGAGGAAGTAACGAGCTTACCGAGCTTTTCCTGGAGACAGAGTGCACAGATACCACCTGGGTTCTTTGTGTAAGGATGTGTAATGCATTGCATACCATCTCCCATGTCTTGATCTTGGAGCTCCACCATTGCAAGAAAGAAGCAAGAAGAAGAAGAAGAAGTAAGAATCAAGATCGGGAAGTTCTCTCTTGTTTCCTCTGTTTCTGTGTGTGGTACACGGTATCTATCTATCTTAATAAAGGAGGAGGAATCTAGATTTTAGCTTCTTTTGAGAGAGAGAGAGAGAGAGATGACTTGTTGAGTGGGAGATGAAGGGATCGAGGGAAGAGAGAGAGGTATGTGTGTGTGTGTATGTATGGGAGAGTTTGTAGAGGAAGAGAAAAGCGTTGAGCTCCCCCAAGTGCACGTGGGAGTTCTGACCTGTACTCTCTCGAGCTCCTCTCTCTCTCTTTTCTTTTCTTTTCTTTTGCTTTGTTTCTTTTGTTTCAGATCTTTAAAAACTTATTTGTGTGTTGATGACCAAAAAAAAAACTTATTCGTGTGTCTTCCAATTATAATATGATGATATAATCTCTCTTCTTCTTTCTTTTTTTTTTTTGGGTCAAATGGTCCATCATTATCAACCTCGATGTCCACGTGTCTTTCTAACCCTTGTTTAGCCTTTATGGAAACACTAACTACATGTGTCTTAGCAAGTGACCGTTCTAAGATTACCACTTTGATTATATTTATTAAGTAGGATTAGCTTTTACTCTTTGATCATTATTATTATAATACAAAGCTATTGACTGTCTATTAATGTCCATGGTGTTATTTCACTACCAACTATGGTGTTTAAATTTTGTTAAATCGAGTTTACGGGAAACGAAAGTTGTATTTGTATGACCATGTTGGAGGTCGAGTGCCCTCATCATTGAAGTTTTTTATAATAGAAATACTAGTACTAATAGTTAACATCAATTAACATTGAAGTGTTGAGAACAAAAAAACAAATACATTCACTATGCAAATGCCCCTAGTTGTTTCCCATGTTCTTGTTTAGTCATTTTAAAAAAAAATATAAAATCTGGCCCCCATGTTAGTGGCTATTAAATATCACTTATCCTTTGGTTTTGTTAATTAGGAAAATTTCACCGGCTTCCTTCTTAGAGAGGGACAACCATGCAATTGCAAACATATCTTCTTCTTCATTTTTTGTATCCAACTTGTTCATCATTTGTATAAGAAGTCTATTTTATGTGAAAGCATTTTATCAGCCATAGATTGTGATGTCGAAGCTACGCAAAAACTCTAGTAAAAGAGTCCATAACCTTTACGTAACTAAATTAACTAAATCACTATTCTCCTAAACAAACTCCACCTTTTGGCACGACGATAGAGATTACATAAATCATTATCTATTTATCATGGATCTATAGATATGACAACCAAATTCTTGAGAATGCAATGCACTATGAATAATCTAAACCGTAATGTTCTAACTATTTTCAAGAAGAAGAAAATGTTGATTTACGGAGGAGATATAACGTACCGAAATCGAGAGAGAAACGTAGAGAGAGAGAAAAAAAAAAAAAAGTGGTCCAAGCCAAATTTGAGTATTCATTCGTTGTCTTTTCTAAACTCGAATACATTACACATCTCTTTGTCTTGTCTTAATCTTTTTCCAATTCTGTCATGTTTTCATTATTACCAATTTTGCTTCTTTGTTATCCTCTCACAAGTTCACATTTATCCCTTTACTTTTCTTCCCACATATATCCAAAACCCGCAATCATAATTCCGTGATAATTCGAGAACTTATTTTAACCAAGTCTCATATGACATTATCAATAAATCATATTACCTAGCTCCATAGAGCTATGTAACAAAATGTTTCTGACCAAGCACAACATAAGTATATCTTATTCGCTACTACAACTTTATCCCTAACTTTCTCCCAGATTCATCTGTCTGAGATTGAGACTTTATTATAAAGCTTCTGAGGCCACAAGATCCCAACTTTTCCGGCTAAAGTAAATGTGGGCATAAAAGGAAACACATTAGATGCAGCAATCGAGAAACGGTTCCAGTTGAAACGGTGACCTTACAACCGCGATCTGGCTTGCTCCACGGGAGCGCTCTGCAACACAAATGGAATTGTAACAAATAAGAACCTTTAGCTACAACAGAGTCAACTATGAGGAGCTAAACTGGACAAGATTAGATCAATAGTCATGCTAATATAATTTGTCGACATGATTGATGAATCCGTCATGTAACATAAACCAAGCTGAATTAATAGATTGTGTTTCTAAACAACTGCTCCCTAGACAAGTGCACAAAACTGAAAAATACGAGCCAAAAAGAAAGTAAGAAGAGTAAAGAAATACTCACCAGAGGAGCTCCTTTAGATGCCCTTTCAGCCAAAAAAGCACAAGGCTTGAAGAAATCACCGTAAGTCTTTGACCACTCATCTAGCCTCGAGTAAATGTATTTCGATCCCATGGAATCAGCCCAGAACATGATTCCTCCTCTGTTCCACAAGATATTGAGATTTCAAAACAAAAATGTGAAAAAGGGAATTTGATAAGGATCTCAGAGTTGCAGCACGTAACTGATGACAACACTGACCTGTAAGGTGGAAAACCCATTCCCATTATGGCAGCAATGTCAAGGTCTGCAGCTTTGACTGCAATACCTTCAGCAAAAACCCTACACGCCTCGTTTACTACTGGGAAAAATGTCATTTCAATTATTTCCTTCTCTGACAGTTTCACCAACTGCATTACACAGCAACCAGTCAGAGTGAGAAAAGAACAGCGAGATCCTCTCAAACTTAAAAGACGAACTTTACTTGATTTTTGGACAGAGAGATACCTTAGGGTCAACATTTCCTCCAGATATGCTCCTTGCCTTTTCGATATATTTCTTTAACTCAGGATCAGGTTTAGCCTTGCGCTTATCATCATACAAATAGAAACCTTTACGAGTCGCTTCACCTGAATTCAACAGGAAATCCCACATAATTTAGAAGAAATGTTGAAATTGATAAACATAACTTACTCTAGTTTAGGACATACCAGCTCTCTTGTCCTCTTGCATAAGTGGGATAATCATTGATTTGTATGTCCGTTCTGGGAAGTTCTCAATGAATTGTGTTGCGGTTGCAATCGCCACACCAAATCCAACCAAGTCACACAATCTGCTCGTTCAGATAAGTAACAAACGTATAGTTAAAAGATGCTGCATGTGAATTACATGGATCTTTACAATGTGATATATACCTGAAAGGACCCATTGGCATTCCAAACTTGCTGATTGCCATGTCAATTAGATATGGATCTGCTCCACGCTCAACAAGGAACATAGCTGCCTGTGTGTAAGGGAAGAACATCCTATTCACTGCAAAACCTGTGCAGTTTCCCACCACGACTGGTGTTTTCTTAATCTTCTTACCAACATCTAACAGGTCAACAATTACTTGGGCAGAGGTATGATTAGTCCGAACTATTTCAAGTAGTGGCATGACGTGTGCTGGACTGCATCAGGAAAATGAATATACATGATTTGTGTAGAATAAGCAAAACCAATCTGGGCATAAAAAATTCCCTAACATTCGTCTAGACTCCAAAGGATATGTAGTCACCTGAAAAAATGTGCTCCAACAATTCGATCCTGAGACTTGGTCCGCTCCCCAATTTTGTTCAAGTCAATGGTAGATGTGTTGCTAGCGAGAATACAATGCTGAGGACAGTACTTCTCCAAATCAGCAAAAATTTGTTGCTTCAAAGATATATTTTCAATAACAGCCTGTTCAAGCCACACAAAAAAACATCACCAAAAATCAATTCACTTATATCATATAAACCAATAAAACAGCTTCAGCTTTTTGTTCATTATTACCTCAATGACCATGTCCACATCCCTAAAGCTCTCATAATCAAGAGAACCCTTAAGGAGAGACATGGTTTTCTCAAACTTTTCCTTAGACATGCTTCCTTTCCTTACACGACTCTGAAGATTAGCTGATCAAATTAGGAAATTAGTCAGATCAAGCTATTGCAGTTCATTCAATAGCAACACAGAAATCCATTCCCACCTTTAACTCTGCCAATTCCCGCCTCCAGGAACTTCTCATTTACCTCCTTGAGAATCACTGGATAGTTACTTAGGATTAATGCAGTGGCAATTCCAGATCCCATTAACCCGCCACCAATTATGGCTACCTTTTTAATCTTCCTAGGCACCAACCCACCATCAGTAACTCCAGGAACCTGCCCATACGATAGATTGGAAGCAATCAGAAAAAGGAAAGGCTTTCATTAGTTAACATCTTATAAGAAAGGAAAAGTATAGTGGTACATATGTCCAAATGACATGACTGCATAAACACTAACCTTTGCAGTTCCTCGCTGGGAAAAGAATACATGGATCAAGCCTTTGGTGGTATCAAGGCTGATCACTTGAGAGCCGACTTCAGCCTCCTGTACGGAACAATATGGTGAAATTCGTACGGGTCAATAGTCTGGGGAAAAAGTCAAAAAGAACATGTAACAGAGCGATTGAAAGATAAGTAATATACCTTTTCTAAGCCAGCCCTTGGACCAGAAACAATACCCATTTCAAGAGCGTCAAGGCACATTAAGGGGTGTTTCATATTGGGGGCTTGCTTGCGTGTCTGTCCTCTGGCAAACTTCAGTATCTCCCTTGCCTCTCCAAGAGGAGGTAACTTGTCAGTCTTTAAGAGACTAGAAATCCATGGTTTTCTCCTCTCAACTATGTCAAGGGCCCAACGACGAGCAGTGGTTAATAACTCGGCAGATGGCACTACAGCATCAATAAGGCCCAATGAATGACCTTCTTCAGCTCTAACTGGCTTAGATGTCTACATGTTTCAACCAAGGAAATGTCGTTACATTTTAATTAAAGCAGACTAACACTTTTATAGTAATAAGGAACCTACATACCAAAATCATTTCAAGGGCTTTTGTGAGACCAACAAGACGAGGAAGACGTTGCGTTCCTGTGTCAATTTACAGGAGCATAATTAGGAGAAATAAAAACGAAAGTGACTTGATTCAATTTATAAAAACATGTATCACAAATCCTTTTCCCATCCACAACGCACATTGGGCATCAAAAATGTTTTGACTTCCCACTACACAAGTTTTAAAACATATGATGGTTCATAGGAGTCATAAGATCTGCCTCCTATATGATAAAAACTCGTACACAGCTTAAAGGAAAACATTAAGGACTTGACAATGAACAAAACTGAATTATACCTCCAAATCCAGGAATAACACCGAGTTGCAGCTCGGGCAGACCTAACTGTGCACCAGGAGTTGATATCCTTGCATGGCAAGCCTACAAAGAAAACATACAATTGCATCACCACCCATCTAATAAGAAAAAAGTTCACCAGGCTCAACATTCTCGAGATGATTATCCAGGAAGGTAGTGGATAGCATAGAAACTCGTACCATAGAAAGTTCTAACCCTCCTCCCAAGGCAAGCCCATCAATGGCAGCAACAGAGGGCTTCCTAGCAGCTAAATAAAAAGAAAAACAAATTGATCCCTCAGCAACAGATAATCAGAACCCCCATTGCATAAATCAAGTTAAGTAGGAACATAGACAGAAAACCTTCAAGCAAGTCGGTGATGATGTCGATTGATATGTATCCAACCTTTGGCTCTTTCCCTGAGAAAATCAATAAGAGCAACAGTAAACATTAGTACCTAAATCAATACATCAAAGCCAAAACAATCGCCAAAGATAACAAGAGACTGAAACATACTAGTCCCCTTCTGGATTTCACCAAAACCAGAAATATCAAAGCCACCAGAGAACTTTCCCTTTGCACCTGTACGTAAAAATAAAACACAATCAGTCAATAAGTCATTAACCAGATCATCTTCAAAAGTTTGCATACTAAAGATGTTGTTCTGTTTTTGAGAGTGGAAAGAGTCATGATCTCCAAAAACATACCAGTAATAACAATAGCTTTAACATCATTCCTGCTCAAGGCCTCCTCGTAATTACTTTTGAGGTTGTACAGCACTGTATAGCAGACAACACATACTATCAGATCATAAGTTCGATTCGGAAGCTGAAATTGCAATCGCGGAGATCACGAAACCATATCAAACGAATTGGGCGACAAATCAAACAACGAAATTGACCTTGATGAGATCAAATCAAATACAAATTACGGGATCAACAATAAATAAATCAGAGAGTAGTACCGTCAAAAGATAGAGAATTGACAGGAGGATTGATGAGTGTTATGACGGCAACGCCATCGCCACCAACTTCCATCACCGTCTTACCCTTGGTTCGTGAATCCATTCTTTGAGCTTCGTTGAGATTGTGAGTAAAAAACAAAAAAACAAATCGGAATTAAGAGAGAAGACGTGAGAAATCAGATATAATTACAAGAGATGATGACGTCTTATAAATAATACAGTGGCACACTCCTCAACGCAACGGTTCTTTGATAATGTTTTCGATAAGTGATTTTTTCCTTTTTTTCCTCTTATTCAGCAGTATACTATATGGTAGTTAAGAATTTTTTTTTATTTAAAGGAATACTTGACGAATTAAGAAGAAAATAATCAAATATATATGATTGTTCAACTCTCTGCGGATTTGTTTACTAATAAAGGTATGTTTTGTTTGGTCATATTCCTGTGACTACCAAACTTGGCGGATCGTAGTACTCCCGAATTGTGTAATCAAGCGACCTTTGTATAGATTTTTATATCTGATCAATTTAATACCAGTGTTCATTTTTTATAATGCTATTTTTGATATAAAACATTGTTTTTTGGCTATTTTTATTTATTCGATCATGCTAAATCTGTGTCTTATAAATTTGCGCCATCGTATATGTTAGTTAATTTCAGATTACATATATTATATTGGTGGTTTTTTTTCCCAGAATTACAAACAAAAATGTAAATGAAAAAAAACTTTAGAGATCAAATAAAATGTTAGTTAATTTCTTATGTATTGTCCCATAACGTGAAATACCGAAAAGAGGAATCGAATTAGCAGCTTTCATACAATTGATCATAACAGTAGTGAAACGTCTTATCTTAAAAGACTTGACTGATCAGGAAAAAAATATATGATGGGAATGGCTTAAAACTTAGATTTTTGGTTGACGAATATGATATTTTCCAAGGCAGAATTTGGGATTGGTTTGTGATGGGTTTGGGATTAGCTCTGTGATGGAGCTGCATGCTGTTTACGTGGCTGGCTCGTCGACGAAAATGCCTTGTGATGCAATGTCGGCTTTAGAAGAGGGTTGTGTCAGAGGAGACGCGCGGGAGGATCAAAGGAGGTTGCTTCAAGGTGGCTCAAGGCTTTGGAGAAGGCAGGGAGGTACAATGTTGAGGCTTGGTCTTAAATCCAACTTCCTTACGTTATATGAAGCCATGTAGCTTTTTTTTTACTTTATTTTGATAATTCACACAGTAACAAAGTTAACTAAAACGGAAGAGGATTTGTCTAGTGTGATGTATGTCTAAATAAATTTCGGTCGCAATATCGGTCTGAGACTTCAGCTGAATAAGGAGATGAAGCAGAAGGAGATGGAAGCAGAAGAATTCTCTCGAGACTAATTAAGCTCTTTTGTTGTTGTTTTAAACTTGTGATACACTTAAAACTCAACCTCCTCCTTTCTTTTCAATGATAAATCAAACTCAATCGGTAGCTTCATTCTTGCTTTGTATCAAACATGAACTCCAATACTCTAAGAGACAGGACTTATATTAATCCTCCTCCCATAGTCGTTTGAGTATTGATAACCCATTTTCATCAGAGAGATTTCCTGTTAATACCTGATATTGGAGTTCATGTGTTAACAGTAACGTAAGAGAGAAGATCTATAGATTCTTAGATGTGCTTTAAGTAATATAAACTAGCCCAAAAAAGACGAACTTATGACTACTCATTTATTCATTTTTTACGAATAAATTTTGCTCTTATCAAACTTAAGAACTTGATATGTTTTGCCTCCTCCAATGGTTAGAAGAACTCCTTTAGAATAACGTTTAAATTTTGTAAAACAATACATATATGTTTTTGTTTGGTTACAAGAAACAATATAATGAAGGTATGTATGATTATGGTGGAAGAAAGGTACAAAACCAACTTGGCTTCAGTCTGAAGATGAACCTTTGGGATGAAAGAGAATGCACCAAACTCAAAGATTGTGCAAAATCTTGAGTTCCAAGAATCCACCGTAAAACAGCTCCAAGAACATCAAAGAGACAGCCGCTACAAAACTTGACTAAGTAAGAAACCATTAACATTTTGTTAATGATCAATTCCACACTGTGTATTTTGTTCAGTTACAAAAACTGGATAGAGTCCTACAAGTAATTCTACTAATGGAACTGTAAATCAGAACACAACCAATGATAGGTATGAAAAGTACAAAACAAGAATGAAGGCCCTTGGACGTGATTGTATCAGCTCAATTAGATTCATGGTCTAGCAAAATTTGGTCAATTTCATGAATACACAAGTCATAAGCTTCATCACCGGCCAGTAGAAGAAAGCTAGGCACTTTAGGACTTTTAAGATGTGTACTAGGAAAGCCAAGGGTTACTAACCAAGCATTTTTTTAGTTTGCTATTATGGTATAGATTGCTATGAACTTATGAATTGTTGGTTATTTAGGAAGTATAGCCAATTAGCCTGACGTTCGGATCTCTCTAAACCTGTTTGTTTCGTTCTTATCACTTTCATATTATTTTCTTCTTCTTAAGTGACGAGGTACACGAGGATATGCGTGTACCGTTGATCCTCTTCCGAGATTATTGCTGATGTGGCATAGATAAACCAATCCGATAGTTTATTTGTTTATTTCTTTTTATTTTGCACTAATCCAATAGTAGTACTAGTTTATATCAGTAGTAGTACTTTTAGTCTAAATCCGACGATACTCGAACAGAGAGAAACACTTCTGTACGTAACATTTATATTTTTTAAGTTCCTCTTCTTAGAAACAATCTCATCTATCTCATCAGTTCACCTGTTTTTTTTTTTTGTCTTCTTTTCTATTCGCCTTTTACTGTTTTTACCAAAGAAAGACCAACCAACGATGATCGCGCGACGGATCTGGCGGAGTCATCGGTTTCTCCGCCCATTCAGCTCGTCATCTGTTTGCCCTCCTCCGCCTTTTCGGGTACCTGAGTTTCATCCTCAGTCGTCTTCTTCTCCGGCGTCGCGCCCATTCTTTCTTCACCCTCTCACTGTGAGTTTCTTCTTCTTCACTTCTTTCTTTTTACAATTAATTTTGGGGCATGGTTGTTCCTCTGGCTTCATTCTGACATTAGTTTCAGTAATCGAAACTGTATGAATTTAGAGGGACTTCAAGTTTGGAAAATTTGTGAAAACTCGTTTGCTAAGACTCTTGTTTGGATTTCCTGTAATTTTAGGACAAAAGATCAAACTAGTTTGTTATATTATTGGCAGTTGATGAAATGGTCTGGACAAAGTAGAAGCTGGTTTTCAAACGAAGCCATGGCCATAGATTCTCATGCAGGCCTAATTGATGTGCCTCTAGCACAAACTGGGGAAGGTATTGCTGAATGCGAGCTTCTCAAGTGGTTCGTGCAAGAGGTCTCTTGTTTTCTCCGCTCAAATCTTTCATTCTTCATTTTTTTTTTTGGATTGTTCTGTTTCGTTTCGTTATGAGTCAACCATTTTGGTGTTTTTGCTTTTTTGTGCAGGGAGATCCTGTTGAAGAGTTTCAGCCATTATGTGAAGTTCAGAGCGATAAAGCAACAATAGAGATAACAAGTCGTTTTAAGGGGAAAGTGGCTCTCATCTCACATTCTCCAGGTGACATTATCAAGGTTAGAAGAGCTTCACAACATGAAAAATAAATGTATACTCTTTTTTTTTTTTTTTCCTGGAATGTATCTAGATTCATGAGTTGATGGCGTTAGAGGTTACGTTTGAACACATTACACTCATGTCAACTTTGAACACTCTAGCGATGGTTGATTGTTATCAGCTAAACGATTTTGACATGTTAATCTTTTGTGCTAATCTATATATGTTTAAAAGCTTCTAAATCTATATGCAAGGTTGGAGAGACCCTGGTCAGGCTGGCCGTTGAAGACGCACAGGATGCTTTTCTAGTAACCTCTGATCGTTCAGAAATTGTAAATCCGGGATGTTTAAAGCAGAACATAGACAATGTCGTTGGAGCTCTCTCAACTCCTGCTGTACGTAACCTTGCAAAAGACCTTGGCATAGATATCAATGTTATAGCTGGAACTGGTAAAGATGGGAGGGTTTTGAAAGAGGATGTTCTTCGATTTGGTGACCAGAAAGGATTTGCAACAGATTCGGTTTCTACTGAGCATGCTGTTGTAGGAGGAGACTCAGTTTCCACTACAGCGAGTAACTTTGAAGATAAAACAGTTCCTCTAAGGTACGCCTATTATATCATTCTAAATTAACTCATCCTGTGTCTATTATTAACCCCCTGAAGTTTTCCTTATTCTCAGGGGATTCAACCGAGCAATGGTCAAGACAATGACTATGGCTACAACTGTACCGCATTTTCATTTCGTTGAAGAGATAAACTGTGACGCACTTGTGGAGCTCAAGCAGTTCTTCAAAGAGAACAATACAGATTCCACCATCAAACACACTTTTCTTCCTACTTTAATCAAGTCACTGTCAATGGCTCTAGCCAAATATCCCATAGTGAATAGTTGCTTCAACGCAGAATCTGTCGAGATCATTCTCAAAGGTACTTATATATAGGAACTTGGTATTGACATTTGGATTTTAAGTTTAATATCCTTAGACTATAGATATAGATATAGATATATTCTTGGTTTTATTGCAGGTTCACATAACATTGGAGTTGCAATGGCCACTGAACATGGCCTTGTCGTTCCTAATATAAAGAATGTTCAGTCATTATCTCTGCTAGAGATAACTAAAGAGCTATCGCGGTTACAGCATTTGGCGACAAACAACAAACTAAACCCCGAGGATGTAACTGGTGGAACCATAACTCTGAGTAACATTGGAGCAATCGGCGGGAAATTCGGATCCCCTCTTCTAAACCTACCAGAAGTTGCAATCATCGCTCTTGGAAGAATCGAGAAAGTTCCAAAATTCTCAGAAGAAGGAACTGTTTATCCTGCATCAATAATGATGGTATGTTGTTAATCATATTATATCAAAGTTACAAGAACTGTTGTTAGTAACCAAAGTCTGATTAATGAAAGGGGTTTATGAATCAGGTTAACATAGCCGCAGATCACAGAGTCCTAGATGGAGCAACGGTAGCTCGGTTTTGCTGCCAGTGGAAAGAGTACATCGAGAAACCGGAGTTGCTAATGCTTCAAATGAGATAGATGTTACTTTGTGAATCATTATGAGTGATACAATGGTATGTATCTTCATGTTCGAATAAGATCACTGTTTTATAACTGAGCTAGCAGTTGTAAACTAAACAGATATATAAAAGTCATATCTAAAATACCAAAAAAAAAGCCTTTAAAACGATGAACACAAAACTGCATCATATAATAAAAAGACACTAGCTAGCTAACCTCACAAGTCGACATGGAACAGTTCTAAGAAGGCGTGTTAAGGAATAAGGATCATCAACGTTGGCTTTGCAAAGCACTAATAATTTAATAAAAAGAGTCGTACAAGACAAAGGAATATCCAATCTTACCGGCTCCAGTCACTTTCAAGTTTCAACAATCACGATTTGAAATTTTCATATATCTATAATCCATACAAATGGATTCACGTGAGATAGATGAATATTATTATTATTTTTTTTTTTTGGTTAAAAAAAGGAGATACAAGATGAAAGTACTTTGCAGCTTTCACCAGTTGTAAAACACAAAGATTATTTAAAGCATCACATTATCCTATTGAACTCCTCCGACAAAAAGAAAAAAGTAGTTTTGGAAAGGACTAGTTAACTTTTTTACGTGACCAAGTAAATGGGGGAAGAGCAGATAGAAATCCTCTGTGGCTGTTCCATGTTAAGCTCTCGTAAACTCAGGTACGGGATCGCCCTCCCTGGCGTTAATGTTCCCGCTATAGGTCCTGACGAATGTCTATTTGTACTTGCACGGTACGGTGTGCTCAGACTCTCCGTTGCGTAAATCGGACCAGACATCGATCCGGTTACGGTTCGAAAGTTCCTAGCTCTACGATCTTCGTTCAAGCCGGCGGCGACAGGCCATTTCCGCCATTTGAAGAAAGGGAGAGCCTTTTTCCACCAGCACCGTTTCTTCCTCTTGTTGGTGTGCATCGTGGATCGGGTCGGGTCATCTTTCGAAATGGGTTTTTGGATCTTGAATTGAAGACCGTTGTTCATGGATGACTTTGCCCATGTTTCTCTCTTATGCTTTCTCGCTTCCTCCATAACCTTTTCAACCAAAACCATTTTAAATTCAAAAACAGAGTAAAAGAACAGAGTCGAAAATGTACCGCAACAACAACCAAAAAAAAAAGAAAACTTTTGATGTGATTTTGTTAGTTGGAGAAGGAATACAAAAACGTAAGAAAAGACCTGAAAGTAGTGGACTTGAGGATCGAAGCCATAGTCGCTGAAATGTTGAGAATCGGGGATGGGGAATATTGGGGAAATGTTGGACATCCTTCTTCCTAGCAATGTCTGTCGTAGGGAGTTCCGGAGCTTTAATGGCGGAGAAAATGGATGAAAGAGCTTTGTGAAGAGAGTTGCCCGTTGGGAGAGTGTGGGGTTCACTCAACTTCAATGCAACGAGAGAGTCGTCTATTGTGTCCTTTTCCAAACAACCCTTCACCATCTTTTCTTTTCTTTTCTTATAAAAGGCCATACATGTTATTTAATCATCTCTTTTTCAATTCCTTTTTTTAGTCTTCACAATATTATTAGTTTTCCTTGCCTTTCTTTGTCATCTTCGTTTTTAAAAAACAAAGTAATACTAACAATAAGTAAAACTTAGTGTATGGAAGGCTACAAAAGTCGTTGTTCCTTTTAATTTCCCGAAGCGAAGAATGTTATTGTTTTCACCGTTCAAAGAACAATATTGGATCTCGAACGACGATACATACATACATGATACATGTGCATAAGCATCACGTGAATCTCCATAACTCGACGTTTGATTTTATCATATTAATTAATTGCAACGTTTGTATAACATTGAGCTGGACTCTGGAGATGCTAAACTCTCCAATAAAATAACGAATTAATCATTCTTCAAAAAAAAAAATTAAAAAATTTTTACAAAAAGTTGTTGAATCAATTTACAAATTGGAGTCTCTCCTACATGTTCGCGGTATAGGGAACTTGGGTTTGTGGGATCCAAGTCTCGCCACCTAAGAATTTGTCGCCAGTGTATAATAGAGCGTCTTGGGGCGTTAGTTTCTTAATTCCGGGCCATTTAACTCTATGGGCCTGATTCGATCCAGGCCCTGTATTCAAATGCTCGGCGTAGTATAGCGTCTTGAGCGCAAAATCCCCACTCCACGGAAGCCATCCCGCCGGATCGATTACGTCATCGATCGCCGTCTTCATGACGATCGTCCTCGAGAACTCCTTCCACGGCCTTCCTAGGTAAGCTTTGCTCTCCGATTTCACCGGGATATACGCCGAATCTCCTGTTATATGGCAGTTATGGAGCACCAGTCCGGTCGATTCACGGACGTTGCTTCGTCCCTGCGCGGTCACCATACACGACTGTCCTTTCTTAGGCTTTCGCACGACGATTTTACAGTTCTGGAGGATGCACTTCGCGTCTCCGAAGATGAAATCGACGGTACCGGAGACTGTGCAGTCACGGTAGAATTGCCGGTGAGAGTGAACGTATAATGTGTCTTGGTGACCGTCGATTTGACAGCTCTGGAACGCGGCGTAATCCGCCGATACTCTTAACGCCACGGCTTGCCCTCCTTCTGGTCCAGCTGTGTTCTCGATTCCGATGTTCTTCGCTGTGAAGTGGTCGCCTTCTATTGCTGCGAAACAGAATTTGGTAATGCTAAGAATCTCTCTCTGTGGGATTTTTTTTACAGTTTTTTGAGCAATGGAGATTGAAACTTACTGATGGAGCCTGTTAGGAAGGTCTTGACCTTGCCGATACCGAAATTGAGACTACCGGTGATTACCGTCTTGTTTGGTCCATCGCCGATGAAAGTGACGTATGGCATTTTCCGGGTGACAATGACTTTCTCCTTGTAGATACCTTGTTTGATGTGGATGACGAATGGCACTGTGTTGCCTTTAGGCACAGCGTTTAGAGCATCTGCTATAGTCTTGAACTGGCCACTTCCATCTTGAGCCACCACAGCATTAGCCTTCACTGGTCCAGGTCCTCCACCTTGTGCTGCCAGGAGCCGTCGTGCCTCTGGTCGAACCCATGTTGGGATACCATCTTCTGCAGACAGAAGCTTTCTCGCGTAGTTTGTAAGAGTTCCGGTTAGTCCTGTTATCAAGAATCACATTACCCCATTTATTGATTATGAATGATTGGTCATGGATATCTTTGGTGAATTGAAAGATACCTGTGTCGTTGGAGCTCGGGAAAAGGGTGGACATGCTAGAAACCATGGCAAGGCTATTGCTGCTAAGCTCTTTTGATGTTTGGAAAATGTTTTGCATGTCTTGCATAAGATTGGACTTGATTTCCTCAAAGGAGTCCATACATGTTTGCTGGAATGCGATGGAGCCACTTAGCCAAACCCGTAGATCCTCAACAAAAACCTCAACCCTATCAACCGAGAATCCATGATCCATACATTTCTTTAAGTCCTCAATAGCATCAACCATCAGCTTTTCACATAGCTCAAAAGCACCCTTTGCATCTGGGTCTTTGCCAGCCTTGGCTTTAATGTCTCCTGACGCTTTTTTGAGGCCTTCGTTGATGGACTTGATAGTGACGTCGAAGCCGAGTTTGATGAGGTCTAGAGGCTCAGCGGATTTGGGAGAAGCGCTCATTAAGCTGTTAACACAAGTTTCTTTGAAGTCAGTGGGTGCACAAACTGCTTGAACTGCTTTGGTGGTTTTCTTGATCTGATTTTCCTCGGCTTTGGGTGAGTGCTTAGACGTTACAACGGCTACAGAGACAACCATGATGACTAACAAACCGGAGACACTACCGGCAATGATGCATTTCTTTTTCTTATCACCATCAAACCCCATTTTTTGCTGTTTCCTATATTCACAAACTTCTAAAGGTCGAAAAAGGAAGTTTGTTGTAGTTTTCAAGTTTTTTTTCCTACTTTTCTAATGTTTTTCTATACATGTTAAAAATGGAGCAGATGGGGCCAGTAACTGTGGCTCTATATAAGGCCCCTTCTAGCTCTGAGTTTTTGTTTTTTTCTTTATAGGGGGAGGGGGAGGGGGAGGGGGAGGTTTTGGTGTTTGGTATATACAATGCTTAGAACAAATTGATTGAAAGATCGATGGGGCTAATATAGAGAAGAGTTGTAATGCTATTTCTGGGGTTTGAGAAAAAGACATGAGGCTATGTTACATTTTCTGTCTTTAGTAAATATTGTCTTGTCTAAATATTAAAATTTCCCGCTTTTATGATAGCCTATGAATAGTATGGTCTTTGGAGTCATGAATTTGTGGGCTGAAGTGATACATGTTAAACGTAATCTTGAAGATTTTCTATGAAATCTATGATTCGAATGATTCTTACTAAATGGGGAATTGATTTAGAGGTAGAGAGTAAAAGTAGCGGCAACAACGCCTGAGAAGAATCTCACAAGGGTTAGTTCCTTTGGCTGTTGAATGTCACAATGCAAATCATCATATTAAGTATAAACAATATGAAACAGATGAGAAGATCTTGTATAAACTTGTTCAGATTTAATAATAAGACCTAATAACAGCTTTATTATATTATATAAGTAAAATGAGACTCATCTGATTCTTATTCTGAGAATCAAATCGCAGATTTGTAAAAACTTTAAAGCTTTGAAGCTCTCTGTAGTTCTAATTTGCCAATGGTCCCAAGATGAACCTCATCAGGTCCATCAGCAATCCTCAGTGTTCTAGCCGTAGCCCACAGATGAGCTAAAACTGTGTCGGAGGATACTCCGGCTGCTCCATGAACTTGTATTGCTGTGTCCAGTACCTTCAACGCCATGTTTGGAGCTGCAACCTGAGTACCAAAATGATTTTGCTCCTTCACGATCTACTTTGGTCGATTTCTGACCGAAACAAAAATTCCAAAGATGTTACGGTTTTTACCTTGGCCATTGCGAGAATTCCTCTAGCTTTTTTGTTTCCAAACTTATCGAGATGATCAGCAGCTTCTAGAACCAACAATCGAGTTCCTTCCAGCTCAACCCTCAACTGTATCATACCAAGTAATCATATAAGAAGAGCTCATAAGAAGCATTTGGGTGATTTAAGTACGCAGTGTCATTTACCTTTGCAAGATCAGAGACAAAAGAACCATGCTGTGCAATGAACTTCCCAAAAGTTTTCCTACTAAGAGCTCTTTGGGCCATTAACTCCATCCCACGCTCTGCGGCACCTATCAGTCTCATGCAATGGTGCAATCTTCCAGGGCCTAACCTACCCTGATATAACAAACATAGCAAGCGACCGATAAATACAATCAATACTCTCTCTGTTACTGTAAGCCCTGAATCTGTGGATCAATTGTAGTATTACCTGGGCAATCTCGAACCCACGGCCTTCTCCAAGGAGAATGTTCTTTCCCGGGACAACCACATTTTCAAAAGAAATTTCAGCATGTCCATGAGGTGCGTCATCAAAACCAAACACTGTGAGAGGCCTCTTCACACGTATACCTGGAGTCTGCATGTCCACTAATATCATAGACTGCTGCTTATGTTTTGGGGCGTTGAAATCAGTTTTTCCCTGTAGCACACATATCATTTCAATGAATAACCAACATTCATGCGTATGTGTGTATATAGATGGATAGATTTATAGAGAGAGAAAAAAAGAAACGAAACGAAAACTAACCATGAGAATAAGGACTCTGCACCTGGGATCCATGGCTCCACTTGTCCACCATTTTGTGCCATTAATGACGTATGAATCACCTTGTCTGCATCAAAAACAGAAATAGCTATAAGGAATAATATGGACTCAGTCTCAGTTTCAGGATTTACTAGAAGAGACATTGAAGGTGACATATAGCATACATATGCTTTTGGTTTTCAATTTGTTAGTTGAGAAGAATGGAAGTAGATTCCAACTTAACGAGAATCAAAGTCAATCTCTAACCTTCGAATAGAGCATTCAATATTGGTTGCATCAGACGATGCAACTTGTGGCTCAGTCATAGCAAATCCAGAACGAATTTTTCCCTCAAGCAACGGAATAAGCCATTCAGAAATTTGTTCTTTATTTCCATATCGCAGTATCACCTGCAAGACAGTACAGATAAGATAAGTACAACTATGACCAAAATTACTAATGGACCGTAAACAAATCAGGCTTTTTTACCTCCATGTTTCCAGTATCAGGTGCACCACAGTTAAACACCTGTGGAGCCCAAACAGAACGACCCATGATCTCACAAAGGTAACCATACTCGAGGTTCGTGAGGCCCTCACCAAACAATTGATCAAAAGACTTGCCCCAGATATTATGATTATTCTCAGTACCCGCCAGTTCTCTTCTAGCTCTAGCAGCACTATCTACCTGCAAGAACCAAGAATCCCATGAGTATAGTCTCTCTCAGGGTGAAAACAATAATAGATTTGTAGAGAAAGAGATGCATACAGGAACAAATAAGTTCCATAGGCCTTCTCTCTTTGCCATTTCCTTTAACTTTTCCTCCTCGGGGTGAACGGTCCATCGCATATCTGATTGAGCAAGTTTGGAAAACTCGCTTTCCATTGGGTAGATGTGAGTTTCCATAAACTTGATCAACTTTTGCCTTAACTCCAATACTTTTTTGTTGGGGATGAATCTCCCGCTTCCATCTACAAGGCTTTCATACGACGAGCCCACGTCCCTTTGAACTGCATCCCAAATGAGGATACTAGGAGCGATCAAATCACAGTTTATCCGCATATGAAAAATGTAAAATAAACCATTTCCCTTAACAAACTCGAATCTCAAAGAGGTTAATTACCAGATGGAGGTTGTTCTGGAAGAACATTTTCTCGTGCAATATAAGCCAAGGCAGTCTCTACAAGCTCATTAGCTTGAGCCCCTGTATTTCGAGCTCGTTCACCGGCAGAAGCATTCCCCTGCATGATCAACACAATGTCAATGGCTCTACAACTGCAGACCAAAAAGTCTAAGAACAGAAAAATATTCCCAGGCAATACCATTAACCATCTGTTGTACACCCCCGTGTAGATTGAAGCAGCCCGAAACAAAGAGAACGCTACGTAGAACTTCCAGTTTGCAGCAGGCCATGGTTTTCCCTAAAGTTCATTTGCCAATATGTCACAACAATCGAAATTTGAGAAAATATAGCCAATGTACGAGGAAAATTAACTTGGTTCCTTTTAAAGGGCTACACAGGACTCACCGATGCAGAACAGTATTCTAAGAGAAATTCTGGCATAGAAAGCATTCCTTCCGGAATTCCAGTAGTTTCAAGACCTTCACTAACATGCTCCTTATCAAGCTGAACATTCACAATGTAATGCTGCCAACACCATGAGTTATATATATGTCAGAGCAAGAAACAGAGAAAGCTGCTTTGTGAGTACAAAATAACAAACAAGAATAGCTTATTACCATACAGCTGTATGCGACATCACACATTTGATTCCCAAGCGTGGACAATTCCCAGTCAATTATTCCAATAACTCGATCCTGCAGCTTAAAGAATTTTCAGCAAGGTCTCCAGGACTATTTCAGGATCAGAAAACAAAAGGGCTTGAAAGTATTCAGACCTCAGAAGGATGAAACACAAGATTGTCAATACGGAAATCTCCGTGTACAAGGCCTGATGTTGCTCCTGTTGAATCTTCCGCAGGGATGCTTTTGCGTAACCAATCAACAAGTTCAAACATCTTTGGATTCCTTTCAGGTTTACCTTCACTTGTTGAAGCCAAATATTGTTTGAACCACCTATCTATCTGTAATGGAAATATCCAGAAAAGAAACTTAGCAGGAGCATAAAAGAATTAAGAGAACAACAAACTAGTGAGTAATATCGCGAAATTCACCACCCCAAAAAATGAAGAACAAACCTGTCTTTTGCAGTAATTGCCTCGCCGACCATATTTCTCAAGACCAATGGCATCCACATCAGCAGAGTGAAGAGATGATAAGGCTTTAGCAGTTGCACGATAGATCGCACTTCTCCTTTCAGGTGCTACATTCTAAGCCAAAATTTATGAAACACGCACAACTAATGTCTTCATATCAGGATGACTCACATGTCAAGCTAGAAAACAGCACATTAACAAATTCACATAACAGAAAATCTTACAGGCAACTTAGGGTCTATGAAGATGCGTCCTTCCATAAACTCCATAATGTAAAACGCAGTCCCAATCACAGTAGGGTCAGTACATAAGCAGAAGACTTTAGGAACAGGAACCTGTGTATGTTCACCTAAAGCCTGAAGCACCTACATAACCACCATCAAAGTATTAAGCAAAAAAGCATCTACCTTTATTTGATACTGTGTCTATTATAGGTAGCATCACAATCAGTTACATGATTATGTAATACAAGCAAAAAAATTCCATCTTCGTCAGATATCGAGTAGTATACTCATTCAAATTGCCATGATTTGGGGGGTTTTCAGAGTTAAAGAATTGATACCTGAAACTCCCTTTCAACAGCATGAGCAGATTGAAGGAGCTTCCCAGGAGGCTTCTTCCTCAAAACGTATCGTTTCGATGAACTCCCTGAGCCAACCTCAATCAGAAACGTGGGATTCGACTGCCCGTGTCCGAACTGTTGAACAAAAAAAAACAGATAAAGTTTCTTTCTTACCGGAGAAACCTCAAAAGACGACAGCGATCAGGACAGACATACCTGTGAGACTTTGAATTGGGATGGGTCGGTCGGGAAACCGGAGATGTTGTCGGCGGCGAAACGAAACAAAGCATGGTGATCGAACCGATGAGCAGGTTGAACACGTGTCACAAGATCGCCCGTGCTGCTGCCCATGTCCTCTCCTTCACTCCTCTATCTCGCTATGCTCCTCAGACTTGCAACGAATACCAAAATCCAAGAGATTCATGCACAAGAATTATTCTCTCTCTCTCTAGAACACAAAGACGCATTGATATCAAACAATTCCATTAAAGGAAAGTCTTGGATAATTTTTATTTTATTTTTTACCAATTAAACAATTGTTTATCTACTTTCCTGATTTTATGAGATATAATTCTATCTTTTATCTTATTTACAGTAACCTCTACCCAAAAAAAAAAAAAAAAAAAAAATTTACTACATTTAACCATTTCGATTATCTGATTTTGATAATGATCGTGGCTAGCCAAAGATAAACTCAAGTATAAAAGGTTTATCCACGGATAGTGGCATAGTTTGCCTTGCCAACTCAGATTAAATGATTTAGCTTAGGACGTTCACACTTCACACTAAGAAAGCTTACACAAAATGAATACGTTTGTGCGTCGGAAAAGAAAAATATCTACAAATGACTTCTCAAAACAAAACTTGAGAGATTGATGAACAACTATTTTCAATTTGGTGATTTGGTCTAAAGGGCTTGATACAACGGCTGCCATTTTAAGTTCAGTAACCCATATTAAAACATATATTAAAGGCCCACTTAGCCCATATAGTTCTCTCGGAACTCGAATCAACAGAAAAAGACTGAAGAGAAGATACAACAGAAGCCGAAACCCTCACCGGCGATGGCTCTTACACGGCGCACATTAGCGACACTCCTAAACAAAACCCTCTCCTCCTCTCCTTCTTCTTCTCTCTCTACGCTCTCTTCTCGTTCTCGATTCGCTTTGCCTCTGCTTGAAAAGGTTTTCTCAGCCCGTACCGGACTTGGTCCCTGTTACCTCTCGACCCGACTCAAGACATCCGGGTCCGGATACTCTCCCCTGAACGATCCTTCGCCGAATTGGAGCAACCGTCCGCCAAAGGAGACGATTCTTCTCGATGGTTGCGATTACGAGCACTGGCTCATCGTCATGGAGTTCACTGATCCCAAACCAAGTGAAGAAGAAATGATCAATGCTTATGTCAAAACCTTAACTTCCGTCCTTGGCAGGCAAGTTCTCTTTTCCAATTGAATTTTGTTAAATTCTTCCCAATTCATTTGATCATTTGTGATTTGATGTATTTGCGTTTCTGTGGGTTTACAGCGAAGAGGAGGCAAAGAAGAAGATCTACTCTGTTTGCACTTCCACCTACACTGGCTTTGGTGCTTTGATCTCTGAAGAGCTTTCTTGCAAAGTCAAAGGTATAAAAAGTTTCATGTTTGTAATAAGCTTTTCAGGCCTTCTTTGCTCCGATTCTGAGGTAGCTTCTCTGGTGTAATAGTTATGTGTTGCTGTGTACCGTAAAAGGGTTTCTAAATTTTGGTTCTGCTCTGTTCAATTGGTTTCGCTGCTTGGATGGGAACTTGTCTTGATCGTTGTTATTGTCTGTTCTAGTACGATTATGAAAACATATTTCTACTGTCGGAGATCTGATACAGAGTTGTGTGTAACATTAGGATTGCCTGGTGTTCTGTGGGTGCTGCCGGATTCATACCTTGATGTACCAAACAAAGACTATGGAGGTGTGTAACGTTTCTGGATATCTTGTGAATGATTGGGATATGAGATATACCTACAAGCGTATGAAATGGAGACTGAGAAGTCCGAGAAAAAGCATTGCTGCAGCACAAACTAAGACAATTCTTATTGAAACCATCTTGTCTTGTTTTCAGGTGACTTGTACATTGAAGGAAAGGTCATACCAAGACCACAGTATAGGTTCACAGAACAGCGCCAGACTAGGAACCGGTCTAGGCCAAGATATGATAGGCGACGTGAGACAATGCAAGTGGAGAGGAGAGAGCCATCCATGGGTCAAGCAAATCCAGGGGAGTTCAACAAGCCTGGTGCTTAATATAATAAAAACCTTTATCGACATGAACAAAGTATGCGTCTGTTATGGAGTTTATTAGGATTATGGTATCACATGCCAGCCTTCTTGTAAGAGATCTTTCAATCTATCCAATCGATCAATCATCATCATTCATGTCTCTAATAAATGATTTAACTCCTCTAAACAAGAGCAAATTATAGAAATCTAAAAGATGATTTGCAAAGGAAATTAAAAATATATGTACAATGTATATAAATATATATACACACGGATCGATCATATAATATAATTGGAAATGAGATTAAGAATCTAAAACCAGGCAGGGATCTCAATCACACTTCACACTACGACCACAAATTTGTCAGCACACCGGAGATAATGTGATGTTCAACTTCTCCCTTTCACCGTCGGTCACGATCCTCGCTATCCTCTTGAAGGCGAAGTGCACACAGTTAGACAACGCGATCCAGCAAATCACTTCATACACGAACTCCATTGCTGGATCCGACCAAGACGAAAACGACGACTCGTCCCAATTCTCCCTCCCGAAACCACCGCCACCGCCGCCGTAGTTCCATCCCTTTCCACCTCCATCGTTTCCTCCTCCTCCTCCAAATCCGAATGGACCGTCGTCACCACCGAAATCACCTTCCAACAAAAACCGACCAAAATCTCCAACATCGTCTCCATCACCGCCAAAGGAAACTCGCCTCGTACGTCGCTTCTTACGGATCCGGCGGATGGTCTTATACGAGCTAGATCTGACCGGAGGGGGAGCGAGTGCGTCAACGGGAAAGATAATCGCCGATGCTTGAACGATTCCTCCACCGGGAGATTGATGATCGACGGCGGAATCGGCGAAGGAAATATGATTGGCCAAATCCAACCTTTGAAGGAGAGATTTGCCAAACACGATACCTTGCTTAGCCGTAAAGAGTGTGACTGTATCGGCGACCAAAGAGAACTCCATGATGATCTACAAATCCACGACGATGACCTTGTTCCGGATATTTTTTTATAATCCCCAAAATCGACGAAACAGTTTTGGATTAGGGATTATGCAACCTTGCCGGCAAATTCGGGTAATGACGGAGATAAATGAGGAACCTGATTCGGATCCGAAGGAGGCGGATAAATTGGACACGTAATTGATTTGCGCGTTGAATAGAGAAGCCACGTGTCCTCTTGTCGTCACACGTGAGTAGCACGCAACAAGGGTCCGGTCCGGTCCATTAACACGTGAAAGCCCAAAGGTGATTTATCGAAGACCAATAAGTTTATACTTGCTTTAAAACACCTTTTAGTACTCTCATTTGAGAAGATCATACTCCCTCTGTTTCTAATTCTAATTGATTGATGTTTTAAGATTTTTACACTTATTAAAAAAAAGTGCAACTTTTATTTATTAATTAGTTTATAATTGTTTGTGTGTAGAAAAAGAAAATACAAACCATTAATAACATGACATGTGGAAAAAAGCAAAAAGTAAAATAATCATTTTTATATTTTAATCTACAAAATCAATTTTTTTGAAAGAACAAAAATTCTCAAAACATCAATCTATTAGAAACAGAGGGAGTATTTACTTTCAAACACCTTTAAGTACACATGTTTTTAGTTACGGACTTACGGTACAAAGAAAAACGCTCATATGAACATGGTTATATCAATAATCAATTTCTATACTACCTAGCTAGTTTGATAAAAATGAGGAAGTAATTGGTAATTTCTATTGATATTAATCAAAGACGTTAGCATCCCCATGTGATTATTACTTTCGGGTGACCAATTACAACCGCTATGTTTGACTTTTAAAACTCTGATTTTGAGCAGTAATGAATTAGGTTTAATTTGAATATATTACTGTAATTTTGTTTGGCTTCATTGCAACAAGTCAAACCTAGTTTAGAAAACCTATGATTCAAAACACAAAGTGCTTTTGAGTTTCTTTTAATTCTTTCTTAATAAAGATAAACGTGCTTGTAACATTAGGTACGAACTTAGCTTATGTCCAAAGCCACTTTCATATGCAGTACTGTTTTTGTTGTCTCAAGTATAGTCAAACATCAAACACCAGAAAACAAATCACGATATCCGATCGGAATCCAATTTTCGAAGCAAAAGCCAGAGATATGTATACTATAGCATAATACTACCATATGTATATTGAGGTTTTAACATTTGTTGTATCTAGACATATTAGACTTCCGAGGTTTTTGATTCAACCCATGCAAAATATTGTGCAAGGAAACCAATAGAAAATTCTATCAGCTTCAATGTTTTTCATGTAAACTGTGAAAAGAGAAGAGGAGTAGGGTTTAATTAGTTGCTTCATTACTTTGATTGTTTCACCTTTGTCAATAGATTTCAAATAAAAGCTTTAAAAAGTGTATGTATAAGTTTACTTCTCTAGAGCTACTATATGTATCACAAGTTTCGTGTTCCAGTATTAAATTGATTCTCTACATTTTACAGCTATCTAACGTCATAGAGATATACATGATTTAATTAAATGAAGGAGTACTTTTCGATTGTAAATTCTGTCATCAAATACTATTAGAAAACTTCACCTAACCATTCATAATTTCATATATAATGTACATGACACTATACTACCCACAACATGCAACCCTCTTTTTTTTTTGGTCATAAAAGATGCAACCCTCTTAAATATTACAAAAAGAAACCAATCTAATCTACAACAGATGGAATGGAACCACAAAATGTATAACAACATGCATATGCAACATGATTTAACATCTGAAACTTTATACTTGTACCTAAATACATTCTGTTAATAGTTTGGTAACTAGTACATTTTACCTAAACCTAGTGATTACCGTTATATTGATTTTGCTTCAAAGTAATTGACATTTATGTCGGTAGAAAACAATGATAAAGCCGTTTTGTTATTCAATTTACAAATTACAAGAATTTACAATTTATTTAGTTATAATAAAAATAATTCGTCCAACACAATTCTTTCTATTAATTTGTGATTTTTTTTTCAAAACAATCTTGGTAGTAATTTGTCGAGCTGCAACGTGGCTAAAACGGCTGATCCAACGCTGGTAATTAAGTTACTTTACCTTGTACGTAGTTCTTACTCGATCGTTCTTCGTTTTGATACTTTTTTTCTTTTCAGTAGAATTTTGTTAAACTCGATTAGAAGGAAAAAAAGATTTTATCATAAATGGATTAGTTTGTTAATGTTTCTCTCTCTGATCTCTTCTAATTTAAAATGTCAATCCCGCAAAGTCTGCCTACCTTCTCTTAACGTCTTCTCTCTCTCTCTTTCTCTCTCGCTATTCTACTCACTCCTTCTCCTTCCATATTTTCCTTTCACCTCTCCATTTTCTTGGAAAAGGTTCTTGAAACTTTGTTTTGTTGCATAAATGGGTAAGATCCGACCCGGAACGGATCCGAAAGCGGCATTGGTCTCAGATATTCTAACCCTATCCATATCACCAATCTCTTGCATTCATATCAACCGCATCTCCGGTTCGTGTTTCATCGACTGGTATCTCATTCTCGGTGTATGTTCTCTTTCCTTCTTTTTCTTATTGCGTTTTATTCAAGTACGAATGATTAAATAAAAGAGATCGAGCACTGGATTCATCTTGATTATTAAAAAAAAAAAAAAACAGATCCAGGAAGATGCAGAGGTCAAGCTCATACGTAAACGATATCACAAATTAGGTCGGATACTATTTGAATTTCACTTTCAAATTTGATTAGCTATCTTTATTGTTACATTTTTTTTATAACATTTTCTGGTTATGGTATATTAATTCTAAGATAAACTTGGTTTATTTTGTTCAGCTTTGAAGCTTCATCCCGATAAAAACAATCACCCAAAAGCAGATATTGCTTTTAAGCTCATCCACGAGGTCATCTATATATATTTTTCAATCTTATTTTTATATAATAAAAATCCTAGCTAGCAGTCTTCTTGACATGTATATATTTGTTATCTTTTCATGAAAGACACATAATATCTATATATATATATATATATATAATGTGTGTGTCCACACACACATACTTAACTAGAGAGCATCAGGATGAATTCTAGCATTTTTCCAATACAACAATACTCTTCATCTATCTTGTAGCCCGGTTTGGCGTCTACTGTTTAAACTAGCTTACTTACTTTACTTATGCGACGCATGTAGGCTTACTTATGTCTTTCAGACGAAGCAAAGAGAAGATGCTTCAACACGGACCGAAGAAAGAACATTTGCATAAAATGCAGCAGCCGAGTCTCGCACAAAACCAAAGAGAAGAACCGTAGCGATTCCAAGCCGAACCGGTTCTGTCAAACCCTCAGGGACATAAGGGACAAGTTCAGAGAGGAGAACAAGGTGATAGAGAGGTGTCTAAAAACAAATAGTGCAAGATTCATGGGGAACAGAACAACAGAGGAAAGCTCTGTTTATGGTATACCAAACCGAAACCGGTTTAATAAAGAGTCGCCTGTGTTTAACCCATCAGATTACAGGTTATGGGGTTATCCACATGTGAGAAATCGGGTGTTGGACAACAACTTGTCGGATTGGGGCATTTTTATGAGAAGCAGATCCACTTGTGTTCACTCATCCTGATCAATGTAGTCTTTTTTATTTTATTTTTATTTTAAAAAACCACCCTTTAGTTTAAATAAAGTGAGAAAATATCTATTGAAGAATTTCGTAGCTTCTTCATTGTATTCTTTCATAATTCAAATCTTTCGACTAAAATCAATCATATCTTGTTGTTATCTTTACAAACATAACGCATTACGGAGTTGGAACGCAGCCACACAAAAAAAAAAAAAAAAAATCCATATGATGTAGCCATGTAGGTAGTCATTGTAATATCACTTGGTGACTATCATCAGAAACTACAAAGAGCCTTATCCTTTTCACTTGTTCTCTTTTCAAAAGACCCGCGAAAGATATCGTCTAATGATGATGATTGGGTCTCATAGGCCTAAGTTTTCTTTTGTTACTTGTCCATATTGTTGGGCCTTAGCCCGATATCTTTTGGGTTTCTACTTTTCTCTCTTTCTTTCTAATAAGCCCTTCCTTATAATAAAATACTACCAAATTTTGTAAAAATTTATCCCTGAAATTTCGTATTCGCATTACAGAACACAAAAGATTAAAAAAAAGAATAAGTAATAGAGGACAGAAAAAAGAAGTGCCAGGCTGGCAAACTGGAGTAGGACTCATTCGCGCCCTGTCAGTCCACATGCTTTATAGTTTATAGCATTTCTTCTATCTTGCTTTATATATATTTCAAGTCCAATGTTTATTATTATTCCTTAATGCTTAAAATTATTCTTTATTTTTCATTGTATATTTCTGAGCCCAAGACGAAAAAAGGGAAAAGATCATAAATTTTTGCCTAATATAGTTTTTTGTTCTTTCTCATAACTTAATAGAATGCTCTCATTAGTAAGTAAACTTTGAATATACAGCTAGCGATAATTTTATACGGGTCTTATTTTTCCCTTTTCATAGATAGGTAGTATACTGTATATATACACCATTATTGAATGGTAATATAACATCTGAAATAAGATAAGGAAATACAGTCACGAAACATGTATATAAATACATTAATATTTGGTGACCAGAAATAAAAACATTAATTTTTTGGACATTGAAAAATTATACGGAATTCACAAATTGAGCCAAAAATTAATAATTGAATAAAATAACATGAAGATATGAAACACATGCATTGTCTAAAACAAAACAACAATAATAATAATTTGTTCTGAAGTTGGCCAGGGTAACAGCTTTAAAACAGCCCTTATGTGTCTCTCTCGCATCTCTGTTTCTTCTTTGTTACTCTCGTCAATCGTCATCTCTCTCTCTCTTTCTCTCTTATTTGCGCTATGCCCTGAGACTGCTGAGAAGAAGATTTGTCGGCGATAATAATACGTTACTACCAGATCCCTTAATCAATGTCTTCTTAAGACAAAATTCAATATTTGTATTAATTTTTGCTTAAATAGTGATTATTACCCTTTAATAAATGATTACATACCATTTTTTCTCATTCCCTCTTTCCCTTTTTAATATATGGAATATATATTTTGTAATTTGTTTTCTTTTAAGTATATTCTTATATTATTTTCCTTTTTTCGCATCAACAAAATCAATTTATTTGCGCAAATAAAGCTGTCATTTCGGCGTCAATCTTCTTCCAAACATTATTTCCCCTTTTATATATGTTTCTGTAAATTTATTGAAAAAAATCCTTCTTTTCTGTCAATCATTCTGTTTTGTCTCAGAATAATAATAAGAATAAAGAAAAAAAAAAAAAAACTGGTTGTGGTTACGAACGACGAAAGAGAGAACTCTTCTCCTTCTTCTCCTTTGTGCTTCTTATTCTTTTTCCTCTTCTCCTTTCTCTCTCTCTCTCTGTCTGGTTATATTTGGCGCGAAAAGGTCTTCACTTTATAGCTTTTTGTTTCTCTTTTATTATCCGACAGCTTCGCTACAAATAAAGATGTCAGTAAGTGTGTTCTCTCTTAATTACTACATACATAAGTCCCTTTCTGGGATTGGTCGATTTTTTAAAAAGCAATCTCTCAAACCAAACTCGCTCTACTCTTCATCATTGCTTTAGATCCGGTTCCACCAGAGTTCGTTTTTCTTTCTTTCGTCTGTTTGAAATGAATATTCAATATTGGATCTGTAATTGTAACTTCTTTTATTAGTCTTTCAATATAAGCTTGTGGCTCACAGATTTTGGAGACTTCAACGCGAATCTGCCGTTTTAACAGGTGGCAATAATCTTGATATTGGCATTGACCAGTCTGACTCCGAATTACGCAAAAGATCACGGCGCCGGGAAAGTATGCGACGAACTTGGCCGGAGATCATTGAGCACGAGACCACACAGTGTCTCCATCACAGATTTTGGTGCAGTGGGAGATGGCAAAACGCTCAACACTATCGCGTTTCAAAACGCCGTTTTCTACCTTATGTCTTTCGCCGACAAAGGTGGGGCCCAGCTCTATGTCCCGCCTGGAAGATGGCTCACCGGAAGTTTCAGCCTCACCAACCATCTCACTCTCTTTCTCGAAGACGGCGCCCTTATAGTTGCCTCTCAGGTATGATACATATATATATAGTGATTCTTTTTGAAAGCTGTTAGAAAATAACAAAAAAAGAAGAAGAAGCCAATACTAGTTGTTGCATGTGATGGAACTCTGTTACTCCTCCAATAGGATCCTTCGCATTGGGAAGTTGTTGATCCGTTACCTTCGTATGGACCGGGCATTGATTTTCCCGGGAAGCGATACAAGAGTTTGATCAACGGTAACATGCTACATGATGTTGTTGTAACAGGTAACAAAACAACTTTCCTCCTCCTTTTCTTCTCATTTTCTAATTATTCTTGTAATCTTGCCATGGTTACTCTTTTTTTTCTTTTGCCATGGTTAGGTGATAATGGAACTATAGATGGACAAGGCTTGGTTTGGTGGGATCGTTTGACTTCTCATTCCTTGAAGTATAACCGACCTCACCTCATTGAGTTTATCTCATCTGAAAATGTAATTGTCTCGAATCTTACATTCTTGAATGCTCCAGCTTATACATTCCATTCAATCTACTCTAGGTAAGAAGATGGTTCAATTCCATTTAGGCCTAAACCTTTTTTTTTTTTGGTTTTTTGGAATGATAAAGTCTTGACTCTAACTATTATCCTTATGCATGCAGTCATGTATATATTCATAAGATAGTGGCTCATGCTTCCCCTGAATCTCTTTATACAATCGGTATTGTACCAGGTTAGTTGGCTCTGTTTTACGTACACTACTGATAACCCTCTTTGATTGTGTATAGGATAGAATATGAACTGTCTTATGTTTTGCAATGTTTCTCAGATTCTTCTGATAACGTATGCATTCAAAATTCTACCATTAACGTGGGGTATGACGCCATATCCCTCAAAAGTGGTTGGGATGAATATGGACTTGCCTATTCCCGTCCCACTGAAAATGTTCATATAAGAAATGTTTACCTTCGAGGAGCTTCTGGTTCGTCTATCTCCTTTGGCAGTGAAATGTCTGGTGGAATATCCGGTATCGTGGTAGATAACGCCTTTTTACACAACTCATTAACCGGCATTGCCTTTAGAACCACAAAAGGCAGAGGTGGTTACATCAAAGATATCGATATTTCAAACATCGATATGTCGACAATAGGTACTGCCATTGTTGCTAATGGTAGCTTTGGATCTCACCCGGATGATAAATATGACGCAAGTGCTCTGCCACTTGTGAGTCACATTAGATTAAACAACATTTCTGGAGAAAACATCGGTGTTGCGGGGATATTGTTTGGGATCAAAGAGTCTCCGTTTAGCTCAGTGGCTTTGTCGAATGTCTCTTTGTTGATGAACTCGGGTTCTACTGTTTCTTGGCAATGCTCCTATGTTTACGGATCCTCAAATTTGGTCACTCCTGAACCGTGTCCCGAGCTGAAGAGAGATGATGAAGCTTATGGTAGAGCTGCAGTCTAGTGAAGGTGTGACTGCAAAACAAAAGGAAAAAAGGGCAAGAACTTTTCTTGGGATTCTTTTATAGGAATAAATTCATATGTTGTGAAGTTAGGTCAGATTCTTTCCGCAAGATAAACCACATTGTCTAATTAGGTCATACATGCTTCTTTTGGTTATTCGGGGTTTTATTATTTCATTCTATGTTGTTTGCATATTGTGAGATAAGAAATCTGTACAGGTTCATTTCTTCATTCATATGAAATTTTGTTGAGCACTTTTGTCGAATGCAGTGATTAATAAAAAGGAGATGTTTTTTTTTAGTTTTATTTTCCGGTTCTAAAATTCTCCTGTCCAAGCTTCATGGGATCGCTTGGCTATCACCATTGTTCCGTACATATTATTAGTTCTGTAAAGTGAGAGCAGACTGGAACTTCTGAACCCAACAAGTTTAGTATACTATTTTGAATACATTAAACTCTCAATGAAAGGAAAGTACTTTATTCCTCTTATGCACAAAAAGGTTCCAAGGTACAAATGACAATAATACATATATATATATGGATGCAGCTCTGCATCCCTATAGCTTACAAGGTTTTGCATCATACATTGGGACCACTCTAACAATTCTAACCTCAGATTCCTTATGCCTCATGCATCAACCACAACAAGGCGAGGGAAAATTAGAAATCGTCTCCAAGCATGGTTGACCACAACATACCCCGCACAAACTCGCTCTTTTTCGCCTTCTCTTGATCTTCACCTGAAAGCGGAGCTTCTTGAATATCTCTGCCCAAACGAAAGCCAGAGACCAAGTGAGAAATGAGCCCTATGTTATCATTCTTGGAACAGGAGGGTCAATAGATGATATACCTTTTGAGAGATTCTCTATACGAGACTTTTGTAGCCGAGTTTCCTTCAGTCGCAGGTGTAGCAGTTTTGTTTGCAGACTCATTAACTGAAGGAGAATTAAACATAAAGGATGACAGCAGCGGATCAGAATCGATATTGGTTGAAGAAGTAAAACTTGAAGAACCACCAAGAAGAGACTGTAAGTTTGCTTCCCGGAGTTCCTTTTTCAAGGCGAGATAGGTAGAGCTATATCCTCCTCTTCGCAACCTTCTCTTTCGCTGAACGTAAAACCTCTCATCAAGGAATCAACAAATCCACTCTAGGTTGTACCAAATGATCATGTACTATAGAGAAGCAAGCTATAAACAGATATTGAAGATACGAAAAAAACTACATCAAGATATTGAAAAGTTGAAAGGATATCTTAAAAAAATTGGCATGTTGCGTCGTAATATGGCCAACGATATTCAATCCCACCCTCTTAGTGCATACAGGACAAACCTGGGAAAACAAAGAAGACATTTTTTCAAGTTCACGTTCAAGAGCAAACAGAGATGTAGCTTAAAACAAAAAGTAGCAATCTGGATCATTAAAAAGAACACTAATTTTACCGACGGAATAAAGGAAATATTCCAAGATTGGATTCACAAGGCTGCTAAATGGATTACAGTGCTCATCTGATAAGAAGAAACAACAGAGGAAGCCAGAGAACATTTCATCATCACGAAGAGCATGAAAAATTACCAACATGGTTCAATTTTGTCAAGCAAGCTTCGAATTTTTTAAGTAAAGACCAAAACTTTGTAATTTGCATAATCTAAAACTAAGACATGATCAGCCTAAGAATAAAAAAAAACACCAAGATGATTCCCTAAAGCTAAAGAAGGGTTGGTAGAGAGAGAGGGAGATGATCATTGAAATTACCCCGTTCTTGGCTTCAACAGGATGTTCTTCATCAATGTGGCAACAAAGCCCAACAATGTCAAAATCCTCTGCGCAAAACGGGCATATAAACTCAGCATTCAAATCGTGGTCTTCTCCTTCAAGATCCTCGTACCCTCCTCCTCCTCCTCCTCCTATGTACAAATCTGCCCACCAAAACTTGAAAGATCAAATCTCATGACAAAAGCCTAAGAACAAAAGAAAACAGGAGATTCCCAGTAATAAGCGCGAACCTGATCGGGATTGACACCGTCTCGCAGAAGAGAAAACAGAGGGACAATTGATCCATGAATTGGAATCCATTTCTTCTCTGATCTTTACAGAATTATACCAAAAAAAAAAAGAGAATACAAATAATACAAAGGAGACAAATTTGAATGTCGATCAACGAAACCCTGGAAGCACGGGAGAGAGAGAGACAGAGACCAGGTGGGGGAGGAAGAAATGGAAGGAGATGGAGAGATAGTGGGGGAAGCGAGAGACTTGTTACCGAACTACAACTTCGGAGAAGACAAACACATGAAGAGGAGACTACTTATGTATTTATTTGTTTTACATACCCTTCCATTTTATGTTTATTTATATTTTTTGCCCCCTTTGTTTTTAATTATAAGTAAAGTCCATCGTTCACGCGGTTTGTTTTCGATTGGACCTATCTGAAAAAACAAAGGAACGGGTTACACTACGTTTACGTTTATAATTAATAATTATGATGGCTTCACACGTGTAGCGTTGGTCTACCACCACTGCCTGAGAAATGAAACTGCCCTCCAACATTTATCACTAAATTAACTTTTAGGAATCTAATTAGTTTATTGGTCGACAGTTGTTTGATTAATGAAGGCGAGGATAATTACTAATTAGTTTATGACAAATAATACTAATGTCTAATAGATGATTCTCAGATTCACGTACGAATTAGTATGATTTTTAAACTCGAGAGTGACATGAGTCATCTCACATTTTCTAATTAATAAAACAAACAAAGGTATTGGAAAATAGTTGCATGTGGATTGTGAGGAAAGGGGGAATAAAGTGGTGGCATGAACTTTATAGTTTTTTTTTTTCCCTAATCAACAAAACAAAGGAAGAATCCAACTGATGTTTGGCAACCAACAATTTCACATTTCACATTAGGTTTACATAAATGTAAACAATCAACAGACAACATTTTTTCGCTTTGTCTCTATCAGTTATGCAAATTTTGGAAGACTTTTCTTCAAATGCTACACAACTGGGAGATTGGGAGTAGTGGGTTAAAAAAAAAAAAAGATTTATAAACTGTTCTAATACTTCGAGTGAATTTGCTAATATGTTTTTAAAGTGGAAGAATAAAACAAATCGTATGTCGGCCTTGCTTGATAGAATAATAAGACACGGTTTTGAAAACATCGTCTGAAGTAGAATAATGCCACAAAAAAAACGTTAGAAAGAATAATAAGGCATATATATGATGGAAGTGTCGGCCTTTTGTTCGAAACTCCGACGCTAGCGACATTACGAGAGAGCGACACAAAGATAAATGTAAACCAAATTCATTGGCTTTTTGAGATAAGAGTATGAAACCAAATTCATTCGATTCTCGAGTCCTATGTAAGTATGTTACTGCTTTTGTATAAAATACACAACTTAACGAAATAACACAAAAAAGTTCATCTCTTGATTATTAGCCTAGATCACATGAGATAACCACATCAGCTTTCTCATAGCCACGTACGTGTTTTCTCTTAACTGTTCGCCAATCAGTAAGTAGCACGTATCGACTCTTTTTGACCTAACAAAAAAACAAAGGTGACGCCCTACGGTACCTAGGGGCCTAGCAACTACATTGTTGTGTTAGAGAAGTTCTTTTTACGTAATTACGAAAATCGTATAACTAATTCTCATACAGGTATATCTATTTTGATAGAGAGCCCGAAATGTCCGATCCACTTCTAGTTTCTTTTTAATCGAATCAGGTATATAGATTAATTTTGTAAAGAAAGGTGATCTGTTAAAAGGTTGAGAACCTCAATGTACATTACTGTATTTACCATTTGGCATTTACCCCAGTATTTCTTTTCTTTTTACTACTTAAACATGTGGTTATCAGAGTTTGTTATATATCTTTTCCAAAATTACACTTTTATTTATTTATTCGGTGGTGAATTATTTATTTCTCTAGTCTGTAAACTGATTTAGTTAATTAGTTTCATTTGCTATATAGCCTATATGATGAACTATTTCATGAAATTAACTTTGAAAAAGGAGGGAAGTATATGAAATAAATAAATAAAAATTTTACAGAGATTTAAAGTACGAAATCAACATTTTTAAGAGACTGTCTACGAATATATCTAGAAAATATAAAATTTATGAAAACGAGATATATGGAAAATGCGCAAAACTTTTTGGTAGTAATAATATAAACATTTTTAAGAATATTATGTATAGTTCTTTTATGATTTAAATAAAAGAAAAACGTTAAATAATATAAAAAATTAAATTCGTCGATAAAACGAGCAACACTATTATTGTGAGCCTCTGAATGTGTGCTTCTTGTTCTTCCCCATCTCTCTCTCTTCTTTCCTTTCATCCTCTCTCTTCCTTATCACTTTGATCTTATTCCAAATCTTCTCTCTAGGCTCATATATTTTGTCAGACAAATAAAACTTCTGACAATGGAAGCAACCAGATTCTCTGCTCTGTCAGCTCTTCTTCTACTGTTTATGTCACTGCCTCTCTCTGTGACTTCAAAGGACCAAACTGTTTCTTGCACAATGTGTTCCTCTTGCGACAATCCATGCAATCCCGTCTCTTCTTCTTATCCTCCTCCTCCTCCAAGCTCCGGTGGCGGTGGTTCTTACTATTACTCTCCTCCTCCTCCTCCTCCTTCCAGCTCAGGTGGTTCTAAATACCCGCCTCCTTACGGCGGAGACGGTGGACAAGGTTACTATTATCCGCCTCCATATAACGGAGGTTACGGGATGCCGTCACCGCCGAATCCGATCGTTCCTTACTTCCCGTTTTACTATCACACACCTCCTCAGGGCCACGGGTATTCAGATTCTGGATCGGATCGTTTACAGGGTCGTTCTCTTCTCTTTGCTCTCTTCGCCGCCGTGCTGCTCTGTTTCGTGTGACGGAGATTCATATATGGATTTACCTACCTACCTGGAAATGATCAACGATGTATCAAGAACTGAATTATCTTTTACCATTATAACTTCTTACATTTTTGTTGACAGTTTGTATTTAATATTATATATTTTTAATCAATTTATAACTACTCCGTTGTTCAGTATCTTCAGATTATATGAGATATTGGTTGATATGAATCCTAGTTTATTAGTCGTGGCACAACTTGAGCTTCAGTTACTGTATAGTTTATGAAGTTCAAGGTAAAGTAACTAACTAGAGCTGCACTTACACTGTTTTGTCGGTTTGATTATCTGTTATTTACATCCACTGTCATTTTGCATCGGCAAATTAGTCAATTATTAGTATCAGTTAACCACTGTGAGTTTTTTTTTATATTTAATTTTAATTATTTGATGACATTTGATATGATTTTGTTGTCAACTTGACATTGATTCAGTGGACGGCCAGTATTGGCTCCCTCGAGTCAATTTTTGATTCTTTTAATAAAACAGATGTTTTTTTTCCTATTTTCACTAAATTATCAAAAGAAATTTACATTGTATAATGAGAAGACGAATGATTGATGAGGCCTGAGGACAAAGATCAAGTGCCCTGTCTAACTAAAGTAACATCGGCACCACACCAGCTCTAGTTACGGCCATGAGTTACTGCTCACTCAATTTATTGGCCATGTGATCGTATCTTCTTCCTCTCTTTTTCATATTTTCATCTTTTTCTTTTCAATTTTTAGATTGCCCTTTTTCCAATCTTTCTTAAAGAAAAATGTGTGAGCTGGCCAGCACGTGCGAGTAGTAATGGCCTTGTTGTGGTCCCATCATCATTCAAGTCGATCTAACACAAATTTGGTAGAAATCCGGTACATCGTTCTGACCTGGTTCTTCTATTTTGCAAAATTTATAGTTGACTCTGTTGGATACTGATTTTGAGTCTCTTTAAAAAAAGGAAATCATCACGAGTGTTCGTCAAGGAATAAATTCAAAAGCCTAGTCAGAGAGTAACCGATATTAAATCACTACACCGAACCGATCGATTGCGGGTCTCATCAAATAATAGGTGTTAAAAAAAAAAAAAAAACAAATAATAGGTGTTGGGCTTGACTTTTATAGTAATCTTTTGTAGCTTTCTTTTCTTATCTATTATAAGCTTTTCCACGTCCTTTTTATGCTTTTCCTTTCCCAGTGGAGTGAACCAATTAACAAATTTACATGCCTCATCGGCATATACATGGTATCCAACGGTGTTGATTATGAAATATTTCATAATATATACCTCAGGCTCAGAATAAAGTAGTAGACTGAAACAATTCTAGAGTTGACAAAATAAAATAAACCAAAGTTATTTTCATAAATTTGTAGTTAGTTTGCAGGGCTTTGGAAAGAAAAATCTTAGCTAAAGTTGTCAACCAATTCAAACCCAAGATTACTGGATCTGATACTGATATAGTACTTTAACAAAAACGTTGGGCCATATATGGCAGCCCATTTCATAGAAACCCATTTGTTGAAGACCAAAAAAATGAGTCGTCGTCAATCCCCGTTAACCAGTCATTACCCATAACATTCACAATGATCTCAGGCACAAGCTGTATGTTAAGCAATCTTTGGTGTTCGGTGTTCCCTTATATTTTTGAAATGATTGGAATCAACAAACAGCACAAAGCAAAATATACTAATTTTATATTCTTCTGCAGTACGATCCCATAAAATATAGATACTACATGGTCTTTGGTTCGAAGAAAGTTTTTTGGATATAAATTATTCTTATAAGTCCCCTTACTAAAACCACAAAAAGAAATTGATGAATTTAGCGAGGGAAAGTTTATAGAATGAAAGTTTGGTCCTTCAAAAGGTTTCACTTTCACTTGAAAAGAAGCGGCAAATTCGAACATACAAATTTGTTAGCGAATTGTTTTTCAAAAAATAAAGATAAAAATTCTATGTGCTTGACAGTTGACAGATAGGCAGTCTCCATTCTTGTCCTAATAAAGACAAAAGCTTTCGATAAAAAAAAATAATTGTCCGAAAAGAAATTTGAGTTATCTTTGACCTTTGAAATTTCATTCTCTCCTTTCTCCCCACATAGAGAGGTAGAGAGATCACACAAAACCAGATACAATTAATTTTAAAGCTAATCCAACAACAAACGCCAAACGAACAAAAAAAATGAAAATTACAACAATTAAAATTGGTTTTACATATCCTACAAAATTAATTATATTTATTTTCACCTTAATGGAAAATAAGGTGAGATCCAAGAAAATTCGTTACTAAGCATAGACGGAAGAAGCATAAGAGAGAGCCATGAGTAAGACGGCGGCTTGCTCTTCTTCGCCGAGCTTATTCCTCCGTTGTTTCTCAGCCGTTGATCTCTGCATCATCACTTCTCTCCCCAGTTCCATCAGTCTCTGTTTCAATGAGTCACCCAACTTCGGATTTCTGCTTTGATTCTTCTTATTCTTCGTTTTCTTATCTTCTGATCTGTTCGAGATCAGCGTTCGTCTTTTCTTCCTGTTTCTGATCCCGCATGCGTTACAGAGCGACTACACAATAAGCAATTGGAAAGAGATCAGATCGGATCGGTTCAAGTTCGAATTGGGTTTTGGTTGAATCGAGATCGGGAAGAGACTGACTAACCTTGGGACCGGCGGGACCGCCACGCCAAAGAGGGGTTTTGCTAGTACCACAAATGGCACAGCTCTTCTTCTCGTTGCTGATGATATTACTGCTACTGCTGCTGTGTTCTTCGATCGCATCTGTTGATGTTTTCATGGCTTCTGATTCGATAACCTAAACAACAACACAGAGGTAGTAGCGCGCCGTTAAGTATACTTTAAATCTGATCGCACTAGAGAGAACAGATCAAGAAGAGGGAATCGGATCACTCACTTTATCGGTGGGATCTAGCATTACCAAGCTCCGTCTCCGATATCTTCTGGATCGTGATCTGGTTTTCAACTCTAGAAGATATGAATCTAGAGTTTCAAATAGAGAGAGAGATCAGTGTAGACAAGAAACAGATAAGACTTGAGAAGGATCAAAAGATGAGTGGATCAGGAAACACAAAAATTTGAATCTTGAAAGTAGAAACAGAGAGAGAGAGAGAGAGTGAGTGAGTGTCAGAGGAGAAACAGAGATATATTGTTTTTCTTTTTGGTTCAGAGAAACGAACCAAACAACAGATTGATAGATACCGCACAAAACTAAACCAAATATGCCAATTATAAAATGCAAATTTCGGCCGGCTAAACCCTAGTTTCAATTTTAATGCTTTAATGACGAAATTGCCCTTTATTTCCTCCCCTAATATCACGATAGTGCCACCCGCCAAATATTTTCACACCCCTGAAGGAAAAACTTTCGCATAATTTGAGCGCCATTTCGAGTGGGCGTCCCGCTTTTTTTCTCTAATAATGGTGTTTAATACTTTAATTACGTCAAATACTTTAATGACGTCACTCGATCTGATCAGCTCAATGGCACGTAACTAACACTGCATAGTGCGTGTCTTTTAAAATATTACATTCTTCATCTACGAAAACCTCGGATGACATTTTCTTACCGCCTCTCAAATGCAAAATACAACTCGGTACCAATCCTAAAATTACGGCGAATGCTATTCAACTCCTAAAGACCAAGAAAGTGTTTTTTGCACTAAACAAGACTTCACATCTCGTTGTCAATGATATCGCGCATCATCTGTAATGGAATCAGTCCTTCTGTCCTTATCGCATCTTTGCTTGGGTCAGGACTGATGAACAATAATGTAGGTAAGCCCCTAACCTGTATCACGTTTTTTGGTTATTGTAATGAATATGCCTGCTAGGAGAACAAAACATGCTAGTTTCCACTTTACCTGCATGTCGCGTGCAAACTCGTACTCATCATCTGTATCGACTTTCACAATTACTGCATTGCTCTCATACTCTACTGCGAGCTGTTTCACAAACAGCAAAAACTATTCAACACGAGTGTAAAGAGATTTGCAGAGTCAGAGCAAGTAGATAGAGCCAATCAAGAAGTAGAAGCTGAGATTCTCCAATCTCACAATGATTAAAATTGGAACTAATAAACTCCTTTACCTAATTCATCAAAGAACTAAACCACAGAAGATACTTGATTAATGAGAGGGTTTTTTCAACTCTAGTTCATTGCCAGACCAAGACCCTAAAAAATCCAGGATGACCCTAATACATTTTCATAGAACATTGTAGGGTTTGTTGCTGAGCTAGCAAAGCTACAATTCACTACCCAGCACCTAGGCTAGTTACAATAGTCCTGCACTAGACTTGGCAAGAAAACCTTATTATAAACCATCACATTTCAAGATTCAAGTAAAATATAACGGACAACCAGTTCCAAGAGCCAAAGTAAAATATATAAGCATTCTAGAGTCTACACATGAAGCAAATGAAATGGAGAATGTGTAAGAAAAAAAGATGAGTGACGAGAATCTATGGTACCATTTCTAGTTCCTGGGCCATCAAGATACAAGGTCCACACCATGTCGCATAAAAATCTACAATCAAGGGCACCGTCCTATCCCCTTTCACCATTTCTTGAAGTTCTTGAGCTGACAATTTCTTCTGTACAAACCATAATCAAAGGAAACGATCAGTAAAGCTCCTCCCACTTGATGGTCTCAAGAGTCATCCATAAGATTTAAATAAAGGAATCTCAATTCTGAAGCATTTAGAAGTGAATTGGTCGAAAATTTGATAGAGCTACCATATATCATTCTTATACAACTAAATCCATGCCCAGCTTCTGGGTTCCGTCCAACCAAGTCAATTTCCCCCAGAAATACTATAAGGGAAGTCGTGAAACTAAAACAAACATGAAAATTTCGAAACCGACAAGACAATAGGGAGAGAGATGGAGCGAGAAAATGGTGCGTACCACAAGATAATCTTCTCTAACAAACTTGCCTCGAGGTGGAGGACAGAGAAGCTTCCGTGAGGGCGTCAGCGGCGATATGGGAAAGTTCCTGGCGGAGGAGGAGTAGAACGGCGAGGCTGCAGCTCGGATTTCCCTGCGGAGAACGAGAGACGACGGAGCATGAAGAGAGGATAGAATCGGCGACAACGGGATATTGAGCTGTGGAAGAGTTCTGGATTGAATAAGAGCCATTCTCAAAATCGTCGATTACTGCAAAATGATTTCAGTTTTCGCCTTTTGAGGGGTTTTAGACGATAAGGCAAATTGAAGAAAAGCGTTTTCACTGCACTGGACATATATATTTTTTTACTTCGACCAAAGTTCATTATAGCTCTCGTCTTTTTTTCTTACAGTTTATACTTAACGCTCAGGTTAAGTACTGTTTTATGTTTTTTAACTTATTTTGAAGAAATGCTGTTTTCTGATTAGTGACTTGGTCTTACTCAATAATTTAAATTGGAAATCAAGAGACACCAAAAGAAGATTTTGTTTTCCACAAATTAAAGACCGAAAGGTTTGTGGTTTCATATTTTACCGACATACAAACTGTTGTGCACACAAAAAAAAAAAACAAGGCTCCAGCGAAAGATTTATAACCCCCTGCAAAAATTTAAAACAACACAATAGTAGACTCACGACCGGTGTTAGTGTGCCGGTCTTTTCAATAACAATAGCCCTGGACAATGAAACCAAACAGTTTCTGAGACTCTGTACTTTTAAACCGACCAACCGCAATTTTGAGATCAGAATGAAACTAGACTCTGAACTTTTATCACTCTCAAGCTGCAAGCTTCCAGTTCCATTCCTGTGGGTTTGAGTTTCATATCTTAACATCAGGTTTGCAGGTTTTCATGTTAGAAAGTTGAAGGGGTTTACTTCTTCTTACCTTCAACTAAAGTTAAATCCCCCGGACGGGACCGAAGCTTGGTTGCCTCCAAACTGGAACCCAGCCTGGGAACTATCAACACCTGGAGCTTGTTGTGTCTCTTCATCTCCCTCTTCAAGCCAGTATGCCTCCAGAATTTTAACAGCCTTCTCGTAGATCTCATGGTTGTCATGGCTCTGAAGGTTCTCGATCTTTTCTAGCCCTTCTGCATCATCAATCAGCTGAGCGTAATAGTTCATGTCCCCTGTGTTACCCAAGTTCTTCTCTGCCTCTCCTACCTTCAAAATGTTTTCCAATCCTTCAAGGCAGACAGTTATGATTCTTGGATCTGGGCATACCAGTAGATCGCATAATGGTTTTATGCATCCTTGCTCCACCAGGTATCTGTATAACCAACAGGCACAGAAAGTTGATAAATAGAACCAAAGTCTATATAAGAGAGAAATTACTGGAAGCTAAGCGGAAGGTAAAATATACAGTGACATACTTGATTTGATCATGAGATCCACCTGATGTTGCATTTGAAATTGCCCATGCAGCTTCTTTCTTAATGTCAAATTCAGCATTTTGAAGTAGACTGACCAAAGGGGCAATCAGATTAGCATCAACTACTGTCTGCAACCATAAAAAAACAAAAAAAAAGATAAAAGCACAATTAAAAAAGTTCCAGAAGACAACGATAGAAAACACATGATGAAAAAGTAGTAACTGCCTACCTGGATCTGATCTTTGTTGCCAGCTGTGATATTTGAAATAGTCCAGCAAGCTTCCTTCTTTATGCTTTTCTTATAGTTTTGAGTGAGAAGGTTGGCAAGACAAGGTAGAGCGCCACTATTGATCACCCACTGGAGAAGAAGTTCAATTGATTTCCCAAGTAAAACGATGTAAGATATTTTTCAGATGTATAAAAGTCGCTTAGACAGACTCATGGAAAAACAAATGTAAACAAAGAATTAATTGCAAGAAAAATATAACAGAAGCAACATATAACAATAAGACATTGCATATCTACTAATATAGACATATTGGCACAGACGGATGTTTAAGTGATAAGCATTCAACCCTCCCAATGTCTTGATGAAAGGCTGGATATGACAGAACAACAAGCAGGTAGCATGCAATTGGCCTAAACTTAATTACATATGCCAATCTATGATTAGATGATATTCATGGTATAACACTAAAAATGTTTCTGTTACCAAAACAATTATGTAAAGTTCTAATCTATCTTTGAACCAACTCCTAAAGGCCAAAGGGTTCTCACAATTCTTAGCTGTACTTATACACAAAGCTACTCTTCGTCGAAAGCAAAAGGTATAGTATACTTTCATATACAATGTGCATAACAGAAGTACTGCAAGAACTTCAATAGACATCATACCTGCGTTTGTAGATCATCTCCAGTGACTATATTCCCTACGGTGCGAAGTGCAGGAATTAGCACAGATGGAGAAGGATGGCTGAAATATCAAGAGTAGGGTGTCAAGTGAATAATCAACATATGTATGAAGGGGAGAGAAAGTAAAGAGAATTATAAACGGGTACTGACAGTAAAAGTTCAACAAGTCTCGGGACAACACCGGCCTCGAGAACAGCCTGGATTTTGTCATTGGTCCCATCAGAGAGGTATGAGAGAGCCCAACAGGCATCTGTCAACACTTCTTCATCGTTTGAATGAATTAGCCGTTCAAGGGCAGGAAGAGCGGGTTTCACCTGTTAATCATGCAAAAATATGTTAAAAGAATAGGAGAAATAACATTGAAGAAACAAACCTGTAGGGAAAAAGATGAAAGACCTGGTCAAAGTGTGGCTGAGGCTTGCCACGACAGAAGTTTGACAAGGTCCAGGTGGCATTTCGAAGCATTGACAATTTAGCATGCTCATTAAGCTGACCGAGCAGCGGAACCAATGCCCCATATCTAAGAACAAGATCACGGCACTGTGGTGAATCACCAGCAACGTTGCCCAACGCCCAAACAGCCTGCAGGTTAGATGGTAATATTGCAATCAGGTTTTTACAAATTTTCAATTGCATAACAAATTCCTATAACATCAAAGTGGCATACCTGCTCACGGACATCATCACTAGGGGAAGCAAGAAGCTGGACAAAGATTGGAACAGCATTGTGATCGATTACAACCTTTGTGTGATCAGATGTTCCAGAGGCAATGTTTGTTAGAGCCCAAGCTGCCTCAAACTAGAAAGGATCATAGAATATCAGAGCTCATAAGAGAAGATTACAGTGACGACAGAATCAAATGAAAGAGGCAGACTTTCTCTCACCTGGATCGAGGGGTAATCCTCTTTCATAAGAAACTCAACAAATCGAGGCACAACACCAGAATCTATCACTTGCTCAATTGGAGGACTTCTCTCTATGCAGATAGAATACCAACAGTGACAAAAGTTAAAAGAGGACACTCAAAATAATATGAAAACGTATAATAAAGATAATTAAGAATAAATATTACCTATAGAGAGGAGCTTCCTGAACTGAGTAGTGGACTCAAGCTGCAAGGCAGGATCATCGGACAAAACCCCAGCAACCATATCCGGCAAACTCTCCAACTACAAGGAAAATCAAGGCAATCATCATCACTAACAACAACAGTAGACAGAACCCAAACGCTAAAAACCTAGAGACCGACTCCAGGTTCAATCGAATCAATCCAAAACCCAGAATTGTACCTTATTACCGACGGAGGCGGCATGAGGAGCGGCGGAAGCTGGAGGCAAGTCCTGAAGAGCTTGCATACCTTCGCGTCTCTTCTTCATTAAACTCTCCTCACGCTTGCTTTTACGGATCTCAACCATGTTGTCTTCTCTCCTCCGTCTTCCTTCCTCAGCATCCACCGCAACTTTGTACCGGTTCCGGCGAACCTCCGTCCTAGCGTTGGGTCTCAGCGACATGGCTCTAAGGCAGGTTGAGAAGGAAAAATCTGATAACGGGATGGTTAACTCAATCGATGAATAGACACAGACACACCGCTAAGAGTGGTTTGTGAAGTTGTATATATAGATCCTTGCAGAGAGGAAGATTAAGAGAAAAATAAACCCTAAAAAAAATGATTTGGGATTGAAAAAGTGATGAAGAGATTAAGCAGGAAAGACGGAAAAAGGCAGTCTGGGATACTTTGTTCCCAATTTATACGAATGCTAAAAAGGAATAGAATTGATCACTTATTGATTTTTGTCTTTTTACCTTAACATACTATTATCTGGTCTAAGCCCACACCTTTCGAGGCTTTCATTTAGGCCCATTAGTTTGGTCTATATACATCAAACGATTCAAACCCATCGAGCAATTGCGTTTGTGATTTGCCTAGGTTTAGAGAGGATGAAGAACGAGAACGCTGCAGCGACGCCTGAGTACGCGATAGCTAAAATAATGGTGTGGTGGGACATGAAGGACTGTCCAATTCCCGGGGGTTATAATGCTCGTCGGTTCCGTCGGAGTATAGAAGGGGCGTTCAACAATCTAGGCTACTCTGGTCCTGTCTCCATCACTGCCTATGGCGACCAAACACAAACTCCTGACCATCTCCTGCACGCGCTCTCTTCAACTGGAATCGCTATTGCACATGCCAGATCCGGTTAGTCCAATTTTGATCAATCTATGGAATATAGGGTTTAAATTTCAAATAGCTAAATGATTTCCTTTTACTGAAACAGAAAGCACAGCCTCACTCATGTATTCGGATATGGTGAAATGGCGAGGTCATAATCCTCCTCCGGCTACAATGATGTTCATATCCGATCAGGTGGACTATGTCTTCTCTTTGGATCTGATCCGGCTACAACAAAAGACGCTATACAACCTCTTTCTGGGTTATTCGGTTCGTTCTAAAGCCATAGCAGAGTTGCTCACCTCTGCAGAGTGGCGCTGGGAAAAATTACTATGGTCGACCCCTGTGGTTAATAAACATGAAGAAATTATTTCTGCCATGTTTTATTGTAAATCGTGCCAATTCGATTGCCAAAGCCTGGAGATATTCAGGAACCATCTCTCGAGTAGTAAGCATGCATGGCAAGTAAGCATCCCCTCTCTCTCTCTCACTCTCTCTCACTCTCTCTACATTGATTGTAACTAACACCTTAGTTAATCGCAGGAGGTTAGAAAACCTACTGCTCGACAACTTGCCCCTGTAACGCGCAAGTGGGGAAGGAACTACCCGGCCAAGCCTGAGTACGCCACAGCTAAAATAGTGGTGTGGTGGGACATGGTAGACTGTCCGATTCCCGAGAGTTTTGATGCTACTCGGGTCCGTCCAAGTTTAGAAGGAGCGTTCAAGAATTTAGGCTACTCTGGCCCTGTCTCCATCACTGCCTATGGTGACCAATCACAAACTCCTGATCATCTCCTGCGAGGGCTCTCTTCCACTGGAATCGCTGTTTCACATGCCAATTCCCGTTAGTCCATTTTTCTGGAATTTCAACTACATATATATATACTACATATATATATAACGCTTTCCTCTTATTGAAACAGATCGTAGACTCATGCGCATGATTTCTGATTTGCATACATGGCTAATCAAGAATCCTCCTCCAGCTACAATTATGCTCATACTCGATGATGTAGATGATGTTTTTTCAAATTTTGTTTCCGGGTTTCAACAAAAGAAGAAAAACAACATTTTCCTCGCTTACCCATATAGGCGTTACAAAATGTCTGCCGTGGTCACCTCTGCAGAGTGGCTCTGGGAAAGCTTACTGGCAGGTGTTTATTTGTCCTCCTCTCATCATCTGCTACTGTTGAAATCTAATTACCCTGTTTATGAGCTACACTTGTGTTTTTTTCTCACAGTTTCAGAGACTAGAAGACACGTTCTTCAGAGGTGCAGTCAAAGGGGTGAATCTACCCAAATGTTTGATTGCAAAACGTGCTGTTTTGATTGCAATAGCCTTGATCATTTCAGGAAACATCTCTCGAGTAGAAAACATAAATGGGGAGTAAGCATCCTCTCTCAATACATTATTTCATTAGAACCATTTTAGCAACAATCTATTTAACTTTTTCCACTCATTGTCAAGCAGGAGTACCGTATCCATGCGGATGTTCTAGCAAGCAAGTACGATCTAGAACGTATTCGATTAGGCAGGGAGCTTATGGTAAATTTTGTTTTTTTGTTTTTACCTTTCATGCTTTGAAGTTAGAATTAGCACTGCGACTTTAATTCGACCCCATACCCGAGTTTTTTTTTGTTTTTTTTAAAAAAATTTATTTTTTAAAAGACCTTTTAGTTCCTAGTTTCCACAGTTTTATGTTGATACGTTTCCAATTGCTCTTGTTCATCTTCTAGGAAGAAGATTTTGAAATGAACGAACGTGTGGGAAAACATCTAAAACGTTCGAGGAAGACATTCCGGACTGGTTTTCGGCCTTTTCATGATCACTTGCATCTTATTAATCGTAGAGCTTAATAATCTTATAGCCGGATCTGGCTCAAGTGTCTACCCAACGGCCACATGATCAGCTGGCAGCTTTGAGAGGGAGTTAATGAATTCGGTCTAGTCCTCGAAGCTTTTTTTTTAGTTTCTGTCTTTGTTTCAGGATACTCGTTTGGACTATTTATTTTTCGTTTCGTTATTTTTATTTTAAACTATTAACTTTTAAATTAGTTAATCATATTTACAATTATAATTTTTAATTAAATATATTTATAATTATAAGTTTTACTTCCTTATATATAATTATAAGTTTTATAGAAATTAAAAGGAATATTTTTTCTCATATTTGTCTTTAGTTTATTATTTTTACTTCTCTAACATATAGTTATACATAATTTTAATCTATAAGATCATATATATAAAAATTAGTTAATCATATTATTTAATATTTACCGGCAAATAAATATTTATCAGCCAATCAATATCTAAGCTTGAAAGCAAAAAATCACACCACGAAAAACTTCAGGGTGCAATCATCTTTACTAGATTTCGAGATTTATGAGTAGGTCAAGAAAGTGTCTTGACAGAAAAATATAAAATCTGACATGCTAGCATCACCTTGTGTGAATTTTCTGAATTTCAACAAGATAATAAAACTTAAATATAACAATAACAATTAGCTACCTGAACTATAACACAATATGTCTTTTTTGTAAATGCATTAGATCATTTCCAATTATTCAAGAATTTTTTGTCTAATAGTTAATATCATGCGGGTAATTGGGGTTATCAAAAAACTAACCATTAATTCCAGTTTAATAAACAATTTAACATACCTTAATCGGATCGAACAAACCACTTAACAGACGTTAATCAGATTTTGCTAATGGTTAACATCATGTGGGTGACTGGGGAAATTCCATAAAAACTCCATACAAAAAAAACTTAAACATAATTAATTTAGTTTGGTTTGATTTGGTTTTGGCCTTTCAAATAATTTCAGATTTTTTTAAAAAAGAGAAGAAGAAAAAATCAATACAGTAAATATGTCAAAATTCAGAATCTAATAATTGAAAATTTAAAACTTAAAATCGATTCTAGTGAAAGAATAATGAGACCCCCAATAATGTTGTCATTAGTGATGTAGTTTAAAAAAACAAGTTGATGAAATTTTTGTAATACTCCCTTGTTCCAATATTGCCTAGTTTTATAAACTCTAGTAGTTGTTGACCGCGGTGCGCGCGGGAATTTTATAGTTGTTTTTTATATTTTGAAATTTATATTTTGATTTTTCTTTGTTTTTTGTTTATTTTTTTGTTTTTACTGTTGTTTTTGTATTAATTTAGTATAGCTGTTAGAACTTTACATTTCAAAAGCTTTCAACTGTCGTAGACTCGTAGGCCAAATTATTCTGGTGAATCCACTTATTTATTTATCTAAGTGTTTTCATTTTACTTTTTAGTTTTTTTTTTCTACTTTTTATGCCTAAAATCGATTGTGTTCTCGTTTAAGCTGGTTTCGGATGACATCAATCTAGTGGTATATCTATCTGTATAGTATAAATTATCTTGTTTTATATTTTGTTTTTGTATTTAGCTCCATTAATCAAAAAATTGATCATTACTTTATAAATAGATACTTGTTTTTTTTTTTGGGACATAAATTTTTTTACTATATTATTTATTTTCTTAAAACTACTATATAATATAAAAAATAAAATAAAGGTTAAGTTATGAGATAGAAAAGAAATTAAAAAGTAAAGTGTTGTAATTCTAAAAAAATTAAGATGAATAATGTGGCATTAGGAGAATTAGGAGAATTTTATATATATATAGATAATCGCAGTTTTATAAGTCTCGGTTCTATAGTCCACGATTTTGGGTTAATTAAACGGGCCTATATGATGAATAAGGGGACAGATTTAAAGGCCCATTTTGAGGGCACCTTGGTCATTTACATTTGACTATAAATCCAAGCAAATTAGGGCTTTGTTACAGAGGCCGTCTATTTGTATCGCGGAAAGCAAACCCTAGCCGAGCAGATCTACATCTCTCTCGCTCTCTCTCGCCTCACTCTGGTTAGCTTCTTTCTTTTAAATTCTGCCGATCTCTGTCTTCTTTCTCTCAGTGGTTACGTTCGTGATTGAATTGAATCGTTTGGTTGTGGTCTTGTTTCAGAGATGGCCAAGTCGAAGAATCATACGGCGCATAACCAGTCGGCGAAAGCCCATAAGAACGGAATCAAGAAGCCAATGAGGCACCGTCACACCTCAACCAAAGGAGTAAGTCCTTCGAATACTGGTTAACGTAAAACCTTTTTTCAGATTCCAGTATCAGTTTCAGAGCTTGATTTGCTGTTCTATTTGTGAAATGTTTTAGATGGACCCCAAGTTCTTGAGGAACCAGAGGTACGCAAGGAAGCACAACGTCAAGGGCGGCGAGATTGCTAGCGCCGAGGAATAAGCTTTCTTTCTTTTTTTTTGATTATGTGTGAGACATTTTAAAGTTTTTATGAATTTTGGAGACTTTTCTTAGACAAAGAAACCAATTTACTTTCCCCTTATGTTGGATTGTGTACTCTCTCTCTCTCTCTCTCGCTTACCTTGGCCTTAATTTTAATATTATCAGTTTTCTATTCATCTTTTCTCTTATCTGTGATTTGTTTCGTTATTCGCCCTATTCTTTTGCTGTTAGGTTTGTTTTGAGTAGATATGTGGATCCTTATTTGATCTACATTTAGTGTTTTCTGTTTTTTTATTCTGGTTTTATACACCATATGGTTTCATTTGCCCACTAGAGTTGGAATTGTTTGTGGTAGTCTTTGAAAATTTGTGGATATCCCCATGATTCCTAATTTCGCATATTGGACTAAAGTCTTACATTGAAAAGCCAATAGAAGCTCACGTAGAGGTTCGCGTTACATGTCACTCTATAACTGTGTTGTAGAGAGATTTAATAACAAAGTCAAGCCGCAATTTGTTTGATATTTCTTTTGCAACGTATCCGGAACACTTTAATAACAATATCAAGGTTATGTTTCCTTTAGATGAAAAATATATTAAATTTGGTCTTTTTATCTTAAATCTTCCTTTAGTAGAAGTGACTCAGTGGTAGTGGGAGCAAAACAACAATCTTTTGGTGTTTGAATTGCCCATCGAAATATCCTAGTATCATATGTACTTACTAAACTGAATTCGCAACGTTTGTTCTAGCATTTGGTACTTTGTCTTTACCAGTACCACTATTCTGGCTTACTTTCATGGGCTTTATATAGTTCAAAATGTGCTAGATTTGAAGGCCCGTTTATTATCTATTAGGGCTCTTAAAGTGATTTTAAAACCCACCTCTAGGGTTTTGTTTTGTGTTCCCGTGTCGCGGAAAGGAAATCTATCTCCTCTCGCTCTTGCTCACTGCTCAGGTTAGCTTCTTATGTCCGGCTGATCTCTGGATAAATTGACTTCGTCACTTGTCTGTTGTTTCGTTCGTTACTGAATAGAAATATTGGTACTGTGACCTTGTGACAGAGATATGGCCAAGTCGAAGAATCACACGGCGCACAATCAGTCTGCCAAGGCGCATAAGAATGGAATCAAGAAGCCAATGAGGCACCGTCACACCTCCACCAAAGGAGTAAGTGTTCGGTTTCATTTTTCAAGCTAATGATTGATCAAATTCTGATTTTAGTTTCTGGGTTTGATTTGCTTTTCTTTCTTTTGTGAAATGATTTAGATGGACCCTAAGTTCCTCAGGAACCAGAGGTATGCAAGGAAGCACAACGTCAAGAGCGGCGAGAATGCTAGTGTTGAAGAATAGATCCCTGGATCGTCTGATAAGACATTTTGAGGTTTTTATACGAGTTTCTGACTTTTTCTCAATGTAACATCAGGGATTTGTCTATTTCAGATTCTCTTATTTTGCGAGTTACTTGTTTTGATGCAATTATTTCACTTGTTCGTTTAGTTTCATCTAGACCTAGAACCTGAAAGCTTTACTCGAGTTACATGTTTAGGTTTGTCTGGCTAGAGACTTGAATCAATCGTAGCTTTATTCAGCAATGGCAATTTAGGTTCCGATCTCATGAACTAATCTAATTATATTATTATAGCCATTATCTACATTAATATCCTTGTTAAAAAGGTCTTTTATTGCTAATACTTCCTAAATCATTATTTACTACTTTGACTGGAAATTTGTGTAGACGCCAACCATGGTCACATATTGGGTTTTAAAATACTTTTGAACACAATTTGGCAATTTGGGAACAAACTAAATGATTTGTTGTGGTTAATGGGATATGGTGAAAACAAATTAATAAAGCGGTGATGACGAAAGAACCCTTGTTTAAAACCGCCACACGAAGAAAATATACAAAGCTCGTGTCGCGGTTCGATTCCTTGTCTCGGCCTTTTAGTTGCAACTTCGGATAGATCTACCAACAATGTAAAGCCACGTGGTTATTTCTTTGACCACATAAGCCTATGCATTTCTAAGCTTCGCTAAGCTCACAGCCATAACTTTCAAAGTCCACGCGGCATGTTTTGATTGGATTTATCGTGCTTTTACACAGACAAAACAGTTGGGTTTGTCATTGCTCTTACGTCACAGACTGTCATTTTTAAAGAGAACGAGCCAACTCGCGCAAAGGTCGCGCGTGGGGAACGCTCGATGACTTTTTAGTGAATACAGATGGCTAACAAGGGTATACATGGAATTGGATCATAACGTATGAAAAATTATATTATTTTTTGAGCTGCTTTAGTTTTTTTTTTTTTTCCCTTTCTTCTCTCTTCTTTCGCGTTTCGAAGGTTGGGGAAAGCTTTCTCGCAGAAGAAAATAAAAAGCTAGAGAGAGAGAGAATGTCAATGTTTTTTTGATGCTTCGTATGGTAATTAGGGTTTTTTTTTGGGTTTGATTTCGTCCCCTTGGAGAAGTGAATCTCCCGCCTATATCTACGGCGTCTAATTCGTATCCTTTCTCGTTGCTCCAAAACCCTAACTTTACTTCCGTCGGTCATTATTTACACTTTCTCGGCTCGATTTGGTGTTGGAGGTGGGTAAATCAGTGATGGGCGCCCCGGAAAAGTCGCAATCTAATACCAATTCGATGCAGGTGTGTCTCGACCTCTCGCTTTTCTTACTTTTTTTTTTGGCTCACTACTTGGTTCCAGCTGGGTTTGTCTTGATTAGTAGAATTAGCTTATGTATCAATATTAATACACTCTCCTGCTTCGGAGCTGTGTTATTTATTGATGAAATTAGCAAATTACTGTCCAATTCAATAGGTATCTTGGTTTTTAGAGCACACTCAAGATGAGATTTATAATTTTGACTCGTTTCTATGGTTCCTTTTGTCGAGCTGGGGTTGGCTAGATTAGTAGAATTTTACTTGCCCTCGTTTGCTTGTTTGTTTATGTCAAGTTCCTCCGTGATTAGCTGTAATGTTTATTGAAAAAATTCATGGTTACCCCAGCAAATTACTGTCCAATTCAATAGGTATCTTCGCTTTTAGAGCACACAGGAGATAAGATTTTTCATTTGACTAGTTTCTACCGTTCTGTTGCTGTTATTTTTATTACTTTCCGGTGGTTTATATTCACCCTGTTATGTGGTGTACTAGTTTCTGGGGGTTGATCCTCTTTAGGACAGTGTAACGTACCTGATAATTTGGAGTAGCTATCCCTCCATGTGCTGTACCTTACTTTGTGAGATAAAACGGATCTTGATTGTTGATGCGAAGAAAAAAACACTAGAAAGTTGCAGTTGTTTGATAACCGTTGTTGAATTAAGAGGAAAGGTTTGTTTTCTGCGAATTGGGAACAGCCTTCTCACTTTTGTATTCGTTGTTCAGAGAGTGAAGGTCTATCATTTGAATGAAGATGGTAAATGGGATGATCGAGGAACTGGGCATGTAAGCATCGACTATGTGGAGGTCTGTTGTGATTCTAATTTACTTCCTGAATTCCACTTGCTGCTGTTATTCTGCAGCACCTGTTACGTAATAAACTTATAGGAATTCGTAGCTAAATGGAAGTGCTATATGATGCAGCGATCAGAAGAACTTAGTCTATGTGTAATTGATGAAGAAGATAACGAGACGTTACTTGTGCATCCCATCAACCCTGAGGACATTTACAGGAAGCAAGAAGGTAGCCTTTGTGTGTCATGGTTTGATTTGCAGTAATATCTCTAGGGTTTTGAATATTCTTGGATAAGTGGTATCTGTTTCAATGTACAGACACTATAATCTCATGGAGAGACCCGGAGCGCTCAACAGAACTGGCTTTAAGCTTTCAAGAGACTGCGGGATGCTCTTATGTGTGGTGAGTTAAGAAAGTATTTCCTATTCTCTTCTTCTTCTTACCCTCATTTTTACATATAACAATACTCTTGTCTGCAAATTTGGTGTTTCTATTTTTCAGGGATCAAATATGCACTATGCAACGAAATTTGCATTTCAGCTCTTTGAACAGTAAGATTTTTCTTCTGGAGAATTTATATCACTTTAGAATATCCTTGTTACTTGTAATTTGCCTATTTTATCTATTATTAATAATAAATGCTTATTCTATATATTTTGTTGTGTTACGTAAATGGATTTTGGAGTGTGTCTTCCGTTTTTTTATCGTACTAATGCAAGGGCTTTAGCTAGGTTTGTTGATCTGTGGGCATTTGTATATCAGAATATTTTATAGTAAAGATTTGTTAGCAGTTGCATGGGGATTGTAGCTTGTCTTACTAACCATAATAATTTTTCATATCTAATATGCTTAAACGATTCAACAGTATCCTAATCTGACCCAAATTTTTACATGTCTATTTTACTATTCAACTGATTATTATATCATCTGTTATTGAACAGGCGAAACATTTCACAGCCTGAATAGTGAGTTGAGGGAGCTTCCTGCTGTAGAGCTTACTACTCTTCCCCTAATACTGAAGGTTGTAAGATTCTACTGACCGTGTGCTTTAGGGATGTTGTATTTCTTTTAGATCGTTTACCACTTTGTCACCTGTCTCATGTGTGGTGAAAAGTGCAAAAATATCTTCCTATCATTTACCACTTTTAATATCTTTCTATCTTCCTTGCAGATCGTTACAGAGAGTGGCATTACAGATCAGATGCGGCTTACTGAACTTATTTTGAAGGATGTAAGTTGTTGAGTATTCTTGTCCATTCCAGTTCAATTTAGTGTGAAATCTTTGATTGCGCTCTCTCGGAATTCTTATAGTCTTATACCATGTAAAGGTTTTTCTATGTTGCTGTCATAGAGTTAGTTTTATTTCATGTTTACAAACAAACTGTAGCTAAATCATTTTTATTGATCAATTTTGAGCCCTTTTATCTCTTACTTTCATCTTGAAGGTTATCAAAGTTTGTGATTTCATTGTCACCTAGTAACATTATATACTGTTATTATTATAGTATATTATGTCTTACGAAGTAGATTCTGGAAACCTCATTAAGCTATCTTCATTGGTGCAGCATGATTTCTTCCGGAATCTGATGGGTGTGTTTAAAATATGCGAGGACTTGGAAAATGTTGATGGCCTTCACATGATATTTAACATTGTCAAGGGAATCAGTTAGTATTCACAAACAGATAATTATCTCTTTTCTTACTACATCCACATATCATAAAATTATCTTGTGATTCCTTTCTTATATCTTTTATATGCAGTTTTGCTGAATAGTTCTCAGATCTTGGAGAAAATATTTGGAGATGAACTGATTATGGACATTATCGGATGCCTTGAATGTAAGTTTGATGCCACTGGTCGAAGTTAGATGATTTATATATTGTAAAAATAAAGACAGGTATTTCTTCAGAATATTGCGGTTTGATATCTATTGTATGAGTCTCTTAGACATTAATTGGATTATGTTGCGACTCATATTGGGACTTTCTTACTCAAAAAATGCCAAGGATTGTAATTGTGGTTTCATTTCCTAAGTCAGATGGACACCAAAACCTTAGGTTTCTTTGATTATTAGGCGGATAGTACTTTCCTGGGTCATATAGCTATGTTTCTTAAGGGTTTCCATTTATGATAGCCAGTTTGATGCTTTTTTCTTATTTTGGCTGTTGCCCAATACGAAGAAATAAACGACGCTGCATTTTGCTCTCCATACAGATGACCCCGGAGTTCCTCACTCCCAGCATCACCGGAATTTTCTGAAAGAGCATGTTGTCTTTAAGGAGGTAACTCAAACTGTACTTAAGGAATATTTGAGACATTTTCCTTTCACAAAAACAGAATATCCTTGCTAGAAATATCAGATATTGGAGACACTTTCTTTCTTTTTTTTGTAAGAAAGAACATAGTTTTGGGATTAGCTCCCTTAGGCTTTTAGAGTTGAAATCAATATAGAATAATAAGGACTTTTGGATTTTTTTTTTGGAATTCTTTAGTATATCCCTTTATATTTGCAGGCTATACCAATCAAGGATCCGTTAGTCCTGTCAAAGATACACCAAACGTACAGAATTGGTTACTTGAAGGTTGGATCCCATAATTTAATAAAAACATTTACGTCCGTTTTCGGTGGTTTTAGGTTTCTCACCTTCTGTCACCTTTTGCAGGATGTTGTTCTGGCTAGAGTACTAGATGATGCTATAGTTGCAAACTTGAATTCAGTAATCCATGCAAACAATGCCATTGTAAGTTGTCCATATAAATGCTAACAGATATGTCACTAAAAGTTTGTAATCCATATTCCGTCTGTTACTAATGTGTCTCTTCTTTAGGTTGTTTCATTGCTGAAGGATGATAGTACTTTTATTCAAGAGTTATTTGCGAGGTTGAGGTCACCTTCTTTATCTATGGAATCCAAGAAAAATTTGGTATTTCCCAGCCTCAAGAGGCATTTGATAATTTGTTTTAAGCCTTAATGGTTTTGTATTCGTTAATGACATTTATTAAGTTCTTTTTTTATAGTTTTTTGAACAAAATATAAAGTTTATTTTAGTTGAAGTGTTTTGGGTAAGAGATTTTATTGGGATCCCCCTTCTCTAGCCATGATGTTTGAGATGATCTACATGGGACAACAGATGGAAACAATAGGTCTCCTTTAGTAAAATATGTCTGTTCAGTTGAGTTAGTCAGACTAACGTGTTTCATTCTCTTTAAATAGGTATATTTCTTGCACGAATTTTGTAGTTTAAGCAAGAGCCTCCAGGTGGTGCAGCAGCTGCGACTATTTAGGTATGTACTTACCATAAACTAAATGCAATCGGTGTTGAACAGTTGCTGACTTCAGAACATTTGTAGCTCCTATTATATTACTGTTACTGCTCTTTCTTCGTTTAGAGAATTGTCTTTAACAATCTGTTTATCAATTGGCTTTCTTGGTCATTTCAATGATTTTTCAGGGACCTTATTACTGAAGGAATTTTTCATGTCATAGAAGAAGTCCTGCAGATTCCGGACAAAAAACTTGTATTGACTGGGTATACAACTTTTACTGACTAATTAGACATAAGGGCTCTTTGTGGTCACTCTGTTTCTATTTTCTTATGCCTTTAAGAATTGTTGTGGTTGCAGTACAGATATCCTGATGCTTTTCTTGACTCAAGACCCCAACCTTTTACGTTCTTATGTTGTTCGGACAGACGGAAACCCCCTCCTTGGTCTCCTGGTAATTTTCTGTAATTTTTGTTAGCCTTTGGGTTATTTCTTCAGTTGGAGGGTTGTTCCTGTTTTCTTTCTTTATAAAATTGGAACAATAATTGGCACTCTTGTTTGGGTAATAGGTCAAGGGAATGATGGAAGACTTTGGTGATAGGATGCATTGCCAATTTCTAGAAATTATCCGAACCTTACTGGATGCAAATGCATTGTCTGGTGGAGCTCAGGTGCTTCCTTATGTCCTTTCAATACCCAATTTCTGATACTTGGTAGGGGTGGTATTCTCCCCTTGGTTATGCTTGCATTTCAGTGAATAAGCAGAAGACTATAAAGAGTTTTAGTTTTAAATTGTTGGCGTTACCCTTACTTTCTATTTCATGATCATCAAGATATCTGCTAGAATATTTAAGCCCTGCTTATCTTATTCACTCGTCTCATCTGGTAGATTGACATACTGATTTCTATTGCATTACTTTTAGCAGAGAGCGAATATCATGGATATATTTTACGAGAAGCACCTACCAGAGTTAGTGGATGTCATTACTGCCTCATGTCCTGAGAAGTCAGGCAACACATCTGAAGGTGCAGCGAGACGGATTTTCACAAAACCTGAAGTCCTATTGAACATATGTGAATTGTTGTGCTTTTGCATCATGCAAGATGCATCCAGAACAAAGTAATCATTATGATCCTTATTTTGGTGATTCTATATTGCATTCTCATAGTGCCATTCAATTTATATCTGCTGTGCAATTTCTTTTCGTCTACAGATGCAGTTTTCTCCAAAACACTGTGACTGAAAAAGTTTTGCATCTCACACGGAGAAAGGAAAAATACCTAGTGGTTGCTGCAGTACGATTTGTCCGTACTCTCCTATCAGTCCATGTGAGTTGATTGTTTGAACCTGAGACAATATATATTGGTTACCTGAAATAGTTTCTGAAGGCTTCCTGTAGCTGAAAATTGAGGCATATTGGTGTACATGTTTTTGCTGAAATAGTTAGATAAACCTATCATACTTGCACTTTACTTGCAAGTGGTAGGTATCATAGCGTAGGCTTTGTGTAATGGATTAAATAGCTTGTGACAAGTGACCCTTGATTCTCTGTCATGGTCACAAATTAGCTCATCAGGGAGTTTCTAGAAATGCTGTGTAATTACTGAAATCAATTTCTATTTCAGGATGAGTATGTCCAGAATTATGTTGTTAAAAACAACATGCTGAAACCGATCATAGATGTCTTTATTGCAAATGGAAACCGGTACAATCTGCTGAACTCTGCAGTCTTGGATCTGCTTGAGCATATACGCAAGGTTTTTCTTTTTCTATCTTTTTCCCCTTTAACTTATATTGTAGTCCGGGATGTTAAATGTTTATTTTTTTTTTATTTTGTATGTAGGGAAATGCAACTTTGTTGCTCAAATACATAGTCGATACATTCTGGGACCAGTTGGCCCCATTTCAGTGCTTGACCTCCATTCAGGCTTTCAAGGTCAAGTATGAACAGGTACCGTTTCTAGGTCTTCATTCGTACTTAGGACACAATTGTCTATAGTTGTGTAACAATATGTCCTCAGTGTTTAGAAAGTGCCGGACCGAAAAGCACTGCTGATGCGGTGGATCCAAGAAGACGAGTTGACGAGCGTGCCTTGGAAAAAGAGGAGGAAGATTATTTCAATGAAGACAGGTTTGCCCCTGGGTGTTAAAACATGATTATTTATTTCTTCCTCTTCACATTTCCTTCACACATTTTGATATTGACAGCGATGAAGAAGATTCAGCCTCTGCTTCTAATACACAGAAGGAAAAACCTACTTCTAATACAGAGAAAGAGCAACCTAAGCCTCACCTTTCCAATGGAGTGGCTGTAAGCCCTACTTCTTCAAGGTATAGTAGTTTCTAAAAAGACATTCATGAAACCTTTATATATATGCAAGATCTAGTGTTTAATGGATTTATTGCTTGTTGCTGCTGTTAACTCTTTAGTCCGAGGTCTGGAGGCTTGGTCGATTATGAAGACGATGAAGATGATGAAGACTATAAACCTCCTCCACGGAAACAGCCAGAAGTCTCTGAGGATGAGGAAGGCGAGCTTCTTAGTCTGAAACGCAAATCCGATTGTGTAGAAAAAGAACAAGAGCCGTCCAAGAAACCGCGGTTGGGTAAAAGTTCAAAAAGGGAAAATGTATTTGCTGTGCTATGTTCGACGCTGAGCCATGCAGTTCTTACGGGTAAGAAAAATCCAGGCACCACTGGATCTGCAGCCCGGTCCATAGTAGCTAAGGGAGCTGAGGATTCGAGAAGTAGTGAAGAGAACAATAGCAGCAGTTCAGATGATGAAAATCATAAGGATGATGGAGTGTCGAGTGCAGAACATGGGACATCAGATAATGGGAAGCTAAATGGGGAAGAATCTCTTGTAGTAGCTCCAAAATCATCACCTGAAATGGCTGTAAATGGATCCTGAGATTTTAATACTCTGGACTCTAATAGTTGGGGCTTGGGATGCACTCTCATGGGTGAAAATAAAACCTTCAGGGTTAAGACTGAGAAGGAGACATGAAAACCGCAAAAGAAAGCTTCGGCCAACCACCGGAGGAAGAAATGTATAGTGAACGCCATTTGAGAGGTAACAGGTTCTTCGTCCGTAATGTTTGCAGCCGTTTTTTTTATAAAAAATATTCAATCTTTGGAAAAACTTAGCAGTCTCTGGTCTGGTGTCAATTGCCTATTGTACAAGACATGGTCTATCAGCAACTAACTCTTCTTAATTCAAGTTCCTAATGGTTTCCTTATTTAAATCTCTTTGTTTTTCTGGAAATTCGTCTCTGGTCGTTGTGATAGGGTAGAGCAGCCAAAGTGTGTTATATTTTTCTTTCTTTTTTAACAGTTAGATGTTACACATGAGATATATGATTTTGATATATTTTGTATTCAGTTTTTGGATTTTGTTTTATATCATCAAGAGGTTCTTTAGAATCCTCCTACAGAGCTACTATACTTAAGTCAGCCACTTGCAACGTTCTTAACATGATCTAAGTCCTTCTACCCAACTGTGTATTTTAACAATTAAAAGAAGCTTAATCAAGAAGGCGAGTACCAAAGATTTTGTATAATCTTGTTTTTCCATGGGTAAGCCGTAAGCGTTACGAGTATTGTAACTTTGTAAGAGAGGATACAACAACACTCGTGGGTAAAGGGATCACCAACGTGTCCAATCCTTGTATGTCCATATGCCTTCTTTGTGGGGGCTAATAATTTAAGACGATCATTGACAATTGAATGGGCCTTAATATTCAGGCCTAATAATATTTTCAATTTATCCAGTTTCTACTTTCTCGTCTTCAGAACCGAAAGTTTCTGAATCTAGCTCAGTTTTAGAACGAACAAAAGGAAACCAAAAAAAAAAAAACAAACAAGAACAACAAATTCTAGCATATCTAAAATATTTGAAATTACAAACTTATTAAATATTTGCATAATCACACATCCCGCATGACGTGTACCGAACCTACCTAGTAACAAGGAGCGGGGATTGATAACTTGTGAGCAAAAGATGGAAACAAACAAATCAAAATTGGATTTACAAATACACCATAGAAATATCAAACTTGAAAATTAATCCAGAGAGATATTTGACTCCTTCTTTCAACGCAAAAAGAAAAAAAGAAACACCTTGGTGTCCTCCATTAGCATACAATTAACAAAATTCACCAAGTATTGAAATATTTTAAATAACTTCAAACAGAAAGATATGCCGAATAAAAACAAATCCAGAGAAATAAAATGACTCAATTCACTAAATATTATTATCTCCTCCCTCCTTATTACTTACACACACAAAGCACACCAACAGCTATATTAGCCATTCTTTTGCTTGTCTTCGTTTGCTTCGTCGATTTCACAATGATTATTATCGCCAAGGATATTCGTATAATCATCGGAGTTATTGGTAAGATGATCTGCATCTCTCTTTTACGTGCAAATGTGCAATCGATATGTTAATATTTGTGCATATATCTATATATCCGTGTGTATTATATGGTACTGATTCCATACATCGTCACTGTAGTTTGTGCATGGTAGTGATCACGGAACTAAATCTGTCTCGTTATGATCGATGTTCATCCTAATTTATATCGGTCGGCTCGTTTTACCTATGTAAATTATATAAATAAAGTGAAAGGGATTCACTGATTTAATTTACCACCTTTTCTATATATTTTACTGATTTTTTTCTTCTCCTGCTCTTGATGCAGGGAATGTTTTAGCCACTGTGGTCTCCCTCTCGTGCATGTAATTCTCTTTCTCTTGCTCTCCGCAGTTGTTTTTTTTTTTTTGTTTGTTATATGTTTGTTTTAAATATATCTACTATATATATTACAAAAGTTTTTTGAATTTATTGTCTTCTCTAGTAATTTGTCACCATCATAGTCTGTATATTGGCGAGCAAGGGTTTATATAATAATATATATGTATTGCTTTTAATTTAGTGGTTTCTAGCTAGGAATATTGTTGTATTATTTCTCAGATTTATAATATCATTTGAATTATGGTTTTCAGGTTAAGGTAAGTATCGTGTACTTGGTTTCTTACAAAAAAAACAAAAAAAAAACAAAGATTATAAATTGCATGCAGTTAAGAGTTAAAGCATTTTTCATTCATCCCTATGTTTACAGGCCAAAGTTCATACAAATATACAAGAAGAAATTATCAGTGGGGGAATATCAACATGATCGTCAGATAGTGATAATGACTAAATGTAGTTTGTGGATTTTGTATGGTATCCCTTTTGTTTACAAGGATGGTATTCTCGTCACCACTAGTAATGGCCTCGGTTTTATTATTGAAGCTATCTACCTGGTTATCGTATGGATCAACTGTGACAACGTAATTATAGCTGCCCCTGTCTGTCCCCATCTTTTAAAAAAAAAATGCTTTAATATATATATATATAATGTCGATCTTGATGTGTATGCAGAAGAAAATGGTTTTTGGATCTCTTTTGTGGGCTTCTGGTTTTGTGTCAACGTTCTATGTGATTACTCTTATGATATTTGCGAGATCACCTTACAAGCATATACTCGTGGGTGTTGTTTGCGACGTTTTCAACATTTGTGTCTATCTTAATATTTCCTTGGTACGTAAGCCCTCTCTCTCTCTCACCTCTTTCTCTCCTATTATATATATATATATATATGTGGATAAGTAAACTATGAATTAATTAGTAGGTTTAGATTAGTTTTTAATTATTTATTTTTATGGGTGAAACAATATGTATATAGAACAAAATGTCGGAGACTAAGAACTATACGTACATGCCGTTTTGGCTGTCGGTAGTTAGTTTCATCAACGCTGGAAGTTGGACTGCTTATTCTTTGATCTACAAAATTGATATCTTCGTCCTTGTAAGTCTCTTTTTTTTTTTGGCTTGAAAACTTAAATGTATTAATTAATTGTTGGATTTTTATTTCATTGGCAGATTGAATTTCATCAATAACGTTGTCTTTGTTGTGTGTTGTTTATATGGAACAGATAAACAGTGGTGTTGAAACGTTGTTTTGTGCATTTCAATTAGTAGTCCATGCATGTTCCTGCATACGCCAGCTATGCGTTAGTGTTTGAAGTTGGTGTTGTTTTGGTAATATCTATATACTTTGGTATGCTTAATTGTATGGGTTAATTACGGATTTTTATTCTTATTAATAAATCGACATTGGCATAAATTGCTAATTTATTGTTGTGTCAAATAATATTTGTTAGTATGAATTTGATAGATTCTTTATTGTCCTTTTGAGAATTTATTATCCGTTTTGAGAACCTGATGCTAACATAAAACGTTATGAATTTGATAGATTCTTCATTATAAAACGTTAACATGGGTAATATATATATTCACAAGCACAAAGCTTTCTTTTATAGCCAAAGGTTTCTTATGTGTTGGTCTGAAATTATTTTAGATTGGTCCTCCTTCATCTGTCCTAAGATCTCGGAGTTTCTCTTTTGTTAACATCAAAGTTTGGATCGACGACCTATTTCCCCCCGAAAACTATTGCATCGTATCAGAACTACACAAAACTTTGATCTCATCCTCTATCTACCCGAGTCGATAATTCTATTCCTGTTTCTCCCCGAGTTCATAGTTCTATTCCTATTTTCCCAAAAATATCATAGTTCTCATCTAATTTTCCAAATATATGGGTTTATACGGTTTAAAATTGGTTTATTGTTTTGATTAACCAAAGAACGAATCCGATTACATGATTAAACCTTTTTCAACCCAATTAGAAATCTAAACCAACCCAATTAGAAAACTAAACCTAGAAACCCAAAACTCAAAATCCCCACTTCGATTTCTTCTCCTTTCTCTCTTTAAGAACACTAGCTGAGCCTAGAATCTCATATCCATCTCGATTTCGTTGTTGTTTACTCGACCAAGAATCTTTTCATAGTTTTCTCCAATGTTTATCGAGGCACAGCTCCAATGATACTGTCTTTCTTCTCACCGTCTTTGAAGATGATCACGGTCGGAACGCTTCTTATCCCGTGATTGGGCTCTCGTCGGTGTTGAATTTGTAGAATTTGAACTTCCAGTTGGTCAACTATGGGGTGAATCATACGGCACGTTCCACACCACAGCGCCCAAACTCCTTCACAGATGGTTGGGTAACAAAAAATATTTCCATCTTTTATTCGTTGTAAGTGACAACTACGATAGTGTCTATACATGATCTTCATCTTTTATTCTGTTCTTGTTTCCATATATCAAACCAGTGACCTGCAAATATAATAGCATACAAAAACCATTGGTATTCGAAACAACATCCAAAACAAAACAAAAATCACAAAATGACGAATGTTGGAAATATACTTGAGGATCAGCGATTGGTTTCCTCTTCTCAACGTATTGATTAGGATCAGCCATTGCTTCAAGAGCTCCTCTAGCCTAATCAAACAAGAGACAACCCAGAAAATGAAAACTTGGAGATTGGAATCCATACACGACTTCATAGACAACAACAAAGTTTGGGATGTGAAATGAAGAATTGGTACCTCTTGTTCTTTTTTGAGATCTTGAGCTGGCTTAATTTAATAGAAGATGGTGTCGTCTAACTATCCTCAAAATGGGATTTGGCATGAAGCTACAAAATGGGAATTTGGGAATTCTGATTTTTAGGATTCTAAACTTTCAAAAATTGGGGATTTTTGATCCGTTATAAGGTTCAACTGAGTCGGGTCGGGTTAAATACGAAACGGGTTATTAATTGGATTCAAACCGTGGTTCAATTGGGTTTCTATTGGTTTTGGTTCGAAAATCAAGTAAACCCACACAATTGGGTAAATAGGAATAGAACTATGAATTCGGGGGAAAATAGGAATATAACTATTGATTTTGGTAGATAGAGGACGAGATCAAAGTTCTGTGTAGTTCTGATATGATGCGATAGTTCTCGGGGGGAAATAGGTTGTCGATCCTCAAAGTTTCGTTCGATATAAATTTCTTATCTTTAATACAGGTTTATATAGGTTGTATTATTATGTTAATCAAAAAATGTGGCTGTAGTTTAGTGGTAAGAATTCCACGTTGTGGCCGTGGAGACCTGGGCTCGAATCCCAGCAGCCACACTTACTCGTTTTTATATTTTATTTGGTTTTTATTGTCCTGTTACTGTTAGTATTAGATATAACTTATAAGTTAAAACCAAGGACTTGTTCAATGTTAGAAAAAAAAAAAAAGGATATCAGGTAAACTCAAACTAAAGGTCAATTCGATTCTTATGGGCTCAGCAACCAAAATTTCCATTGAAGAAGAGTTGAACAAAGGTGGTTCATGTTAAGAAACAACTACTACATGTTAAATATATAGGAAATCTATAAAGCAATTAGCAATGAATCAGTGGTTGTTCCATCTTCTCTTAAATGGCCTTGTAACATCCGAGACTGCATAATGGTAGCTTCGTCTTTGAATCCCTGTACTTGTACTCTTTCTCGCAATTTGGTCCCACACATTTCTCCCGTGGTGGAGGATAACTGATGACATATCCCATCAAAACACACAGTTAATACCTCACAATTCCACACATATGGTTCTAACTACCCTCAAATGTTTGCTTACCCGTACGTGATCGGCTTGAAGATATCTGGAAGACCAATGTCTTCAGAAAATGTCATTGTTGTTCCGCTTGGACCGATCACCAATCTGATAGTGTTTGATGCGAGTGTGCTTGATCTTGCAGCTCTTTCCTGTGAAGAGCAAAGATAAAGTCAGAACAGAGAGAGGGAGAGAGAGAGAGTTTATATAAGATGTATTATCTGGCAGTTGAAAGTACCTGAGCTCGTTCTTCCTGCTGTTTTTTTATCTTCTCCTCTTTTTTCTTCCTTCCAGAATCTTGTCCGAGAATTTTCCTGATAGCTTCAGCCTGGTAAATAGACAAAGCAGAATCATTAGATTGTAATTCGGCTTGTGTTGGCATTATAAAGTAACCGGAAAAAATGTATTGACTTTACCTCGGCTTCTTGGGCAGCCTTCTCAGACTGCATTCGCCGTCTCTGTGCAGCTTCGGCCTTCTTGGATTGTTGTTCTACATCAGAAAGCTTCTGTTTTTGTCCTGAAATTGTTCACGGTTCACAGATTTCAGTATTTACTGCTATCAGTTTGTTCTAAGAAAGGGAAAAAATGAGCAACTCACTTCTAGATGAGGGGCAAGGTAAGCCGTCAGGGAATTCAAGAGGTCTAGATCCGATGACAGAATATGGATCTTTTCCTGATTGGAGAGCACGGGTACGTGTTGTAGGAATTTGTCCACTTGCTCCTGCCGGGAGCGAATCAACCATTCCCATCCTCGGTTTTTTCCTTTCAGACACAGCAAGTTTTCCAGATGAGAATTGTTCTCTGTCTTCCATGCCATGACCATTGCTGTGTAACCTTTTGCTTCCTTCACTCTCTTTACCTTCCTGAGGGTCCCTGACCCTTTTAGACTTTAACTTCTCGAGGTATCTGATTTCCTCATCTCCATCATCATCATCACTGTCTGGTTCTGGATCCAATACGCGTTTCTTAAGACCACGTTTGCTCTTCTCGGACATGGATGCACCATTCACAGTCTCAGAGGTATATCCTCTAGATTGATGGATCTCCTTCAAAAACAGTGTTTTCTGACCATGTCTGCGCTCTAGTCCATTGCCTTTTACCTTATTTTTTAATGGCTTTTGTCCGTCATCCTGCATTACTCTTGGATATCAGACAATAACTAATGTATGATGAAGAACAAAATCAAAGCTTTCAACCGATAAGAGTCTTACCAAAGTATCGGTGTAAGCACCCGCCTCAGAGTTGGTTTGGATCGTACGTGTAACACCACCAAGCTTAAGCTTCAGTTTCAGTGGGTTCTCAGTCACAGACCCACAGAGACTATTGGTGTTCCTAACATTTGGGTTAGGTTCATTGCTAAGAGCTGTGCTTGAGGGTGGCAAAAAGGTGAAACTATGCAAGCTCTCTTTTATATGGCGTGGTCGACGAGGCAGAGCACTTCTCCTTCTCCTACCTTTGAAACCAGCTAAAGTAGAAGCAGAACCTTGAGCGGCCTCCATTATCATCAAATCTCAGGACAAACCAACCATACACAAGAAAAACTGCAGTAGAATACGTGAACATAGTGACCAAAGTTAACGGACAAGTAATTAAACTATATAACAGCTGCAAGTAAACCTTCATCAAAACATGTCCCAAGGTCTACTCGAAGCAATTTTTTCAATAGTGAGATATGTAAACATTATATTCAAAGCAATTTGAAATTGAACCTACCATTGTCACAAAACCAATGAAAGCACCAACCATTCTCTCAGAAATCAGTCAAGTTAGAGTGATATGGACAACTGAAACCATACTACACTAAACCACATACCTCTAAAACCTTCTTCTCAGTTAATGCTTCAATAAACTCAAAACGAAAAGCAGGCGGCGGGAGACAGAAAGAGACGCGGGAAGACGGAAGGAGAGAAAAACCCTAGAATTAGATAATGGAGTTGAGGAGGAGAAGAAGAAGAAGAAGAAGTCTCTCGAAAGAGAGATATGTGGATTGGCTTTAAGTGAAGGGTAAATGTGGAAGAGATGTCCCCATATCTTTATCTCCTCCATTTTTCTGATTTTCTCTTCTTCTTCTTCTCTCTTTTTTTTTTTTTCTTTTTTTCTTTTTTTTTTTCCTTTTTTCTTTTTTCCCCTCTTTTTTCGGGTCTTCACTTCCATGTCGTCTCCTTTAAATATCTCCGGCGAGGCGCTCAGCGTTTCTTAGTCGGGGTTAATGACTATGACGATCGACAATTTTATTTTTGGTTTGGGCCTTTAATATTGAGGCCCAGTCTATTCAAGGCTCGGAAAAAATAACAATTAACATAAGATGGATCTCTCTTGCTTTACGGGATGGTAGATCTTTGTATGTATAATATTATAACACTTTGATTGACATCCACATACGACAATACAAATAAATTAGTAGATAAGAGATGCATGATCTATCTCTGGTTAAGCGTTACACACCATGTAAGCCTAATTAATTAATAAAGCTCTCTCACGTTCTTTTTAATATGATTTTTGGAATTTTGGATATTCGAAAACGACGTCGTACCACGTTCAAAACCAGTCCAAGGCCCAAATTTAAAGAAAACAAACACTTTACATCGTCGCGATTCAAAAACGCCGCCGTTTCATTTTTCACTTGAGCAACGTGGAGATAGCGAGACAGTTACTAACCATCTTGGTAAGCTTATCGCCCACGTCAGCCAAAGGGTTAGGCTCTCCCGCTTCTTCGAAGCCGTCGTTGCACGTGCTGTAGTCCGTCATAGCCGCGCTCAAGTTAGTGTTAACGGTGGCAATGTCACGTGACTTAACGGCTAACGCCGCGTCTTCCAAATTGGCAAGGGCGTACGTCGTCGTACAACTCCTGGCAATCGTCGGCGGCTACTTCCTCGACGGTGGCCAACGCCGCCTTGGTGGCGTTGATCGAAGCTTGAATCGCGAGAACGAGGACGGAGGAAGTGTCTGGTTTCACTGAGCCACCGTTAACAGAGGACTAACGGAAGATTCGCATAGCGGAGGGAAATCGGTTTTGCCGCAAATAGCTTTGATCTCCGGAGATAACAGAGCTGGATTCACAAGTGTTTTGATCATATATCACTTTGACTTCTAGTGTTCTGCTGTGGTTTCTATCAAATTCTGTTACTTTCTTTTAAGTTATTGTGCTGGGATTATTTCTAATAGTATAAAATATCTTCTCGTTTGTTCAGAGTTCAAGAATAATATGTTTTAAAGTTACTAGATTATTAATTTGCGCTACGGACAGAATATTTTTCTTTCTATCGATTGTTTTAAGCAGGTATATAATATTATATAATATACAACAGTACTATCATATATATATATTTATTTTTTAAATTTACCAAAAAAGAAAAAAATTAATTCAACATATCATAATGGAATCAAAATGTATTATTTATATGTAAAAATTGACTATTTAAATAAATATTTTGTCAAAACCCGATTTCATTTTTGATTCTTGAAATACTATAACCGGATTTTGATTTTAAAAAAAAATGTGGTGTTTAAAATTAAATAGATTGGTGGATATATAAACTAATTTTAAGAAGTTTACTAAATCAATATTTGGTTGTATAATTTATAATGGATGCAAAATGTTTTGTTTTACCTTACCAACAAAAAAATAAAAAAAATCAAGAGATGTGTTAAACACCAATAATTCCCGAATAATTTCATTTGACAGAAAAAAAATTATTAAACATAAATGGTTAAGAATATTCCGTAACGTGACGCGGATTCTCAAAAATGAATGGAGTACGAATTTTGGAAAGTTATACAACGGTTATTAAGTAAATATTAAATGGTCATGTTGCCTATTGGCTTCACCCCCTCTCTAACGTCTCAATAAATGCATACAGTCCGGGTTCGATTCCACTGAGATATTAAATCTATTTTTTTATTTTTTACCAACATTTAACAAATTTCTAGCAAAATATATTGTTAAGGCCTGTATATTCGTAAGATTAAATATAGTGTTGATAGATTAAGTTTAAGTAATCTCACGAAAATATAAGCAAATTAGATTTTAAAAAAAATTGGGTTAATTAGTAAAAATGATTCCACTACTTAACCCACGAACCCACTAATATCATTCTAGGAAATTCGATTTATCTGGAAATATCACTAATCCATGAAACAAAGCAAAACAACAAAACAAAGCAGAGAGAAATGTTATTTTAAAACAACAAACACGAAAATGCAAAACAAAAAAAGGGAAACTGATGCTGTTGAATGCAGAATCGAATGCCAGTCCATCCATGCCTGAATAGGCGGTCTAACATTACGCTTCAACCGTTCCTGTTACATCAGCACTAGCAACAACATTCAGGCACAGTGCAACAATGGAATTTCTTCCATTTCTATTCCATCAACTTGGTCATCTCCTCCGACACCTCCTCTGTTTCCTCCTCCGACAACACCACCTCCGTTACCTCTTCCACCAGCTGCAACATCCAAACCTCTAAACCGTATGGGAGTGATTTTGTACAGTGTAAACAGTACAGTGATAACAACGAAACCAAACCAAGACAAAGCTGCTTGCACAGGAGAAAAATCTTTGAGTAGAATCTTACGATTGTTTATCCATACCATAGCAGTTGCTGCCATCACAGCATCTCCGCAGCCAAACAGATCTTCCACGCCAATGAACTTGGAAAGGGAGACGAGAAATAGATACAACGAGAGAGAAATCCCAATGGCAAACCATCCTAGACTACTCTCTGTGATCTCGATCATATTACCAATGAATACAAACCCACCAAGGACGGCCATGTTTCCAACGCATTTGAAGAGTTTCAGAGTCATTCTGTATCGCTCACTATACTGAGTCCTCATTTTGACGTAGACACGTCCAATCCCGCAAGCAAAATTGAGAACAAACAAAATAGCACTAATCACGACCGCGGCAATCACCAGATAATTAGTGCTTTTCAGTTTCAGAAGAAAAAAGGTATCCAAATCCCCGAAGATGAACTGGAAGAGAACTAGCATTTCAGGGTGAAAGAACATTGAAGCAAAACCAGATTCAATACATCTCAGGAAGCATTCCGGAAAATTAGTGCACTTACACGCTTTCATAGCGGCATCAGCTTCTTCATTAACTTGGATCCCTCCTCTGTTTCCTGCTCCAACAACACGTTCTCCATTACCTCTTCCACCAGATGAAACATCCAAACATCTAAACCATATTGGAGTGATTTTGTACAGTGTAAACAGTACAGTGATAACAACAAAGCCAACCCAAGACGAAATTTCTTGCGCAAGAGAAAGATCTTTTAGTACATTCTTATGGTTGTTTATCCATACAACATATGTTGCCGTCATCACACCATCTGCGCAGCCAAACAGATCTTCCACGCCAATGAACTTGAAAAATGAGACGAGTAATAGATAGAACGAGAGAGATTCCCCAATGGCAAACAATCCTAAACTACTCTCTGTGATCTCGATCATGTTACCAATGACTACAAACCCACCAAGGACGGCCATGTTTCCAACGCATTTCAAAAGTTTGAAAGTCATTCTATATAAACGAACCCGCTCACCATACTCAATCCTCATTTCCATGTAAAGTCCTCCAAACTCGCAAATAGCATTGAGGAGAAACAAAACAAAACCGATTGCATACACGGATAATAGCAGAGGATTAAAGTTTTTGAGGTTCACAAAAAAGTAAGTACCCAAAGCTCCGAAGATGAACTGGAACACAAAAAGGACTTCCGGGTGATAGAACAGTGATGCAAATCCAGATTCGACGCGTCTGAGAATGCCTTCAGGAAAAGTTTTACACGAACACGCTTTCATTGCAGCTTCAGCTTCACCGTCTTCGTTAGCTTGGATCCCTCCTCCATCACCTCCGACGACACCTTCCATATGATCTCCTTCAACAACGACCTGGACGACATCATCTCTTCCTTCACGATGAGCATCGGTATTACTCATCTTTGATATCCTGGAATTTTTGTATTTTTGTTTAAGAACTTAGGAGAGCTAGAGGTAGGAGAAGAGAGAAAAGAGAGGAAAGAGAGAGAGAGAGAGCGAGGAGAGGAGTGTACCTTTTTGTTTTTTCCGTTTTCTTTTGTCGTTTATGGATTATAAATATTTATGGATTATTAATTAACAAAAGTATTACGTGTATGGCCTAAATTATATCTGGTTATCCACCAATAATAAATACGGTGACGGAAAAAAAAAAACTATAACGCCATAAAAATTTTTTTTTCAATGGCTTCACTATTTTGGACGGTAATACGGCTGTGTTCAAACTGTATCACGCACATTGCACACACACAATTTTTGAAATTACAGCTAGCTGTAAAAGTAAAAGATACGGTACGTGACAGGGTCACATCCACAGAACGGTCAAGTTCTTGGATAATGATAGTATACAAATTTCGTTGCCCATTGAGCAAATACGTCAGTATCCTGGTTCTTACTTATGGACAATAAAGTTGAAGACTTAGCATTCCTTTAAAATTATGACGTCTACACTGAATTATCAGATTTATGCGAGCAGTATACAATTTCGCAACGTAATTTCCTATAGATTACACACACATGCAGGGCTGTTTAGACGTGTTCCACGACTATAATAAATTATTCCGCATTTTACATGTACGTACCTGTATGCATTAAAGAACGTAAACTAAGGTTTTTCCTTATTATATATATATATATATATATATATATATATATATATAAATGATACTGTTGAGATAGGAGGAACCTTTATGCCTGGTTTAAACAACATTCGTTATGTAATTATATCGTACCGCTAAAGACTAAATCTACTGTCGAATTGGTAACTATATCTGGTTTATTCGGGTAATTTTTTAAAATTTAGAATGCGTTTTGGCTAATTAAATTTTATTTTCGGTAATTTTGGTTATTTCATTTGGTAGTTCCAAACTGGTTATCAAATAGAGATAACCGAAGTCTGTCTAATTTGGAATGGATTGGGTTTATTGAATGGAACTGATGGACAAGAAAAAACATGTAATTCACTAACCGGTTGAGATAATTGGTTTGGATGGACCAACATTTGCAGTTTACACGAAAGGTAAAATACCAAATTTTTAATTCACTTTTTAACTTTTTGAACTCTACAAATTTGACATTGTATATAGGCATGACCAAAAGCTAACCTTAACCGTATTTATAACCGTAACCAGACCGTTTATCAACCTTAACCTGACCGTAACCGTATAAAACGGTTAAAAATCGTAACCGTTAACCGTACAAGTACTAACCGTAACCGTTAAAAAAAAAATACTAACCGTAACCGTTAATTAACCGTAACCGTAATAAACCACCGGTTAACCGTACGGTTAAACACTCGGTTAACCGCATATTCAAATCCTTAAATAAATTATATTATAACTGTATATAATGAAAAGACACATCAAATGTTTGAATACATTTTTCACCTTATTAAAAGCAACACAACAAATTGAACTTGTAAGTAATCAAAACATTTCATATTAAACTATTTTTATTCTTATTTCCTTGTGTATTTGATGTTGAGTTTCTCGATCCAATACCCTGATTTAAGTAACTCACTATAAATATTTGAAATCACAAATATTTTTTACTTGTAAAATAAATAGTATTTCATAAGATTTTATCTCTAATATTAATATTATAATAATCATCAAATAACCGTAACCGTAATTAACCGTAACCGTATATAACCGTAACCGTTTTAACCGTATATATAATGGTTAAAGTTATGGTTAAAGAAAATTATAACCGTTAACCGGTGGTTAATTAACCATAACCGCATTAACCGTAACCGTGGTCATGCCTAATTGTATATTCTTTCATTTTAAACAACAATTATCCAAAGATATTTATATTTCTCTCAATTAGTAAAGACAAGAAAAATGAAGACTTGGTTATTATTGGATATGAAGAAAAATAATTTGATGGATTGATAACAATTTATTGATGTTTTAACCCACACACATCATGGATCTGTAACGAACCTACACAACATATAACAAGGAGTGGAGTGACTGGTGCACAAATAATAATGCAACATACAAAAATAGTTGGTATACAAAAATACAATCTTCTATTTAATGTGTAAAGCTACATGAAATATGCCAAATCCAAAGAATATTGACTCTTGCACCAGTGTAGTTGCAGTAGTCATTTACATAACACCAAAGCTTTACCACTAATGGTTGAAATCGAAGCTATATACTTGGTGGCTTAGTTTTTTAGTCATGCAAATTTCCAAGTGAATCATATAAAAGAGAAAGCTAAGAAATGTGTAGAAAAATCGATATCATACGTCAAGAATCAAGACCAACCATGCCTATAGAGTTATATTCTACAACGACGAAAAATATCAGTTACATTGATTTATCCTCAAAAGACAATACTTTCATCGAACGTTGATGCTTCACTTGTTATTTCATCTTTCTGAAGCGACCAAACATTCGTAACATACTAACATCAATATAGTTCACTTTTACCAAATTCTATGGAGAGCATCCAAAAAGAAAACCGAGTCGCTTTGTTTATGGACAACATATATACAATTACGTATATATATATATATATATATCACTTTGTTTCACAAGAAATAGGTGACAAGACAACAACGAGGAGATAGATGCATGAAGCGTGATCTATCTCTGGTTAAACGTCACCATAAGCCTATTTAATAAAGCGCACTCACGTTCTTTAATGTGATTTTGGAATTTTATATATTCGATAACGGCGTAGTACTACCACGTTCAAACCAGGCCCAAATTTAATGAAAACAAACACTTTACATCGTCGCGATTCAAAAACGCCGCCGTTTCATTTTTCACTTGAGCAACGTGGAGATAGCGAGACAGTTACTAACCATCTTGGTAAGCTTATCGCCCACGTCAGCCAAAGGGTTAGGCTCTCCCGCTTCTTCGAAGCCGTCGTTGCACGTGCTGTAGTCCGTCATAGCCGCGCTCAAGTTAGTGTTAACGGTGGCAATGTCACGTGACTTAACGGCTAACGCCGCGTCTTCCAAATTGGCAAGGGCGTCGTCGTACAACTCCTGGCAATCGTCGGCGGCTACTTCCTTGACGGTGGCCAACGCCGCCTTGGTGGCGTTGATCGAAGCTTGAATCGCGAGAACGAGGACGGAGGAAGTGTCTGGTTTCAGCTGAGCCACCGTTAACAGAGGACTAACGGAAGATTCGCATAGCGGAGGGAAATCGGTTTTGCCGCAAATAGCTTTGATCTCCGGAGATAACAGAGCTGGATTCACAAGGTTTTTGGCCGAACTCAAAACATCGATTCCAGATAGAGAAGTAGGAGAAGACGAAGAAGTCTCGACATCATAACTTTCCTCAGACGGTGGATTCGAATAGGCGGGAGACTCTGGTGACGACGCGGGAGAGTCTAAATCTACCTCCGCCGGGGACATTGAATCGGAAGGAGCTTGTGCGGGGGAGTCGATATCAATCTCCTCCGGAGCGGTGGGAGCTTGTGGTGAAGCCGCGGGAGAGTCAATATCTGTCACCGCCGGAGCAGGTGCAGGAGAACCGGAAGGTGGAAACACATGGAGTAGAGATCTGGCGACGTAGGAATCGCCGTATTTGGATTCTACGGGGGATAAGATCGTGACCAGAGTAGAAACCGTGACGATCACGATGATCCGAAAGGTTTTATTCGCCTCCATAATATTTTTTTTTTCTTCCCTTCCGTTGAGAGAGAAAAAAAAAAAAAGTTCGGGGGTTTATGAAAGATAAAAGAGACAAAAAAGATGTAAAAGAAGAAGATATTAAGGGGATCGGCGGAACGTAAATGGCGGCGATTCAAGTTTCCAAATTGTAACATTCGTTTTTCTTAAAACAGGGTAATGTGAAGTTTTGCGATAAAGTAGGTCAACACGTCAACTTAACTAACGTATCTTGTATTTATAAACCTTTTTAATCAAGTATTAATTGGATTTTTAGTACATTTTTGAAACATAATCGTAGAAGTAGTACATTCACTATTCATTATTAGCAAACTAATACATTTTTATTATTTGAACACTATTTAGACACTATTAAAAATCCTTTTAAATCTAATAACTAAAATATTCATCAAAATATATTTGGTTTCTATAAAATTTCAATTACATAAAAATCTATATTTTTTTCTCTATAATTTGATATGCATTTTTTTTAATAATTTCAAATATTTTTCAAACAAATTTTGATACGTCCAGCTATCCTTATGTACAGTTGTGTATCGATGTACGGAAAATCATCCGTACAGCGGTCTGTATATACGTATAATTGTATGTGTACAGATATTTTCTGGTCTATATATGTATATTTGTTTATGTGTAAATATGTTTATTTGTAGTTGTTTCCCTTTGTACAAATATTTGATGTACAATAATGTGTTACTGTACAATTGTCTGTCTGTACAGATATCTCAAATAGTAAAAATGTACTATTTTGCTAATTATGAATAGTAAATGTACTACTTTTATAATTATGTTTCAAAAACGTACTATTTTGCAAACACACCTTTTAATCAATCCATAATCTACAAGTATGGAGTCATAAAAAAAAAACTGTTATTACCTTATTAAATAGTCACCATTTCATTTTTCTTCTTCTCATAGTAGACCTTTGGTTGAAAGAAAAATTGAAATAGTAAAAGTTAGTTTGAGGTTTTACTCTATAAGTTCGAATGGTTGAAAATAATATTTTGATCGTACTTATGTAAGCTTAATCGGAAAACAGATTTGTTTAGATGCCATTTCAAAACGTATATCATATTTGATTTTTAGTTTTATTTTTGATCAAGACAAATGTTTGAATTAGTAAGAATTCTACAATAATTTATTTTTGTGAAGTTGGAATTTAGAGGCACCGTTTTTTTTTGTAATGGCTTTCTTATACGAAAATTAGTACTTTAACTAAGGTAAAACTTTGACATTACCATAGTAGGTAATAAAAGCATCTTTTTATTTGAAGGTCACTGAGGAATCAATTAATAACAGCTATCCCTGATGTCGAAAAAGTTAATGTTTATAATTTTGTTAATGTTTGATGTGTGTATGTATATATATATTTACTTGTTTTAAGGTTTGTTACCGGACTATGCATTTGCCCGCTTTTAGGAATTTGAGAGAAGAAGAGACTACTATAAAGAAAGAGAGAGAAAAAAGTGGCTTTGCATTTCCCGAAAATGGACGTCTCGCCGACATGGATGATGAAGATTTGTGCCGGATTTGTCGATCACCGGAGGAACCAGGAAACCCATTGAGATATCCGTGTTTGTGTCGTGGGTCTATCAAGTATGTTCATCAAGATTGTCTTCGTCTTTGGCTGAATCGTCGTGGATACAAGAATTGCGAGGTTTTATGTTTGCTCATCAATTATCTTCCATCATGCACCTTCATTAAACATAATAAAGAATGTCGAGTAACAACAAGTTCTGTTTGTTCCATACAGGTTCTTGCCATCAGCGTATATGTGTCTATCCTCTTTGTTCTTCTACCATTTTTGATTGGATGGAATGTATTAAGCAACTATTGGAGGCAGCTATATATCCGGAAACTCGTCTTTTATTCTTGGATATATAGTGATGCTGTCAATTCCCTTTGCTTACATTGGAATCCTCTTCACTCTTCGTCATAACTCATTTCCAGCCATAGTCCGGTGTTTCTCACTTCATAACAGTAATTAGAGGAAACCAAATTATGAGAGTAGACATGTTGTATAGTGTCTTAATTTTATACGAGATTAATGGAATTTTTGGTGACGAAGGAGAAGAGCCTCCAGTTTCGTACTATTCGGTTCAAAAATTTGGTTTAACAAACGCACAGCGTGTTGATGATTATTTCGTGTTCATCATGTTCTTGGCGTGTAGCTTCAAACGTGGATTCTCGTTTTAATTGACGCCAATACTTTATTAATTATGTTTGATTTAATCTTAAACTTCCTTTGAAGTTACCCTTAAAAGTTACCAAAAATTACCAACCGTACCATTCTCACAGTTCCAGTGGACGGACTGGAAAACCAGAAAACCAAAAAAGGCGATTCAAAGCAGCAGAGAATATTAAAATCCATCTGCTCTCCGTTGATTCCTATTTTCTATTTTCCGATTGACGGAGACGCCGAGATTTATCCTTCATCGGCTCTGGATTCTCAAAGCCCTAGCTGAAGAATCTCTCAACATTTGGAAATGCCGTTCTGGTGGCCACTGATCGTTCTCGCCTTCGCTTACGCGATCTGCAAGTTCCTTCTTATGCTCATTCCTCCCAATGTTCCTTCCATTGACGTTGACGCATCCGATGGTATCTTTCCTTCTCTGTTTGTATCAGCTCCTTGTTTCGTCTATGACTCTTGTTTCAGTACTGCTGCGAATTTATCTGTATTAACAGTTCGTAGAGCAAGCTTATGGATGTTTGATTTTTATTGGTATTTGGAATGAATTTTGAAACAGTGTTGGCTCATGGGAAAGATACGGAGGAGAATAGCTTCATCTATGTGAGTTCTTCGATCGCATCATTTTCTCCTTTTCATCCATATTTTAGTTGTTAGGGTGATAGGGAATTTAGCTGTTCATCATATATATAGTCTCCTGATCTTTTGGTTTAGGACTTAGGTATCAATAAATCTCAGTATTATGAAGTTAACTCTGATTTCCATATTTTTCTTTCTAAGTGGCTGACTCCCCTATAGTTGATTTATCATGATAGCTAATTAACTCTTAGATCAGTTGTTCTTGTGAATCATACTGAATCTTAAGTTCTTTGTGACATTGGCTTTAGATTCCTCCAAGAGGAAGGAACCAACAGTCAGACAAAAAAGTTCAATGCTATGAACCTGCCACAATGAAATATCTGGGATATTTCCCTGCTCTGTCGCCCACTGAGGTTAGTGGCTGCTGTCGTCTCTACAACGAGAATCTGTTTTTAAAATCCTAATTGAATGATGCTACATTAAATTCATATGTTTCTCTCTATCCACCTTATCCTGGCTTATAATTTACATATTTGTGTTTCAGGTAAAGGAGCGAGTAACACTATCAAGGAAGGCTCAAAAAACATGGGCTCAAAGTAGCTTCAAGCTTAGAAGGCAGTTCCTGCGGATTCTTCTGAAGTACATTATTGAACACCAAGAGCTTATATGCGAGTGAGGATTCTTTTCTGTGTTACTGAGTGGTTTGATATACATATTTGCTTTCCCTTGGTACCTTTTCTCAAATAATGCTAAGATTTCCCTTGGTGCCTTTTATTTAGAGTCTCTTCACGTGATACTGGGAAGACTATGGTAGATGCGTCCCTGGGAGAAATAATGACTACTTGTGAGAAAATTACTTGGCTTCTTTCTGAGGGTGAACGATGGTTAAAGCCTGAATCTCGGTAATACCATCATTGCATATATAAATATCAGTATGAATCATATTTCTGCCTTGATCCTTGCTTATAAATGATTTCAAGTTAAATTTCATTTGTCCACAGGTCTTCAGGAAGAGCGATGCTTCATAAAGTATCAAGAGTAGAGTTTCATCCCCTTGGTGTCATTGGAGCTATAGTCCCATGGAATTATCCCTTCCACAATATTTTCAATCCTATGCTGGCTGCAGTCTTCTCTGGGAATGGCATTGTTATTAAGGTTAACTGAAATGTTTTTTTTTCTTTCTATAATTATAGTTCGCTGACCCTTGATTTTATCTTTTCCTAGGCAATGCCATTCATTTGCATTCCATATTTGAATAAGCTTAGCATGTTACAGTTTATATGATGTCAAAATCGTGAGCAGTGCAACATTGAGAGGAAGTTGATTAGACTTCTTCAATGCATATATCCTTCTTGAGATTTGGTATATGTTTCTGATAGTTGGATCACCTTTTCTGCAGGTTTCTGAACACGCTAGCTGGTCAGGATGCTTTTACTTCCGCATAATCCAGGCAGCTTTAGCTGCTGTTGGAGCACCTGAAAATCTAGTCGATGTGATAACAGGGTCTGTGTGTTTTATTTATGGAATTCTCCTTAGCATGTTTTTATCACATTGATTTCATCAATTAAAAAATTATTTTCAGGTTTTCGGAAACCGGAGAAGCACTTGTCTCATCTGTTGATAAAATGATATTTGTTGGATCCACAGCTGTTGGCAAGATGGTACAGTCTTCAGAATTGGTTCGTCATTCTAATTAGTTCACTATGATTTGTACTTATGCAATATGTTGCAGATAATGAGAAATGCTGCCGAGACATTGACACCTGTCACTCTTGAGCTTGGTGGAAAAGATGCATTTATCATATGTGAAGACGCTGATGTCTCACATGTAAGTGTATTTACTGTGTCATGGTGCTCTCTTCTGTGCTTTTATGGTTTATTATTGGAAAAGGAGGCGTTCCCTGCAACACCTAATGCTTCTGTTGTACCATTTAGGTTGCACAAGTGGCTGTAAGGGGCACTCTTCAGTCAAGCGGGCAAAATTGTGCGGGTGCTGAAAGATTCTATGTTCACAAAGACATTTATAGTGCATTTATTAGCCAAGTAACCAAGATTGTGAAGTCAGTTTCTGCTGTAAGTTCTCTGTGATTTATTGTCATCTTTACTCCAACACCTTCATTAGTATGTCATAATGAGCATAGTAGCCATTCTCTTGTTTTCGTCACCCTATAGTCTTATTCCTATATTTCCTAGTGTATGTAAGCCACATAGGAGGTTAACTGGCATTGTCATATGTATACTGTGGAAGTTTAAGTAAACCAAAAATCTATTGGTTCGAGCAACATTAGACTTCTCTTTCTCATTGAGTTCCTTCTTTTACATCAGGGTCCTCCTCTAACTGGGAGGTATGACATGGGTGCTATATGCTTGCAAGAGCACTCTGAACACCTACAGAGCCTTGTAAATGACGCCTTAGACAAAGGAGCAGAAATTGCTGTCCGTGGCAGCTTTGGTAATCTAGGCGAAGATGCAGTCGATCAATATTTCCCTCCAACTGTTCTAATCAATGTAAACCACACCATGAAAATAATGAAAGAAGAGGTATGTAACCTTACCTTAATTGGTCTGTCTTGCCTCTATTGGTGCATCACACAACTCACACACCGAGTTCTTAAGATACTTTATTAATGTATGAGAATCAGGCATTTGGACCAATAATGCCAATCATGCAATTCAACAGCGATGAAGAGGCGATAAAGCTGGCGAATGATTCACGTTATGCGCTTGGCTGTGCTGTTTTCTCTGGAAGCAAGAGTCGTGCCAAACAAATCGCTTCCCAAATTCAATGTGGTGTTGCTGCAATCAATGACTTTGCATCAAACTACATGTGCCAGGTGCTCATCACTGGCTTTAGTTTAGGATTTTACCTTGGGAAATGAGAAAAAAGAAAGGTTAACCATCATTTCCATGATTAAGAGTAAGACTTTCTCTCTTTTGATTTTGCAGTCGCTCCCGTTTGGAGGTGTAAAAGATAGTGGGTTTGGAAGGTTTGCTGGTATAGAAGGTCTAAGAGCATGCTGTCTCGTGAAATCCGTAGTTGAAGATAGATTTTGGCCACTCATCAAAACCAAGATTCCGAAACCTATTCAGGCAAGTTTTAAAAAATATTGAAAACCCAATCTGATTATCTGAATATTTGTTAACATTTCTCTGTGATGGCCATATCACAGTACCCGGTAGCAGAAAACGCGTTTGAATTCCAGGAGGCACTAGTCGAAACTCTTTATGGTCTTAACATTTGGGACCGGCTAAGATCCCTAATTGATGTCCTCAAGTTTCTTACGGATCAGAGCTCTAACGTGAGCAGAACTAGAAAGAGCCACTGATGAAGAAAAACTTGGTGTCAACATTAAAAAAAAAACCTTTACTCTTTTACATGCGTCAGCTGAGTTGCTGATATTGCAAGCTAATTTTGTTCATTACTTATTAGTGAGACTCGTTTTTCCTCAGAAGGGCTATTTGTGACTTGTGAAATATCTGAAAATCCACTTTTGCTTTGCATTATAATAGGAAACTGTCAATTGGTTTCTTCAAATCCATTTTTTGTTTTTTTTTCTTCATTGTTGAGAATGCCAAAGCAGAGTATTAAAGCAAAACCAGCTCAAACCGAGTAAACACAACCTAAACCACGAGTCTAAAACCAGAGCCTATAAGAATCATACAATTCGACAATTAATCAGACACGTCCTAGATCCGTAAATAAAACCAAGCCCGTCAAACTGGATATAAATTAGTATATATGTTGTAAATGAAAATATATATGCATTTATAATTAATTCTATCCAGAAATAATACTTTTTTTGAAAAGCTGATATGACACATATTATACAGAAAGTTAACATTATTAGAAAATTATGTAATAATTATTGTTTTTTTTTTGTGTGGGAGTAAACTATTTAAGTAAAAAAGGAATCTCTTCTATTAACTTGGTAATTCTCTCTTACAGAATTCAAACTGCCATTTAATAAGAGGTCCAATAGTAAAAACTAATACTAATAATAGTGAAAAATCTATGGATATTGATTGGATACATAGAAACTATTCAAAGCTCTTAGAAGGTAATGCAAGATTTACAAAATGGTGTTACTAAATATGTATTTAAGCAAAAACAAAAAAATTTACTAAAACTAAACATATATGATGATGAAGATATTCAATGACAACTTTCCCCACATTCATTACTATAAATACGTAAAGCAATACATGATAAAGAATCAATCTTTCTTCTTCTTCTTTCTTTTTTTTTTTTTTTTTAAGAGAAACATAGATTACAAACCAGTCGAAACATTATTTCTCACACAAAAGAAAAAAAAAATGGGTCGGAGAAAGATAAAGATGGAGGAAGTGCAAGACACAAACACAAAGCAAGTAACCTTCTCGAAACGTAGACTGGGTTTGTTCAAGAAAGCGAGTGAGCTTGCGACTCTGTGCAACGCCGAGGTTGGTATTGTTGTCTTTTCTCCAGGAAACAAACCTTACTCCTTCGGGAAACCGAATTTTGATTTGATTGCAGAACGGTTTAAGAGTGAGTTCGAAGAGACAGATAGCTTTGAAACATCATCAGGCTATAGAAGAGGCAGTCGTGCTAGACAAGAGAAGAAGATATGTAAACGCCTCAACTCCGTCGTCGAGGACGCTGAAGCTGAGAAGAAACATGGCGAAGACCTTCACAACTGGCTTGAATCTGCTGAAGAAGACAGGTTTAACAAGCCCATTGATGAGTTTACTCTCGAGGAGCTCAAGGAATTTGAAGCCAAGATGAAGAGATTGAGAGGTGGGATTCAAAGTAACATTGATCACATGCAGGCTTCGTCTTCTCTCTTGTTTCTCTCTAATGATGATTAGCTCTGAGGGATCTGGAACTATCCTTTTGTATTAGTCGTTATTATGATGGAATTGTAACAGAGGTTGGTACAAGATTATTGATTGTGTCTTCCTCTTGATGATCGATGGATTGTAGTTTAATTTTAACATTGTTGATTTTACTACATATTTGTTGCCCATTACGCATCTACACTGCATTAGCATCCAACCTCATATGTCCCACGAAACAAACCAAAGATCCAAAAATTTGGTGTCTGACTGAAAGAGGGGAAACATCTTAAACAAAGATTCTATTTCCTCGAGAAAGATCAAATAAAATTACAAACAAAAAAACTGTAAAATAAAAAGAGAGAAAATACCTCAAAAGAGGGTTTATACAAACAGTGAGTGAGTATGAAGAAAGATTTGGCGTGGGCCTCATTTACAGAGGAAGGAAGGAGGAAGAGAGATGCCCTTTTTTCATATCACATCTCTCGTTTCAATACAACACCTGTGATCCCTATTGGTGATTTCGGTTGGTAATGCTCATCAGTATCCACTTCTTCGATCTCCTGTAATAACATAACTGAATCGTTTATACGTGAAACAAACCATAAAATTGAAAAGAGAGTGTGGTTCGGTCGGATCAAACCTGTACTACATCCTCTCCCTTAAGGACTCTTCCAAACACTATAAGCTGGTCATTCAGATCCGGGATTGGCGCCGTTGTGATCAGAAGATCAAAATCCTTGTTGTTCCCTTTTGTTTTTGGTGTCCCCAACATGAATGCCTCATGTTTTGGGCTGAATAACAGAGAACATACAGATAACTTTTTTTATCTTCAAAGCAACGACATGATTAACATTTACATTGAAAAGCCAAAAGCAGAGCAAGCAAGTTACCTCGTGTGAAGGCGACCACGGAGTTTTCCTTTAGCTGTCCATTCTTCTACAGGTATAGAGCTCGGCGAGTGACCAGCTTGTACCAAGTAGTTTTTTATGACCCGATGAAACGGCATTCCCTTGAAGTGATCTTTTTGACTGCAAACAATACTTAATGAATAACTTCTACTATCATATTAAGCTTTAATAGAGTCACATAGTGATTCACTCTTTTTCTCTTTTATGAGGTTTCGTGTTCCAAACACAATCTCCAAGAAGAGTACATCAGGGCCCAAGGGTTAAAGTCAATCAATGAAGAAACTCAAGTTACTAGAATCATATGAAGCTCGAAGTAACACTCCTACTTAAGAACAAGTCATGGCCTGGCTTAATCAAATCCCTATACTTTTCTTTTTCTATCTAGCTTATAAGATAACAAACGAATTCTGATACTAACCATAGATCTAGAAACTTGTCCACAGCTTCAGGGGAACCTTCTTTGAAGAGTTCGACAGTTATAAGTCCTTTTGATGTGTTTATATCCTACATGAGATCAGAGAACATAGAAGCAAGATATCATTGAAATGGATATTTATATATAAGTCACATCAACATTTTACTTTCAAATACTAATTAACATCTCATAATACCATGGATGAGATACATGAACCAAGGATAGAACAAGTATCTTTAGCACCCGCGTAAACAGGGAGATAAACTTACAGCATAACCCGGAAGGTCGTAACTCTTTTGCTCTGATGCAGCATTAGTGTCCTGAAGCACAAAGCAAAGCCAGATATGTAACTATCCGAAACTCTAAATCAAAGTGCACGGAACTCCACCAGAATTGAAAGAAAAAACTCTTAAAAAAAAGTGTGTGCCTTGGAGTCTCAGGTTTCATGTTCAATTGTGTTTCTTGACCTGAAGAGATAACAAATAATATCCTTTTCAGTTTATAGATAGTAATTGTTCTAGCTATAAAGCAGCATATAGTAAAAAAGAAACATCAGGGATAACAGAAGTAATGAAAAGCAGTAATTCAAAAGATGGAAACAAACCTTTGAGACCTATTGCGATAAGTTGTGACCAACGACAGTATGACTAGAGCGACTACAAGGTTACACACAATAATAGTGGAAATACTAATGCGACTCGGAGTCTTCTTCTTCTTGCTTTGATTTAAAAGAGCTTGCGGTTTTATCCTCGCCATTGCACCTTATGTTCCAAGCAAACGAAGAATACAACTGGTCTCTGCAACGCATAAACCAGCGGTGAGTAACAAGCAATCCAGAAAGAAAAATAGAAAGTAAACCACTAGACACAAAAAAAAACGCCAGATTCGTATCTATCAATAATTCAATTTCAAGTTGGTAAAATCAAAACAGCATAAAGACTAACTATAGTTCCCAACTCAAGAAACAATAATACTAGTACGTATTGACCCGATTCAGAATCTAACAAATTTGTATAAATCAACGCTGTGTGGAAAGTATTGAAAAAAGGGCATCCTCTCTCGTGCATAGCTACACCAGTAATTTCCAGATCCACTACTTTTCCATTTCTAAATCAAAATCGAAATAAATTGAACAAACATTTTTTGATGAGCAACGAAGCAGCTTATCATGTTCCAATCAGATAAATAAAAACGGGATCTTTCTATAGAAATCCCAAGACTTTCCAAGGACCTCAATTGCTTTATTTGGGTTCCAAAATTGGAAATGGAAAAGAAACGCACCTGTGGAAGTGAGGAGAAAGAAGAGCTCTACAGGAGAGGAATCGTCGTGTAATAATAAGAGAATAGGTCAGGTCGTTTCGTCGATGGAAACTGGTTTGAATTCTCTTCTCTTCTCTTCTCTTCCTCCTTTTTTGTTTTTGTTTTTGCAGAGACGCTTCAGATCAGTCGCGTGTTATCCGACGGCTACGAGTCCACCTCACTAAATATTTTATTCGACAAAACAATTATTCCAAAACAAATAAAAGTCAAATATCGGAAGTCAGTTCAGTTCGGTCTGGTTTTTTCTTACCTGCTTGGTTATGTAATGTAAAAAACGATGATTTATTAACTGTAGTATGTGCTTGTGAGTTTATCACGTTAATCATTAAATAATTAATACCAAACTGTATAATATGAAAATGCATTGGTCAGAGTCAAATCTTCTAGTTAAAAATTATAGTCAAAAACAAAACCACAAGCAAGATTATCACTTGAAAACCAAAAACCAGGTCACAGCCAACTGTTCGGTTTCGTGACTTTTGTTATAGAAATAGAACAGCCACTTTAATTGATCGGTTTATATATCTGTAGCCTACCATCCATAAACCGTTACTGTGTTAACCTGAAACAGGGAAGTCAATCATCATACAGTATCTTTTAACTTGCACACCATCGCCTCTTTCTAGCCGGTCTCTGTTGATTACTCGGTTCGGTTTGAGATTCGAATGTGGCTTCTACAGTCCTGGCCAGTTTGGTTTCCTTGAACCTCTCTCTCCGTTTCTCCATCTTCTTCAGACTCTCTTGTATTCGTTCCTTGTCTATTTCAACAACTTTCACTTGCATCTCTTCTTCTATGATCTCGCCTTCTTCTTTATCATTTATATATTGATTCTTCACAGCTTTCTCTTCACTTCTGTAGATTATCTTTCCTGATTTCTCACGATCCTGTTGTTCTATCATGTCTTGGCCATTGGAGAATCCTCTTTTTGATTGGTTAGAGACCTGAAAACGCTCACAAAATAAAGAAAGAAAAAAAGGGTCATGTTCTTCATTGTACACGAAATTATGTATAATTATACAGATCGAAGCAACAAAGAAATCAACTATAGAAGACAGACCACATAAAGTGATAAAACAATAAGAAAACTTTAAAATTATAGCTGGAAGGAGACTGAAAACTAATTTAATCTGAAAGGCGCTTATACTAGCTAAATATAGGTTTTACAAGCATATAGAATTTACCTTTCCTTGCCTACCAGCTAAGTCTACCGGATCCTGACGCTTGATGAAAGCATGCCCATCTCCTCTCAGCCTTTTGGATATGTGATGTCTTTCATCAATTCCATGAATATATTCATGGCTCTTAAGGTATCCAGACCTTTGTTTGATAGCCATGCGATTATGTCTTGGTATCCTTATGTCACCGGGTAATATCTCATCAGTATATGATGGATGCTCAGAATGAGTAACTTCTGTCATTGAATATTGAATGTCATCTGCCAACTTATAACTCCCTCTATCAGGACAAACCCAACCATCATCATACTTCAGTCTATCTTTTATGCTCACATTATCGCTACGGCCACGATTCTGTGTACAACCATCTCTCGGTGCAGTCTTATGAAATTGGTCATTCTGGCTCTCATATGCCTCAACTGTTCTGAAGTCTCTGATCTCATCTCTCCAGAAATTACCCTTTGCTTCATTTGTATACCAAGAATCTCTCAAAGATAAAGACTGTGAGGGCCAAGCATCTTGGGTTCTACATGTATAACCATCTTCCTCTGAGACAAATCTATCAAGATGCCAGTCATGAGTGTAACGTCGTCTTTTCTCTATTTCAGATAATTCCTCATGTCTTTTATACCCTTGATATTCTCTCCTTTCCACTTCAGCAAAAGAACGCATCTCCCTGTCATATGGAATTCTACTTTCCCTGTGACATTCATCTTCAAATCTATGACGATGCAGATTATAATCATAATCATCCCTTCTTCTGCAATGAAGATCATTCTCGGGATTTTGTTTGAGGTTACGGATTGCATATTCAGAAGGGTACTTTGACTGGTACCTATAGTCCATGTCAGTACTTGGTATGAAGTCCTCATAATAAGGCTCTCTTGGCCAATCATACCCGTTTCTTTCTTTGTTATTCTCGTAGGCTCGGACGGGACTTCTTTCATGCACATATTTTCTTTCACATTGATGCCAACCATATCGATCATCCTCTTCTTTAAAATTTGATCTAGAATTTCTCTGATTAAGATCGAAGGATGAATATGAGGTATACTTTGTATGACGCGTCTCACAGTTGTACCTATTAGAATGATCAAAACATCGACCCAGTGATGATTCTTTGTTGTTGCTGCGCCAACCAAACCTCTGCTCTCTATGCCGAGCATGATCCACAGATGGATACAATCTATCATGACGTTTTTCTCTATTTGAGTAGTGAAAGCCTTTACCTTCAGTCTCATCCCTTTCTAATGTAACAAGTGGTCCATTCTGCCAGTTTTTGTTTGAATCATGATACAAACTTTCATGTCGGGAACGAACTCTTCTGCCACGACCTGGATCTGGAGTAGGCGATGCATCCTTAACAATGCTGTGTTTTATTCTCACATGTTCAGCATAGCCAGCTCTCCCATAGTGCTTTTTGCTCGACTCTTCGTGAGATCTTCCGTGTCTGGAATCCATTGTACCACTCCTTTCTCCTCTTTGGATACTAATTTCTTCATGTTCTGCAAGTCTAGGTTGTCTTGGTGGGGTACTGACTTCACGTTGTTCATCAGTAGCACTGTCTTTCAATGACTCTGTGTCATAATCATCAGATTCCTCATTTTTACCAATAGAACAGGAAGAGGTAGGGCTCAGACGAATGCGATCTCCAAGAGATGATTCCTTCTCCACTGAGGATGGATTTGGCTCATCAGAATTGGAAAAACTCTCTTCTTTCTCATCCTCAACCATTTCCTTATCAAATGGTGTTAATTCCCTACTGCAGCAATTCTCTGTTGGAGGAGATTGCTCGCCACTGAAACTTCCAGCGTTATCATCTTGACACCCCACAAAAGTTTCATCTGTTGGCGAATCATCGACTGAGTTCAAATCCTTATGCGAACCCTCACTTCTAGATGCTTCATTTGATGTTATGTTGAGAGACCTTGCTTTCTCAGGTGTCATGATAGATATCTCCTCAACATCATTAGTGACTGGGATCTGGTTTCATACATTTAATCAGAATGGAAGATAAAGAAGCAAAAACCAACAAACCAAGTATCAATCAATCTCTGACCTGTATCACTACATCAGGGTCTGATTCACGTGGACGACGCATATCTACAGAAGGTATTCGCTCAAGAGTTCCACCTCCAACCTCAATTGCTCTTCCCTTCAGTGAAATAGGAAAGTAACTCATTAAGTTCCAACCAATATACGTCCTTGCCACAAGGATAGGAAATCAAGAAGGAAGAACATGTGTACTTACCAAGGGTTTACAGTAATCTTTCCAGGTTTGCTCGTTAAGCCCAAAATTAAAGAAGTCACTGGTATTCGTACCATGATTCCTCCATGGCTTCTTCTCGAACACATCGTAATTTACATCAAAAGGTGTCCTGAGAAGAAGAGAAACACACATCACAACGCATATCATGATCTTCAAACAAATTAACCATTGTCTATTGCAATCACATTAAAATAAACCAAAACACACACACATTTATTATCTAAACTACAGATTCACCAATCAGATAGTACGATTATCATCAATGTGACTAACCTGGACCAAAGGTTTGAGAAACTATATCCACATTGAGACATTCCTAAAGAAGGATCGATAGAAGCATGGTTAGCTGCAGCGTATCCAGTCCACCGTCTCTGAAAGGAGCAAGTTTTGGATGCTTCGACGGCATTGGCAGCGTTGTTGGTGTTAAACACACAAGCAGCCTTAGAATCGTCGTCTTGCAGCACTATTTTCAAATCGTCGTCACTATCACTGTCACTATATTCCGACTCCTCGGTCAGATTCACAGCACAAGCGTCGTCGTCACACGGACTCAAACCCTTGGCCACCACACCGGATTTCTGGATTTCACCTTCCGAATCAGGCTTTAATGAACCTTCGAAACCCATATCCTCGCCGGAATTCGTAGCACACTCCCATTCTTCAGAGGATTTTACGAACCCTACATCGCCGGCGAAAGCATCACTCGCCTGAACCTTGTCATCAACGTACACTTCGCCAAAATCGTCATCAGTAGATTCCATTGAAGAAAGAAAAGAAAAACTCGAAGAACAAACGAAATTTCACAATAGACTGGTTTTTGCATCTATCTCTAACTAACACTTGAGTTGCATAAACCCCTAATAAGAGATTTGGGAGTGACAGATAACGCCTTAAACCCTAACACTATTAATTCATAGTCTTCTTTTTTTTCCTATTATTTTAAAATATAGTATAACATACTTATTTTAATGCTTGTGGGTTGTGGTCACACAAAACATGAGATCATCATCATACAATTCTTATATGAATGATTACAAAAAATATTAATGTAAAAAAAGAAGAAGATAAGTTATGCTAATACTAGGCAACAAAAAAAAAATTGTCAAAGTCTTTGCTGTAATCTTAAACTAATTATAATTATATTATATATGAGAAATATTACCTCCATTTTTTTTTTGTAGTTTTGTAGTCACTTAAGTATTTGTATATTTCCTCTTTTCTTGTCATAAAGTATTTCTGTATTTCCTTTTTTTTTTTTGAAGTCACTAAAGTATTTTGTATATTTCCTTTTTTTTGGTCATAAAGTATTTGTATATTTCCATTTACTCAATTTTGGTTTTCCTTTTTTTTTTGTTTGTTTGTTTCTGTTGTAATTCCATAGAAAGACATCTTCATGCTTTGGCAACAAAAGAAAAGAAAAAAAACAAAGTTTGGATCGGAGATCCGGAGATGTGAGCTAACTACCAGGGGCCACGTGACTGTCTCTCTCTCTCTCTCTGTGTCTCTGGTGGTAGCTGAGCTGATCTTATTTGTTTCCCTCCCACTTCTCTCTCTTTCCATTTATTGGTTTGCCTCTGAACCATTTACCTTCCTAACATCAATCTACACTCCCACCTAACATTGCTCGCTTCTGATTCTCTCGACTCCGCAAGTGACCTCAGGTTCGTTCCTCTTCTGATTTCTCTTATCTTTTTCATAGTCAGATCCGTGTTTCTTATTCCGATCTCTGCTTATCTGTTAGTCTCAATCAGATTAAAAAAAAAGTATCGATTCGGATTGGGTTTTGGGGTTAGAGGGCTAGTAGTAGTGGAGTAGTTTTATTTATACGAGGCTGAGATCTAAAGCGATATGGAGTTCTGTAATGCAGTAGTTGAGATTTGCACTACTGGGTCCCTTGTTTCGATCCCAAAAAGTGTAACTTTTTAATCCGTAACTATTGGCACACAAAAACAAAAAAAGCTTATTCTTTGATTCGGTTCTCCTATCATGGTTTTGATCAAATGAATCAACTTTTTCCTTGTATAAGCATGGAAAGGGAAAAACTTTTGGTTGGTGTGTGACCGTTGGGTGGGTTTTTCAGTTTTTGCATCTTCATGTTGGATTGGAATGTGATATTTTTTTATTCACAACTTCAAATTTTTCACCTTTATCCTGATTCTCAGTTCCTTTGGAGCCAATAACATGGCCACGGGACAGCTATTTTCACGCAACACACAAGCGTTGTTCTACAATTACAAGCAGCTGCCCATCCAGCGGATGCTTGATTTTGATTTCCTCTGTGGTGAGTGTAGCTCGGTTTGTCTCTGTCTCCATGTCTTCTTCAGTCTTTTTTTTCTCTCTTTGGATTTGCTTGACTTTGACTGTTAAATCTGGTGTTTAGTAAGAAATTTGGTTTCTTTAATTATCCTTACTCTTTTTCAGGGCGAGAAACTCCTTCTGTTGCTGGTATCATTAACCCAGGTTCTGAGGGATTCCAAAAGCTATTTTTTGGTCAGGAGGAAATCGCAATCCCTGTCCATGCAGCGTAAGTTAATTACCATCTTAGATAGATGAAGAGAGACATGAGTCAGACAATTTAGCTTAGTTTTCTGTTTCTTCCAGCATTGAGGCAGCATGCGCTGCGCATCCCACAGCAGATGTATTCATCAACTTCGCATCGTTTAGAAGGTACGTGTAGTGTTTATTCTGTGAATATGATATCTCCTGTCTCTCTTTGTGATTTTTTTTTTGTAATGTATATTTCGTCCTCTTGTATTAGTGCTGCTGCTTCATCCATGGCTGCTTTGAAGCAGCCAACTATTAAAGTTGTGGCCATAATAGCAGAAGGTGTTCCGGAGTCAGACACTAAGCAGTTGATTGCTTATGCTCGTGCTAACAATAAGGTGATTTATAAGACTGAACTGATTCATTTCGGAACACATTAGATATCAATCTTTTCTAATTGATGTGAACTCTCTGAGTTAATCTTCTGTCATCAATTGGTCGTTTAAGGTTATCATTGGACCAGCTACCGTTGGAGGCGTTCAAGCTGGAGCCTTTAAAATTGGTGACACTGCTGGAACAATTGACAATATCATCCAATGCAAGTTGTACAGGCCTGGATCTGTTGGCTTTGTCTCGAAATCTGTATGTCTTGTTCATTTTTTTTGGCATTTTGTAGTCTGCCGAAGCTTGTTATTATCCTGTTTTGTATCCTACTCCGAGAATTTATTTGTTATTCTTCCTTTTCTACAGGGTGGAATGTCTAATGAAATGTACAATACCATTGCCCGTGTGACAGATGGGATCTATGAAGGTAAGTTCTTTTCTGTTCAGAATCTACCACTGAATGTATCCTCATGCCTATCACTCTGTAGATTCTTAAGCTGAAGTATGTTTTGGGATGACCACAGGCATTGCTATTGGTGGGGATGTGTTCCCTGGCTCCACTTTATCTGACCATATCCTGCGGTTTAATAATATCCCACAGGTATATTAATCTCACTGAAATTTTGTTGCACACTGTGATATCCCAAACCTATTCATTTTTTTCCTAGTGTTTGACTGAGAAAAGCTTACTTAGAAGGCATCTGATCTTCCCTCCCTTGTTCAGCTAACGTCTTTAACTCCAAAGTTTTGTTTTCATTTTTAAATACTGCAGATTAAGATGGTGGTTGTACTTGGAGAGCTTGGAGGACGAGATGAATATTCTCTTGTTGAAGCTTTGAAACAGGGAAAAGTGACTAAACCAGTGGTTGCCTGGGTCAGCGGGACTTGTGCACGTCTCTTCAAATCCGAAGTACAATTTGGTCATGCAGTAAGTGTCACCTAGAAACTGACTTAAAGGACGCTAATGTTCCTCTGCTTGTACTATAACTCATCCTTTAATATGATATGAATCAGGGTGCCAAAAGTGGCGGAGAGATGGAATCTGCACAAGCCAAGAATCAAGCATTGAAAGACGCTGGAGCTACTGTACCCACTTCATTTGAAGCCCTAGAATCTGCAATCAAGGAAACTTTTGACAAATTGGTCAGTCTCCAATCAAATGTGCTCTGAGCTTGCATTTGTTTTTTTGTGATCTTATGTTCCTTTTTTTTCTGTTCCTCCTAGGTTGAAGAAGGAAAGGTCTCTCCTATTAAGGAAGTCACTCCTCCACAAATCCCCGAGGATCTCAGCTCTGCAATTAAGAGTGGGAAAGTCCGGGCTCCTACTCACATCATCTCCACCATCTCTGATGACAGGGGTAATATTTTATTGAAAGTAAACCAGATTGTCAATCTTAAAACATGAACATTGTCGTAAACAAAATTCTCTTCGCATTGACTTTGCAGGGGAGGAACCATGCTATGCTGGTGTGCCCATGTCATCAATCATTGAACAGGGTTATGGCGTGGGAGATGTTATTTCTCTCCTTTGGTTCAAACGTAGCCTTCCCCGTTACTGTACCAAATTTATTGAGGTTGCTCCTCTTTCCACTGACACAGATATTGAACACTGTTAGCTACTGAGATTGAATATGCTTTCTGACACTTTGAGCTTTGACCAGATATGCATAATGTTGTGCGCTGATCATGGTCCATGTGTCTCCGGCGCTCACAACACCATCGTAACAGCAAGAGCAGGAAAAGACCTTGTCTCAAGTCTTGTCTCAGGTGAATTAACATCCCAATGCATCAACTCTTTTAAGTGAAGGTTGCTATACAATAATAATCTATTGCTTATAACAAGTGATAATCCCTCCAACACACAGGTCTATTAACAATTGGTCCTAGATTTGGTGGTGCCATTGATGACGCAGCACGCTACTTCAAGGACGCTTGTGACAGGGTAAAACTCCTAATCTCCTTCACTGCAACTTACCTCATGCATTTTCTTGAGACTTAGATATAATTTGTACAAAAACGTTTTGCCTTTTCTAGAGCCTCACACCATATGAATTCGTGGAAGGCATGAAGAAGAAAGGAATCCGTGTCCCTGGGATTGGCCACAGGTAAGAACAAGCCATTTCAAAAAGGTTTAGTTTTGTTAAAATACACACGGAAGCTAAAAGCAAGTGCAAACATAAACAAACAATATTCCTGATCTTTCTTTTGAGAAGCAGCAGAAAAGGAGCTTCTCTGATTGAATGTTTGACTTACTTCTTAATGGGATTTTTATAGGATAAAGAGCAGAGACAACAGGGACAAAAGAGTGGAGCTGCTTCAGAAATTTGCAAGGTCAAACTTCCCTGCAGTGAAGTACATGGAATACGCAGTCCAAGTGGAGACATACACACTATCTAAAGCCAACAACCTCGTACTCAACGTTGACGGAGCCATTGGATCTCTCTTCTTGGACCTTCTCGCTGGAAGTGGGATGTTCACTAAGCAAGAGATAGACGAAATCGTCCAAATTGGTTATCTCAATGGCCTTTTCGTCCTCGCTCGATCCATTGGTTTAATCGGGTAAATATTCCTAAACCGGAAACATCCATCTTGCTCTTAAAGCGTCTTTAATTGATTTGGATTTCTGTGACAAAATGGTTGCAGGCACACATTTGATCAGAAGAGACTGAAGCAGCCACTGTACCGACACCCGTGGGAAGATGTCTTGTACACCAAGTAATCTTATCACTGTTGACTTTATTGTCGTCGTCATATTATTATCTTTCTCTCCCATTCAGTTAGGCTTTGTGTTTTTATAAATATATATGTTCTGACAATGATCTGTTGTGATTTCTCAATACTTTTAATAAGAAGGAAGTTATATTCTTTTGTGATGAAGACTGATGAGAATGTATATTTTATTTGGAATTTTAGAAGAATCAGTGATATATCCGACGTATTAATTGACTATAAGTTTTGGATTCTTCTACAGTCTAGAGCTTGCATATGCATGATGAGCTGTTTCCTTCAACCATAAGTTTATGAACATGTTTTTAGTCTTGTAAAGAAGAAACCGATAACATGAATCGGTAAAATCCAAATCACAAAACGAAAATTGTGACACCATCATACCAAATTACCAAGGTGGCATTTATTGATGAAGAAGACCAGATCATATCAGCCACAAAAGTAGAAAATGAAAATATATGATTTTCAAATGGAAGGGATAGTTAGTTGCACAGAGTGATCGTCTTACGTATTATTATAGATTTGTTTGAGTGATTGTATATTTTTTGTTTTGTTTTTGTGTGATCGTCTAACCAATATATAGAACCGGCGCCAACCTCTTTGCGTTTCCATTAATGTTGACTGCTCTCTCTCCCGTGTTAGTTCAAGACTTTGGAGAGAAAGAAAGATTGAATCTTTTGTATAGTTAGCGAGAGAGACATTCATCGGTCATCCCTCGCTCCATTGTCAAAATCGAATCCTTGTTTTTACAATGGCTAAGCTTCTTCAAGGTAAAGTTGACAAGGAGCTGCTGAAGAAGATGCTAGAGCTAGAGCAAAGTCAGGAGCATCTAATGGAGGAGCTTTCCAGGCTCAAGGTATCTACGGATCTTAGGCAGCCTTCGCATCCAGCCTTGAGCAAGAGCGGTGCCGCCTCGTTGCGCAAGGATTTGATGATTCTGAGACCATCGGCCAGGAAGTTCACGGAAAAACAGTATCTGAACATTTTGCAGTCCATGGCACAGTCTGTTCATGCCTTCGATCTCAATATGCGAATTATCTTTTGGTGAGTACGATATTCTTGAACATGGATTGTTTTTCTTCTTTTTTTTGATAATTCATGTATTGTTGCAGGAATGCCATGGCAGAAAAGCTTTATGGGTACTCTGCTGCAGAAGCACTTGGGCAGAGCCCAATTAACGTTATGGTAGATGACCGTGATGCTGTCTTTGCCATGAATATTGCTCAGCTTTGTTCTAATGGAGAGAGCTGGACTGGCAAGTTTCCTGTCAAGAACAGATCTGGGGAGAAATTTTCAGCTGTCACTACCTGTTCCCCCTTCTATGCTGATGACGGTTCTCTTATTGGGATCGTTTCTATCACGAGTGACATAGCACCGTATCTGAGCTCCAGAATCTCTTTGACTAAATTGAAAGCGCAAGAAGTTGAAACGAGCTCTAGCCCTGCAAGGAACAGTTTTGCATCTAAACTTGGTTTTGACTCCAAAGGAGCTGTTGTATCAAAACTTGGCCTTGATCCTTCTCAGCCTATACAAGTTGCGATAGCATCAAAGATATCAGATTTGGTTAGTTCAGTTTTTGGTTGCATATCCTCACATTTTATCATGTTGTTTCATGTTTTGATTTATTGCTAAAATTGCAGGCATCCAAGGTGAGAAACAAGGTCAGATCGAAAATGCCAGCAGATGATAGTAGTGTCACATTGCCTGAGGGTGGCAGTGGGGACAGTCATCACGGTTTTTTCAATCCTACTCTCACTGACCGCAAGGAAGATGCAGCATTAAGGGGTACTGGCTCACCAAGGGGGGATTTTATCCAGTCTCCTTTTGGTGTATTCACATGTAACGGTGAGAATTTTACTTCCAAACCCTTCAAAATTTCCAGTCATGAGAGTGATGAAAAGCCTGCAATCCACAAGGTTCTCACCTCAAAAGCTGAAGATTGGATGGTCAAGAAAGGTTTGTCATGGCCATGGAAAGGGAATGAGCAGGAAGGTTCAAAAGGAGAGCCTACTCATTCTGCATGGCATCGGGTACAAAATGAACAAGAGAAAGAGCACCAGACTAATCAATCTTTTGGTGTTCACTCCGAAAGTCATACCTCCGAAAGTAATACGCCTACCAATAATGAGGCGTCTAGCTTGTGGTCTTCCTCTACAACTGCAAAAAGCGTTAGTAGCTGCGGAAGTTCCACCAGCAGTGTTATGAACATGGTGGATACAGATAGAAATTGCTTGGAATATGAAATTTTATGGGATGATTTGACAATCGGAGAAAAGATAGGACAAGGTAATTTACTCTCTCAGACATAGTATTTAGTTTTCCCGACCAAATCTGTTCTTCATAGCATCACACTGTACATTTTACTAAGTTCATGTAACTTACAGTCTCAGTTCTGCTAACATGCTCCTGCAATTTTCCATCTTACAGGCTCGTGTGGAACTGTTTACCACGCTCTCTGGTTTGGATCTGTAAGTTTTATGCTTCCGGTGATATTGTAGAATATGCATTTGTTGACTTATTTACGCTTCCATGATGACAAAAAAAAAATTTAAGTTTAGAGTCCTGTCTTATTCAGAGTTGCTAATCTCACCGTAGGATGTTGTTGTGAAAGTGTTCTCCAAACAAGAATATTCAGAAGAGGTCATAAAGTCTTTTAGACAAGAGGTACTGGTTTTGATCTTTTATCCATAATGATTGCTCTGAGTGTAGTTTTGGCAAAAGACAGTTGACATTTTTATTTGTTTTTGGTATAACCAACATGATCCAAAAAATCTGTAAAGATATTTGTATTGCTCATTTTGAACTGTGAAGGTATCGTTGATGAAAAGACTTAGACATCCTAACGTTCTGCTGTTTATGGGAGCTGTTACTTCACCTCATCGTCTCTGTATAGTGTCAGAGTTCCTTCCACGGTTTGGTCTCATGCTTTTTGATTACTACTATACTTTCACTTTCTTTGTGTTTTTGGGCCTTTGAGCGATAGCTCTTATCCATGCCCCTAATCATCCAAATAACAATTTGCAGTAGAAGTATCTTCCGTCTACTGCAGAGAAGCAAATCAAAACTGGACTGGAGGCGGCGTATCCATATGGCCTTGGACATCGTGAGTATTAGTTATACTTTCACTAGACTTCTGATTCTTCCATTTTTATGATCATTGAAAATTGCACGTAGACAATTTTCTAAGTAGGAAATTCTCTATTTATTACCTCTTTGTATTTGTCTTGTGATCCTTCATTTCCACTCTGTTTGACTCAGTCACGGTACATCTCATACAGCATGTTCCATTCTTAATTACACAGGCTCGCGGAATGAACTATCTTCACCGCTGTAGTCCACCCATTATCCATCGTGATCTGAAGTCGTCAAATCTTCTGGTAGACAGGGACTGGACCGTTAAGGTAAGATATTCTTCTTGAGATACACAATTGGTTTCCTCTAATCCAGATGGATAACAACTTTCCAGCTTCATAATAGTAACTTTCAAAACGAAAATGAAGCTTTAAATAAAACAAATCGTTTGATGTGAATGAACTGGAAAAGTGAGTACCATATCTTCAAAATTGAACTAGAAAAGTTGTTAATTTACCAGGACATCTCTAACAGGTAGCTGACTTTGGTCTTTCACGTATCAAGCATGAAACATATCTAACCACCAAGTCGGGGAAAGGAACGGTATTTTACCTATATCCTTATTGATTTAAAATCCTCTTTACAGTCAACCGCTCAAAATGATCTTGATTGGCTTTTCACTTGTTATTCAGCCTCAATGGATGGCACCAGAAGTTCTTCGAAATGAATCTTCTGATGAGAAGTATATATATTTCCGTGTTATATTTGGTTAAGTTCCCTTGTTAATTCCTTTTTCTTGCTAGCCTCAATTGCTAACTAGCTTTTATAATTCCTGTATACAGGTCTGATATTTACAGCTTTGGAGTAGTACTATGGGAACTTGCCACAGAGAAGATCCCATGGGAAAATTTCAACTCGATGCAGGTATTGTTTTTGAGCGATAGAATTATGAAAGAAAGTCTCCAAATAACATGAATCTTTATGCCAAAAGATTAGTTTTCAGGGTAAACATCTGTTAGAAATTCACCTAAATTCCTATGTGTATTAATTAGGATGGTAGGAATCAGAAAACCCATTATACTTACTGTAATGTGTTAAGATACAAATGAGTTGTGTTGTGATATTTAATCGAGCCATACTTGAAACAATGTCTTTGCAACAGCTTATGAATTTGATGTCCTATATGACTTTATCCCTTGCACTGACTATGTTGCTTATCTAAAAATTTCATCTTCAGTCTCATTGTACTTGCACTGATCCTCTTGTATACACAGTTACACATACACTATTCCTTTGAAATATATGCAGGTGATCAGAGCTGTGGGGTTCATGGACCAGAGGCTAGATATTCCAAAGGACATTGATCCTTGTTGGATCTCATTAACGGAGAGCTGTTGGCACAGGCAAATAATTAACATATTGAACATTGCATTATCATTGAATATTACCATTTACTTATTATGGTTCTCCTTGATCTAGATGTTCTTTCTACATATTTGACAGTGAATGCTGACATTAATCTGTTTACTGCAGTGATACTAAGCTGAGACCCACATTTCAAGAACTGATGGAGAAACTAAGCGACCTACAAAGAAAGTATACAATGCAATTCCAAGCAACTCGTGCTGCGTTACCTGGCAGCTCTCTTCTCAAGGACAACGAATAACCAAAAGTTGGCGCTTTTTATATATTATCCCCTTTCTTTTTCCTCAACGCAGCGCTTCAAGATTCAAATATTGTTCACAAAAACAAAGAAAGGATAGAGAGAGAGAGAACTGGTCTCTTTGATCAGAAATAATGGGTGGAACCAGGCTACCGCTGGTGTGCCAATGTCTTCCATCATTGAAAAAGGTTATGGCGTTGGGAAATTATCAATTTCTCCTATTGTTCAAATGGAGTCTTCCTCGTTACTGTACCAAGGTTGCCCATCTTTCCATCATGTTCTGAGATAAATGTTGTTGAAAACTATTAACTACTAACTAGGGAGGTTGGCTCAGCTTTCTGACTCTTGAGCTTTGATCAGATATGTGTCTCCGGCTCTCACAAGTGACAAGACCATTGTAACAGCAAGAGCGAGTGAGTTTGACATCTCAACAAGTAGCCATCTCTTGCAAGTGCAATTTTGTTGTCAAAACTATACATGATAATTAAGTATAATAACAGGTGAGAGCCGGACCTGTGCTTATAACCTTGAGAAAATTGATTTTAAAGGATATTATTTTTTCAATTTGTCCATCTATGCTTTTTTTTTTTTTTCAAAGTTTGGTATATTAGGTTTTAGAATAGAAAAATATTCAATTATACCCTTAGTTTGATTTTTATGGAAATAAAATTAAAAAAATTATTGTATAAAGATAATGAAAAAATTAAGAAAATATAGAGAATGAAATTATATATTTGATGGAAAGGAACAGATGATGAACAGAGTTGAATATAGAAAGGTGAGTTAGTTACACAGGTATTTCAGCCGACGTACATTATTATTAGTTATTAGTGACTGATTACTATAGATTTCGATTACAATATTGAAGTTGAAGCGGTGGGTCGCGGAGATCGAACTCACTTTTTTATATTTTTTAAATTTGACAGTAAGGATATGATCACCATTATTAGCTACTACCGTATCCGTAGGTACGTAAATTTTGACACTAGAGTACTTATGTATATAAATTACATTATTCATGCAACATAAACTATGGTGGGGAGAATAATATACAAACAAAAGAGAAGGATGTAGAATTCATTAGTCTCTCTTTCTTACGTACGGTAGTATTATAGAGTCAAATTCCATTTTCCGAGAGTGAGGGAGAAACCTGTTTGTACCTAAGGGGGCGAGGGACACCGTCATCAAAGTTTCATCATCACTCTCCAGTCTCCACAGTCAATTCAAAATCAAATCTCTATTTTGACCATGGTTTAAGCTCCGATTCTACTCGCTTATTAGCTTCTGATTTCAGAGGGTAGAGAGTTAATTGATTCCGTGGTCTGCTACTAGGGTTTCCGTTTTCGGACCGCAATGGAGACTCCACCTGCGGATGAGCTGCTGAAGAAGATGCTCGAGTTAGAGCAAAGCCAGGAGCATCTAAAGCAGGAGATGTCTAGGCTTTCCGAGCTTAGGCAGCCATTGTATCCTATGTTGCCGCGTCGGCCGTTGCGGAAGGCGAGCCGTATCAAGGGTTCGATGAATTTGAGAGCTGGATTTGGTGGGAAAAAACCATCGCCAGGGATGTTCACTAATGAAAACTACTTGAATATTCTTCACTCGATGGCTCAATCTGTTCATGTCTTAGATCTTGATATGCGAATTATCTTTTGGTGAGTGGGTAGTTAATTATCGATATTGGCTTCCACTTGTATTGGTGATGTCTCAACTTTCCGAGGAGGATCTGTTTATTCTTCTTTTGGAATTGTATGGTCAATTGCTATAATTCCACCTGCTTAACCCTTTGTTCGTTAATTAGGGGCTGATGTGGTTTCATGAAAAGACACTTCGCGTTGTTTATTTGTACTAGTGGTCAGAGTGCATTGTTCTCAGATTGCAATTCGATGCCATGATTGTTCCAGGAATGCCATGTCGGAGAAGCTTTATGGGTACTCTGCTGCAGAAGTTGTTGGGCATAACCCACTTCATGTTATCGTAGATGATCAGAATGCTGCCTTTGCCATGAATGTTGCTCGACGTTGTCTCAATGGAGAGAGCTGGGCCGGCGAGTTTCCTGTCAAGACCAAATCAGGGGAGATCTTTTCGGCTGTCACTACATGTTCACCCTTCTATGATGATTGCGGCTCTATTATTGGGATCATTTCTATCACAAGTGACGTATCATCGTATCTGAACTCGAGAATCTTGAAGGCGCAACAAGAAGAAACTAATTCTATCCCTGCAAAGAATAGTTTTGCCTTTAAAATTGGTTTTAACTCCAAAGGAGCTGTTAAATCGAAACTCGGTCTTCACTCTGATCAGCCTATACAAGTTGCTATAGCTTCAAAGATATCAAATTTGGTTAGTTCAATCGTATGTATATTCTAACCTTTTTTATCTTGCTGTTCCATATTTTTGACTAGTTTTAAAACTGCAGGCATCCAAAATGAGCAACAAGGTCAGGTCGAAAATGCAAGCAGGTGATAATAGTGCCACACTCTCTGAGGGTGATTGTGGGGATAATCATCATCCAGAACATTGTGTCTTCAGTGCTACTCTCGCTGACCGCAGGGACGATGCAGCATCAAGTGGTGCGAGCACACCAAGCGGGAATTTTATCCAGTCTCCTTTTGGTGTATTTACATGTACCGATGAGAAGTTTCCTACAAACCCCTTCAAAGATTCCACTGTTGCGGGTAATGGAGAGCCTGTAACACATAAGGCTCTCACCTCAAAAGCCGAAGAATCAATGGTAAAGAAAGGTTTGTCACTACCATGGAAAGGATATGAGCCAGAAGGTTCAAAAAGAAAGCCTACTAATTTTGTATGGCCTTGGGTACAAAATGAAGGAGAGAAAGATAATCACCAGATTAATCCCTCTGCTGGTGTTAAGTCTGAAAGCCATGACTCTGAAAGTAATAAGCCTACAGATGACGAGGCATCTAGTATGTGGTCCTCTATAAATGCAAACAGCACAAGCAGTGTTAGTAGTTGCGGAAGTACCAGCAGGAGTGTTATGGAAAAGATTGTTACAGATAACGATTGCTTGGAATATGAAATTTTGTGGGATGATTTGACAATTGGGGAACAAATTGGACAAGGTAATTTATTTCATAAACAGATTATCTCGTTTTACCAAATACATTCATGCTTTATAACATCATACATTTGACTAACGTATGTGATGTTCTGTCTCTGTTCTGCTAATATGTTCCAATAATTTTCCATTGTACAGGTTCATGTGGAACTGTCTATCATGGACTCTGGTTTGGATCTGTACGTTTTCCGCTCTGGTGATATTGTAGAATCTGCATTTATTAATTTATCCCCTTTTCCATGGTAAAAAGAAAATTGCAGGTTCATAGATCTGTCTTATGAGAGTTGCTAATGTCACACCGCAGGATGTAGCTGTGAAAGTGTTCTCCAAACAAGAATATTCAAAAGAGGTCATAAAATCTTTTGGACAAGAGGTACTGGGTTTGATCTTTTGTCCATGATGATTATCGCTCTGAAAACAGTTTTGGAGAAAGACAGTTGACATTTTTATTGTTTTTTTAGTAGAACCAAACCAACATCCAAATATTCCAAGTTATATATACTGGTCTTGTTTTACTTGAAGGTATCGTTGATGAAAAGACTTCGACATCCTAACGTTCTGTTGTTTATGGGAGCTGTGACTTCACCTCAGCGTCTCTGTATAGTGTCAGAGTTTGTTCCACGGTTTGGTCTCATCTCTTTACTTTCATTGTGTTGTTGGGGCTTTAAGCCATAACTCCTAATCATTTGAATTACAATTTGCAGTGGAAGTCTCTTCCGTCTACTACAGAAGGGTATATCAAAACTTGATTGGAGGCGGCGTATCAATATGGCCTTGGATATTGTGAGTATTAGTTATACATGCATTACACATCTGATCATTCCATTTCTATGATCATTGACAGTTGCACGTGAAAAAGTTTCTAAGTATGAGCTGCTGTATTCGATTAATTCTTTGTAATTTTCGTGTAAACATACTAGTTCACACTATTTGACTCAGTCACAGTACATCTCATACAGCGTATTACATAATTCTTCTCACAGGCTCGCGGTATGAATTATCTTCATTGTTGTAGTCCACCCATCATACATCGTGATCTGAAGTCGTCAAATCTGCTGGTAGACAGGAATTGGACCGTTAAGGTAACATGTTCATCTTAAATGAAGCTTGGTTTCCCGTAATCGAGATTAAAGATATCCATCTTCAAACTGATTATATAGCTTTTTAAAACGTTAGGGATATAAAAATTATCATTTTACGTAAATGATCTCCAAGCTTAAACGAGGAAGGTCGTCAACTTACAATGACATCTCTAATAGGTAGCTGACTTTGGTCTTTCGCGTATCAAGTATCAGACATACCTCAGCAGCAAGTCCGGGAAGGGAACGGTACTTAACCTGGACTCTTTCGATTTGAATTCTGATTTATAGTCAACGTCCCTTAATGATCTTGCTTAGATTTGTACCTGTTCTGCAGCCTCAATGGATGGCACCAGAAGTTCTTCGAAATGAGTCTGCTGATGAGAAGTATATTCTTGTATTCTGTTGGGTTAAATTCTCTTGATTATTTATTTTCTAGCCTCAGTCGCTAACTAGCTCTTCTAATTCCTTGAGACAGGTCTGACATTTACAGCTTTGGAGTAGTACTATGGGAGCTTGCTACAGAGAAAATCCCATGGGAAAATCTCAACTCGATGCAGGTATCTTTTGAGCGATAGAATGATGAAAAGAAGTGTCAAATTGTTCCTTGAAATCACATACTTGGGCAGAACTTATATTTAAACAACATATTTTGCTCTATCAATGGAGCTGAAAAAACACAAGGAATCTTTAAGCCAAAAGATTAGTGTCAGTGTAACCCTCTGATAAAAATCCATCTACCTTCTGTTACTAATTGTACTAATTAGGAAGGCAGGGACCATTACACTTACGGTAATGTGTAGATACAAGTGAACTATGTTATATATTTTAGACATCTCTACGGATTTGATGTCTAATAGACTAATATCCATCACAAGACTATTCTTCGTATCGAGAAATTTGCATTTTCAGTCTCACTGCACTTCCTCTTGTTTACGGAGAGAAGCTTATTTGAATTATCCTCAGGTGATCGGAGCTGTGGGGTTCATGAACCAGAGGCTGGAAATTCGAAAGGACATTGATCCTGCTTGGATCTCATTAGTGGAGAGCTGTTGGCAGAGGTAATTAACATATTAGATATGGCCTAAGCCTTGCTAGAAGAACTTATTATTACGTGTCTCCTTTGTATAGATGTTACAGATTTCACAGCTAATGGAGACACTATTTTGTGTTTCTTTCTTTCTGTTTGTCCCACACTGCAGCGATACAAAGCTGAGACCCACATTCCAAGAACTAATGCAAAAACTTAAAGACCTGCAAAGAAAGTATGCTATACAGTCCCAAGTGACTCGTGCTGGGTTACTTGACAACCCTCTCCTCAAGAACAACTAAACAAACAAAATTTTACCCCTTTCTCTATTGCTTTTTTGTTTCTTGACGCACTGCTTCAAGACTCAAAAGGTTCATAAAGACAGTGAAAGATTGACAATGGTCTTATTTTAGCAGCAACAAGGCTATGGTGGTCTGCCAATGTCCTTTTCATCATTGAACAAAAGAGTGGAGCTGCTTCAGAAATTTGCACGGTCTAATTTCCCTACGGTGAAGTACATGAATACGCAGCCCAAGTTGAGACACGTACCACACTCTCTAAAGCCAACAACCTAGTACTTGATGTCGATGGAGCCATTATATCTCTCAACTTGTACCTTCTAGCTGGAAGTGGGATGTTTTCATTCAGCAAGAGGTTGACAAAACCATCCTTTGGTTATCTAGAGAGCCTCTTCGTCCTCACTGGATCCATTGTTTAAATCGGGTAACTCTCCTAACTGGAAACATCCTTCCATCTTTATGCTTGAAGCGACTTAAAATTGGTTTGGATTTTTGTGAATATATTAATCGTTGCAGGCACTCATATGATCAGTGGAGACTAAAGCAACCACTGTATCGACACCCATGGGAAGGTGTCTTGTAAGTAAAGTCATTATCCGCTTCACTTCTAGTCATGATCATATTGCTTTATTCCGTCCCCACCAGGCTCCAGTTCGGACTTTCTTCTTAATCCGAGTAGTATCGTCATATTAGATTCGTTGGTTATATTACACAAGTTACACTCAAGTCCCAGTTTTTAGTAGTTTTAAAGTCTCAGTAAACTTTGGTACGTTATAAACGGGTCGAACTTTGGATAGAGGCAAATAAATAAAGAAGAATCATATGACGTCACTTTGATAAATTTCTCAAAATGTTACGTTATAATAACCCGACATATATTATCAAACTGAAAACAATAGAACAAGACAAATGGTACTTGCTTATCTCAATTAAAAAAAGAAAAAAAAAATTGGTAATTGTATCGCAAAATCGGGAGGTGAAGTTTCTTGTGCATGTGATATTGAATGGATTAAGCTTCTTTTGTTTCTTCTACGATAAGGTTTTGAATCTTTAGCTTTCTAAAGAAACATAAAAATATCTTGAATAGGTAAATATAAATCCAAATACTAAAACGTATTATGCCACCTTGGCAAGCTAGCATATACTATTAATGAGGAAAGACATCAGCAAGAAGAAGAAAAAAAGAAAAGGAATTTGACAGAAAAACTAGTGTATACGATTTCAATCTGTAAAGGTGAGTTAGTTGCCGATATTTTTGGCCGACAGACAAGATAGCGATTGCAATATATTGGAGTCGAAGCGGTGGGACGACGTACGAGTTCAATATTTACAATTAATAATATTTTTGTTGTAGCTTTTGAACTCAAACCTTTTCTTTTCTCCTTGAGAACGAACCCCAAAAAAAAAAGGAACACGTAAGAAATTAATTTACAAGTGATTGTATTTTTGTTTGTGGATTATAGTTGTCAACACTCATTGCATCTTTCTTACGTATCATGATATTTATTACAACAAGTGATTGTATTTTTTTTTATTTTTCTGTAATAACCAACAAATTGTCGAGAGTATCAATAAAATAGAACCGGCCAACCTTCTTTTTTTAGGTCAAGTCAAACCTTTCTATTCATTCATTAATTGTCAATCTTTCAAAAATGCCTTTTTCCATTCGGATAAGTTTCTCGATCGATCATATGGTTTGAGTAAGTGGTTAAAGACATATATCGAATGATCTACGTTTAGAGAGATGGCCAAAAACAAACGTGCGATTAGTAAATCAAAAAAAGAAACAACCATTTACTCCACTTGTTAGTGAGTGCTAATTAATATAAACTAATTCGTCTAATTGCAAAAAAAAAAAGAAAAGAAGAAGCAATTAAACAAATAAAGTCGTCCACATCATCACATAATTTCTTAACTTTTTCATTAACACACACGCTATCTAATTATATGTTTCCCTTTAGTAAGATTTAGTGATTTATTCCCACAATGGAGCTAAGCTTATTTGCAAATTAGTTATATATATGCATCTCATACTTTTTAATATATACAATCTGTATCCATCTCCTTGTTTCATTCTTGGTTTTTTTTAGGATAGTTTAGAACAGATATCTCTCTCTTATAAGAAACATAATGCTTATATGGAACAATAAAAACCAATATTACTTACAATTTACAATGAGTGTATTGTAAGAATAGGCATTATTTGGGATCTAACTTCGGATTTAGGCATCGTTACAACTATAGCAAAAATAAAAAGCAAAATCGAACTGTGCATGACAATTTTAACCTTGGAATATGTTGATGACATCAGACAAATTAAGCATGGCTAACCAATTGATTATAACAATTTTGTATTACATAGGAAACTACGTATTTGCTTGATTCACAAATCACAATCTATTAATTGGTAATATTGTGTCCACAAGATAGTTTAAATATATTTTCTTTCGACCACTAAATCACTAATAATGAAAATTCCTTAAAAACTATATCCACGAAACTAGCTTTATTTTCTTATCGTATATAAAAATTTAATCATGAATTTTTTTTATCCACTATGAATCAATTACAAGTGAGATCATCGATTTTATCAGAACAACTACTCAGTTTTTGGATTGGAATCCAGATCCATAAGCTTCGTTGAGATATAAAGTGAGAAGCTTTCCATTCTTCTTGATTTGTCCACATCTATATATCTCCCCATAACAATCAGCTGGAACAAAGGAGATAATAAGAGAATGAAGCAGAGGAAGGAAGTAAATACCCCTATGTCAATGTGAGATTAATGTATTGTCATACCTTTAAAATGTGATGAAGACTGAAGCGAACTCAACATTTGTTTCACCTACACAAATTCAGATTAGCAATATAGTAAGAGTATCGGAAACTAGAACATCATTATAATTCTTGCTATAACTTATAAGGCAAGTGGGATGAATGAACCTGTGGGAAACCAATTTCACCACGCGGTGGTGTTAAAAACTATACCCTAAAGCCACAATAGAAGACTAAACCCAAGGGAAATTAATATAAAGATGGGTAGTGTTCAAAGTTCAAACCTATAACCTAAAGGCAAGTTCGATGAATGAACCCAAGGCAGACAAATTTCACAACGTGGTGGTGTTCAAAACTATACCCTAAAGCCAAGATAGATCACTAAACCCAAGGGAAACCAACTTAACTTTGCCGTGGTAATCAAAGCTATATCCCAAATACAAGGCATATGAATAAACTCGCAGTGGTAACATACAAACTGCCAAATATCATTCTTTACCTTGAGATGAAGAGTTACAAGGTCAGAGCAGATCATAGCACAAAATTGGCTTATATACCTTCAATTGGAACCTCCACTCTTTTATTACGTGTTTGGTAGAGATGACTTCACAAAACAAGGGTGTCATCCACATAAACATTCCTTCCACTTCTCGTTATCACCAGTGTCCTGAAAGGTTACCAAAGAGAATTTAGAAACAGAAACTCCACAAAACATCTAATGCAAAGCTGCAATTTTATCAATACATTCAGTCAAATTTATGCTAGATATTCCGTCAAATTATGTTTAAAGGTAACATAAATTTACAATTACTTTTGGGCTATTACCTCCAATTGGAACTAGAGGAAGCAGGTCGACACCATGGACAAACCAGTATACAAACATGGAGCTGTTTATGAATAAGGCTCGGCCACCGCCACCTTCTCGGATTGAATGAATTAAGCATCATAGATTGATGTTTCTTCGAGGTTTGTCGATGCTACCACAACAAAGATGAAGGATCTAACCGATTAAGATGCTAATTACTCTTTTTCTTCTCCATTGGAGGTGGAACGATGGTTCAGCCGGATGAGAGAGAGAATAATAGAGATAATCAATGTGACGATGCGTAGAAAGAAGAAAATGGAAATAATATTTCTGGCTGAAAAATATTGTGAATGACATCACATAACTAAGGGTATTAAAGTCTTTTCAGAAAACAATAGTTCCTGAATCTGAAGTGTTGAAGGCATTGTGCCTAATTCCGAACAGCATCGGTGTTTCAATACTTTTTTTTTAATTAAATCATTTACAATCTAATCTAGAGTCTACCGAAAATAAATACCAAGAAACTTATGATTATTATTAAGTAGAAAGTGAAGGACTAAAAAAGAAAAGAAAAAAATCAAAAAGGCAAGCAAAAGAAGCAAAGATAAAAAGCGGAGAAAAGGTTTCCATTATTGTTGACTGCTTGAGAAAACGTTTCTCTTGCGTCAATTCTTCAATTCCATTTTTGTTCTCTAGAGAGAGAAACTTTTGTTCTTTGGTTAGGGAGCTAGAGATTGTCATCATCATCATCTCTCCTTTGTCGTTAGTCAAATCAAAATCCCTATTTCGACATGGATTAAGCACTGAGCACCTTCTTCAAGTTCTGATTCAACTCAGAACCGATCCCTGATTCAACTCGCTTGGCTCTTCAGATTTGATCGGAAGGGCTACTTGTTGTTCGTGGTAGGGTTTACCGATATTTTTGGAGCGCAATGGAGAATCCACCTGCGGAGGAGCTTCTGAAGAAGATACTTGAGCTAGAGGAGAGTCAGGAGCATCTGAAGCAGGAGATGTCTAGGCTTAAGGTTTCTACGGAGCTTAGGCAGCGTTCGCATTCGGTTTCTCCTGCGAGGAGGAACATCGGCGAGGGAGCTCCGGCTTGGAGGAAAAACGGTGCCGCCTCGTTTCGTAACGCTTCTCCGTTGCGGAAGGAGAGCCGTCTCCACAATTCGATGAGATTGAGGTCTGAAGTTGGTCCCGGGGGACCATCGGCTGGTAAATTCACCGATAAACAGTATTTGAATATACTACAGTCGATGGCACAAGCTGTTCATGCCTTTGATCTAAATATGCGAATTATCTTTTGGTTAGTAGTTCCATCTTGTGATTGTGATTGCATTTTATGATTGTTTCCTCTATCTGTGGAACAGATAATGACTACTCAGATAATAGTTTCTAATTAGGGAGTAAGATTCGAGTTGCATTGTTTTATTTTCTGTTATTTGTTATTTCTTCAGATTCCAATTCCATGACATGACTGTTCCAGGAATGCTATGGCGGAAAAGGTCTATGGGTACTCTGCAGCAGAAGCACTTGGGGAGAATCCAATTAATGTTATTGCTGATGATCGGGACGCTGCCTTTGCTATGAATATTGCTCGACGTTGTGTCCGTGGAGAGAGCTGGACCGGCGAGTTTCCTGTCAAGAGCAAATCAGGGGAGCGATTTTCAGCTGTCACTACGTGTTCCCCCTTCTATGATGATGATGGTGCTCTTATGGGGATCATTTGTATCACAAGTAACACATCACCGTATCTGAACCCTAGAATCTCTTTGGCTAAATTAAAGTCGCAAGAAGTTGAAACGAGCTCTAACCCTGCAAGGAATAGTTTTGCCTCTAAACTTGGCTTAGACTCCAGAGGAGCTGTTATATCAAAACTTGGCCTTGACTCCGATCAGCCTATACAAGTTGCCATAGCATCAAAGATATCTGATCTGGTTAGTTTAATTGTTGGTTGCATATTCTCACTTTTTAATTTGCTGTTACACATTTTGACCACTGTTAAAACTGCAGGCATCCAAGGTGAGCAACAAGGTCAGGTCGAAAATGCGAGCAGGCGATATTACTGCCACACTCTCTGAAGGTGGCAGTGGGGATAGTAATCATTCAGACCATGGTGTCTTCGGTTCTACTCTCACTGACCACAGGGACGATGCAGCATCAAGTGGTGCCAGCACACCTAGAGGGGATTTTATCCAGTCTCCTTTTGGTGTATTCACATGTAATGATGAGAAGTTTGCTTCTAAACCCTTCAAAGATTCCAGTGATGAGAGTGATGGAAAGCCTGCAATCCATAAGATTCTCACCTCAAAAGCTGAAGAGTGGATGGTAAAGAAAGGTTTGTCTTGGCCATGGAAAGGGAATGCGCAGGAAGGTTCAAAAGGAAGACCTACTCGTTCTGTATGGCCTTGGGTACAAAATGAACAAGAGAAAGAGAAGTGTCTCCAGATTAATCCCTCTGCTGCTGTTGAGTCTGATAGCCATGCCTTTGAAAGTAATAAGCCTATCAATAATGAGGCTTCTAGTTTGTGGTCGTCTTCTATTAATGCAAACAGTACAAGCAGCGCTAGTAGCTGCGGAAGTACCAGAAGCAGTGTTATGAACAAGGTTGATACTGATAGTGAAGGCTTGGAATATGAAATTTTATGGGATGATTTGACAATGGGAGAACAAATTGGACAAGGTTACTTATCCTCTCAATCAGATTATCTCATTTGCCAACTCATTATAAGAATGATATATTATTTGTTATGTAATATTCTCTCTCTGTTCTGCTAACATGCAGTAGTTTCCATTTTACAGGTTCATGTGGAACTGTTTATCATGGTCTCTGGTTCGGATCGGTATGTTTTGGCTTCTTTATGATATTGTAGATTCCTCAAGTTCAAAAATCTGTCTTATTAAGAGCTGCTAATGTCGCCACAGGATGTAGCCGTAAAAGTGTTTTCTAAACAAGAATATTCAGAAGAGGTCATAGAATCTTTCAAACAAGAGGTATCATTTTTAATCCCTTCTCCACAATGATTGCTCTTGAGTATAGTTTTGGCAAAAGACCGTTCACATTTAGATTGGTTTTTAGTATCACCAACATCTAACTTTTGTCTTTCATTTCCTAGTAGTCAGACTGCTTCTTCAACTACACAACACTTTATGTACTAAAGAATACTCGCTTACAAACTGCATTGCACTAAAGAATGTAGCTAATTCCATATTCTAAATTATTTATGCTGGTCTTGTCTTATTGTAAAGGTATTGTTGATGAAAAGACTCAGACACCCAAACGTCCTGCTGTTTATGGGAGCTGTGACTTCACCTCAGCGCCTCTGTATAGTGTCAGAGTTCCTTCCACGGTTCGGTCTCACCTTTTTTAATTATTACTCTCACTTTCATTTTACTTTTTTCGTCCCTCAAGCCATACTCTGATCCATGCTCCTAATCATTTGAATTACTATTTGCAGAGGAAGTCTCTTCCGTCTACTACAGAGGAGCACTTCAAAACTGGATTGGAGGCGGCGTATCCATATGGCCTTAGACATTGTGAGTGCTAGTTACACATTCATTTGATGTGTGATCCTTCTTTGTATTTGTCTTGTGATCCTCCTTCCCCCTCCCTGTTTTGACTCAGTCACCGTTCATCTCATCCAACATATTACATAATTCTTCACACAGGCTCGCGGTATGAATTATCTTCACCACTGTAGTCCACCCATTATCCATCGGGATCTGAAGTCATCAAATCTACTGGTAGACAGGAACTGGACTGTTAAAGTAAGATATTCATCTTTAGATACTTTTACATTCCTGTAATCCAGATGGATAACAATTATCTATATAAGTAATCGTCATAATGATTATATAGCTTTCTCAGACGAAAATTAAGCTTTAGAAAAAGAAAAAAAAAAAAATCATTCTACGTGAGTGAACTGGAAAAGTGAGATTCAGACCTCCAAAATAGAACTAGAAACATCGTCAACTTACTGTGACATCTTTGACAGGTAGCTGACTTTGGTCTCTCTCGTATCAAGCATGAAACGTACCTAACCAGCAAGTCTGGGAAGGGAACGGTACTTAACCTAGACTCTCCTCGATTCAGATCCTCATGTGTGTAGTCGATGTCGATCTTTCAACAATGATCTTAAATGAATTTTTACTGTTTATGCAGCCTCAATGGATGGCACCAGAAGTTCTTCGAAATGAGTCTGCTGATGAGAAGTATACTCTTGTATTCTCTTTGGTTAAGTTCCTTTAATTAATTGATCTTTTTAGCCTTCATCACTAACTATCTTTTCTAATTCATTAATACAGGTCTGATATATACAGCTTTGGAGTAGTACTATGGGAGCTTGCCACTGAGAAAATCCCATGGGAAACTCTCAACTCGATGCAGGTATCGTTTTTGATAGATAGGGAAATAATAAGAACATGTCTCCAAATGACAATTTTTACTTATAACCGACATTTTAGGGCAATTTTTACTTATAACCTACATTTTCTCTGCTGACAGTTATATTAAAAAAATTTAACCAGAATCTTTATGTCAAAAAATTGGTTTCTTGACAAACAAAAAAAAAAGATTGGTTTCAGGGTAGATCTGTTAAAATCATAGGTACCATTGCCACTCCTATAAAATATAATGATACAAGCGAAATATGTTATTTCATATAATGTAGTCATACTTAAAATGTATACTTTACAACATCTCTGCGAATTTGATTTCTATTCCATTGCATGACCTGCTTGCTGAAAATTTCATTTTCAGTCTCACTGCATTTTCGCTTGTAATATACACATACACGAATCAAGTATGGAGAGATTTATTTGAAACATGTGCAGGTGATTGGAGCTGTGGGGTTCATGAATCAGAGGCTGGAAATCCCCGAAGACATTGATCCTCGTTGGATCTCATTAATGGAGAGCTGTTGGCAGAGGTACATTAATGAATAGAATATTGCAATGATCGCTGTGTAAACTTAAGTTATTATGGTTCTCATTGATTTAGATGTTCTACATGTTTCACAGCTAATGCTGACATTATTTTGTATCTCTATTTTGTTCTGTCCCACATGGAAGTGATACAAAGCTGAGACCCACATTCCAAGAACTGATGGAGAAACTAAGAGACCTACAAAGAAAGTATACGATACAGTTCCAAGCAACTCGTGCTGCATTATCTGACAACTCTCTTCCCAAGGACAACTAAACAAACAAAAGTTTTTGCCATTTTGTTCATCAACGCACTGCGTCAAGACTCGAAAGAATTCATGAAAGAAAGAGAAAGACAGAAATTGTCTGTTTTTGAGCAGTAACAGTAGGTTGGTGTAATTACAACGTGGAGGAGACTGTAAGCAGAGACAGCCACTGGAATTCTGAGACTTGTCTTGTGTGATGTGTTTGGGTCATTACACAAACTACCAAAAATAACGTATGGCTCAGGTTAGTTACTGTAATCTCGGTCGTTGGTTTCTGCTCTCTATTTCTCTGGTGGAAGCTTAAAGGAAGTGCGTGAAAGGAACTTGATGTGAAGTTGATTGTGCTAGAAAATGTATTAGTTGGGTAGGTTGGCAAGAGATTGCACTTGCATATGTTAACAAGATTACATGCATACTAAATATTTTTGTGCGTCGAAGCGAGAAACATTTGATGATATTTTGTACAGTGAGGAAAAAAAGGGATTTAAATTACCATTTATAAGTGACAGTGTGACACCACTGGGGAATTAATTTTTATGTAGCGGTATCATATGTTAGGTTTAATCAACAGCTTTTCCGGTTTGATTATCTCGAATATCTTCGGTTGGAACTTGGAAATTGCTGTTGTGACCCAATATAAGCCTTTTCTAGCAACTATTTCAATTTTTGTTTTCTTTTGCTTTGAAAGTAGCTCCAATGTTCCATGATTATACCACAAGCTTTTTACAGCTCCAAGACCAAGTAAATCAGGAATAACATAAAGATGATAAGATAGGAAATACAAAATACCATTGTATCTATATCAAGGCATCTTCGAAAGATTGATTCAACAATAGACAACTTCAACTAATTCAAACATCTGGAGATCTCACCCTCTTAAACAAACAAAATTCTTGGAAGTAAAAGGATGGTGCATCATAGAGGATATCGAGAAAGCAATTCCCTAGTCGCAGCAACTGCATCCCCTTTGTGCTCCCTTAGAGTTCTTTCCACCACATTTTTTTCCAACTGCTCATTTACAATTGAAAAAATTCAGATCTTTGAGCACACATGCATATATAAGGATAAATGTTGAAACGATGGATAATAGGAAGAAGCTTACCTCGAGTTCGTTTACAATAATTTCAACATCTGCATGATTGATCTTCACAGAAGCCAGTTCTTTCTCCCTGCATAATGAATTACATCGAATCATAAGCCCCAAAAAAAAAGCAGACAAAACACCAATTTCTAAAGACACATTAGCTACAGTCTCAACAACTTGTAATGCAGGATCAAGTTAACTCTAAAATATGATTGCAGGCAAAACAAACGGGTTTGACTAATGTTTTAAGCTACCTTAAGCATCCCCTTCTCCAGATTTTAGAACACAAGAAAGTTAAGAGTTTTTACCTCAATCTCTTAGCATTCAGATCAGCCTCTCTAGAAGCAGCAATCGAAGCCATAGCCTGAAACACAGTACCGACCTTGTCAATTTCAGATTTCCCAATTTCTTCCAAGTTCATAACTACTAATCAGGGAAAGAGAAAGAGAAACAAACCGATTGAACACGAGATGAATCGAGCTGGCGATCCTCGACACGATCGGTAAGCTTGTCGAAAGCTTTGCTTTGTTGCTGTAAGTCCTTTGAATCAAGCGCTATCTCCGCACCAGCTTCCTCTGTTCCCTCCATTGCTTCTAATTCTTCTTTTCTCCCTCTCTCCCTCTCTCTCTCAAGTTGATGTTTTTGGTGAATGATATCTCCGGCAACAGAGATTTTGAGGTTCGAAAGTGTTTAGCTTCAATGTTAGAAACCCTAAAAGGCTAAAGCGATCGGGTGAAAATACCAAACCTAAACCGTTTTTTTTTTTTTTGACCAACCAAACCTAAACCGTTTTATATCAATTTTAATTGATTTAATTGTCCTTAACCAACCCGAAACAAACTGAACCAACTCTGATTCGGTTTAGTTGGTGGATCTTGCAGTGAGTGAGAACCATCTATATTGGGCCTTGCGTCAAATTGTTATCGACCCCTTAGCCCGTGAAATGAAAAAGCGTACTACAAAAATATCTTGCTTGATATTTTTTAGTTGCACTATTTCTCATTTACGAAAACTGACAAGCTCCAAAATTGAAAACATTGGAGAGAGATGAAGGAAATTCAAAATCCCAGGAAAAACTTCGCGCGCTCATCCGATCTCGGAGCTAAGAGACTCAAGGATCCTGAGATGAAGAATCGCAAGGTAATTCGACCGACTCAATCCTTGAATCGCCATTGTTTCTTCTTTCCCCCAAAGTACTACTGAGATTTCCAATTCAATTTTTGCTTCTCTGGACTGAAGGTTGCGGAGAAGAGACAGAGCGCAGTCTTTTCCGACGTATCATTTGAAAGCACGAAGGATCCAATCGATTTTACTCCGATCTCTCAGTTTTCTAGCGCGATCTCTGATTCCGAGGCTGAGGTAATCTCCTCTCCACGTTTTAAACTAGGTTCCGTTTTCGTCGAAGTTTTCTTTTCTGTTGCTTTGCAAACGCGCAGATCTGTTCGTATCGGATGTTATTATTTGAAAATAGAATCGATTGGGTCTGTGATTGATAAATAATAGGAAGAATTGAACCTTATCGTTGCGATTCTGTGTTTGGGTACTGTCTGATGATGCTCCAATTATGCTGTTCTCCTCAGAGTGTTATTATGCAAGGATCGAGCCTAGAGTTATTGTCAACGCCAGAGATTCATCTTCCCACTGATGATTCTGCAGTTTCAACCATTACTAGTGTGGAGGCTCGTACTGATACTTCTTCTACTGATCGGATCCAGTCGATTGTGGACTTGCCTGCTTCTGTGCAGTCCTTGCGTGCAGAGATCAATGAGCTTAAGAAATTGATCTGTTCAGTTGACACTTCTGAAGAAATTAGCTGGGTCGATGGAATTGTTACTGTGAAATTCCGCATTGTGCTTTTGAGTTTCATCCTTTGGGCTATCTTAGCTGCATTTGTGGTCTGCTTCAGCTCAGGGGAGAAAGTTGATTACAATGGACCACTTCCAACATGATTCTGCAAGGTAACTCACTTTTGGTTTCTTACCTTTGTTTGAATTGATTCTGGTTTACTTTTCATTAGATGGTCATAATATCAGTGTTGCATAGGATTGGGGTAGTATACTGATTTGCCTGCAAGAAAACATCTATCCTGCTTGTCACTTTAAGTTGCATCTCTGCTTATGAAGTCTCCAACTGTTTAATTCAAGTAAGCTATTAGGCATCTGTAGAGCTTCATCACTATTACATGTTTCAAGTATTGGGATGTGTCTACCAAAGGATAGAACAGTTTTACTATTTTTTGTTGGATTTTTTTATAATTTACAGATCTGTTGTGTAGCTCAAATATATATTCCCTAGCAAAAGTAGTACAGATATCTCAGTGAAGTCTTATGCGGTAGAAATGCCAATTACTATCTCTGTACTTTTTGTTGTTGAGTGTTAATCTTCCTCAGCTTTTTGATTGAAATTTGAAATTTAGCACATAATAGGCCCGATCCAAGTAGTCTTACTAGATCCATTGGTAGGTTGTAAGTAAGGCTGCAAGTAGGCCTTATAAGCTGCTAGTTAGTTTCTTTCTTAACCAATGAATGACCCTAACACTTTATTGGCACAACTGATATGACACTTGATAGCCTTTTCTGCGGTGACTTGTGTTATCCAGATGCAAAGTCGTCTCTGCATCACATATATAATGCATAGGTGTCTGTAGCATTTAAGTTGCTAGGTTCTAAACATACCTTGATGTTTCCATTCTTAGCTCTGTTGATACAAAGCAAATGCAACCCCACCTAATTTCTTCGCTTCTTATATATTGTTTTCATGTGATTCTTAAACCAATAGGTTATAGATCTTACCAAGACATGTGCTAGTCTTTGTTTGCATTCTTATGCAAGTTGTTCTTTTACTTTTTAGTATATAAGCCAGACAAACCCTATGGAAAGTCCAGCCTGTGAAGCCTTTTTGGGTAATTACTTGATTCGATCTTTTAGAAATACAGTATTAGGATAAACTCTTCGAGGTGTTAAGTTAGGTTTATTGTTCATTATGGATAATGATACAAAGATTAGGATTTGGAAACCATTCCTGTATTTGAAAACTGAAAGACAGAATAATCCAGACTGGTGTTTGGCTTTTCTACTGGAGTTTATAGTAGTAGGCCACTTAACAGGGAAAAAAATATACAATATATGCCATGTGTTAAAAGAAAAGCAGCTCTTGTTGATTTTTACCTTTTAAGTAAACTTTCTCTGTTTCTTGTTTCTGTGTGATTAAAGGAAAATCCAGCTTAGTGATTTGAATTAGTGGGAACCAATTATTGGAGTGTTTTTTCTCCAAATTATCCATCTTATTTTTTGTGTCTTGACACTATTTAATGACCATATTTTGTGTATTATATAAGCAATAGTCTGTATCAATTTTCTTGCTTGCTTTTGTGGATTTCTTATAGTTCAGTCTAGGGATTTTTTTTAGTGAGAACTGAGATATAGGAGTATATATTTTTCACAATTTATGATGAAAAGCTGGTACTATACCTAGGCAAATCATGGGTTGGAAATTCAGCTTTTAGATTCGCAACAAAGATTGTCACTGGTCAAGTAACTGTCACGTTTGCTCAGTGTTGCTGGTAAAACAATGATAGCAACTTAAGAGTTAGGCTTCGAAATGCTTATAATTTAGTGTACGTAATCTTACAACAATCATATTTGTGCTATTTAAACAGGATTTCTGGCTGATATAACTGTGGAACCTGGGACCTTAAACTCAAATACTTCTTCAGAAGCAGAGCATGTAAAAGTTGGAAAAGATCATATGAAAAGAAAAAAAAACAGTCCGTACACAGGTTAGTATATCATGTTTGCCTCAGAACAGCTTTTAGTTGATATTAAATTTACCAAAAGACAAATAATCATTTGATATTAGCAATTCAAAATAGACCGTTGAAAAAACAATGATTGAGCATCATCCGTTATCTCATCAGTGCTTCTCTTTTTTCTTCCTTTTAAAAGTAGTCCTTGTCCTTCCATCGTTAGTTTCTCTGGTGTCTAGAATTAGGGAGGCAATCTCTGTGCCACCTTCATCATACGTATTAGTCAAATTTTCCTTTCTTATCGACTTTTTCATCCATATATATATAAAGATATGAAAAAGAAGAAAAAAAGAGAGACACATTACATCCTACATAGAACATATATAACATAAACAAAAAAAAGTAGACACAGTTTTACAACATAATACTTGTATAAGAAATAGAAATCGAATTCCAAAACTCCTTTTCCTTTATTATTTATTTACTTTTACGTTTTTATCGAGTCATCTGTATGATTACATAGTCTCTGCACATGCTGCAATTATTTCTTATAACAAGTATGGATAAGCTTCATGATTATTCTATATTCATTTTTATATGGAACGAACCCTAGCTAGGTGATATAGGGTTCCGGATTTCAAATCAAATGTATACTTGTTTTATATAACATATGGATTAGGTCCACGTTTAATGGCTAGCCTGCGAATCCGTCCAATGTTTGATTAGCTGAGGACCCTCACATAATTCCTAGTACAAGTCTTCTTTTATCGATTTGCAAATGATTTTGAAACCCTCAAAGACATTTAAATGTTTAGTCTTAATAACGCTAATTTTTCATAGTTCAACCATTACAATAGAGCCATGGGAACTACACGAATCTCTAATACGACGAGTAATGGTTTCTATGACTCAGTTCAGACAAATTCATTAGGTTGCTTTTGTTTCTCTACCAAAAGAAAAAAGAATTGCAGAACTGTCCAAGGAAAATAATCATTTGTTTGTAAATGTAGCTGGATTCTAAAGTATTAATTGAGAAATTTGAAGTAAACTACAGTCGAAAATATAGTCTTAAATTCGAAGTAGATGAACTATTTATTTGTAAGTGGCACGCTTTAGTGGATAAGTGGATATATAATATGTTGTTTCTTACTTTCTTTATCATACTAATTTGTCATGTGCAATCATTGTAACTTATAACTTTCTAAGGTACAGAGAATATGACGCATTGCTTATACAACAAGTAACCCTTAGGTCAAATGAATAATATTAAGCATGATCCACTCTGTTTTAACATCCTTTCCACCTTCATGTTCTACGCCTAAAACATCTTAATGCAGTAATTTATGCTATTTGTGGTACTTTTTATGTTAGTCAATCTCTATTTTAATGAACTTCATAAACATTAAAAACATGATTTCCAAAAACCAAACTAACAGTACAAGTTTGTAGAAGAGGGAGCTGGTCTTAGCTTTATTTTTCTACGATTATATAACCAAATGGAGAAGTTGAGAAGCTCCTTTTTCTCAGCAGGATATATGGACCAAATGCTACTCCCACCATATACCCACCCAACAAAACTCACTAATCTAATATTTAGTTATACATTCACACAATATAATGATAATATATTAAAACATGTTGATAGATACATATACAAAGCTCTTTTTCATGAAAAAACAAAAAAAACGAGTTAACTTCAGTGATCTTTACATGAAAAAAAAAAGAAAAGAAAAGAAAGAAAAAGCCTTAAAGAGAGGCAGTGCCATTACCCTACATGGCACATGCAGTTTCGTTTTGGTATTATACTTTACGGGTAAAGTAGTATATTTAAATACTAATTTCAGTATTTATGAAATCATTACACAGAATACAAAATCCAAAGTTTTTTAGTTTTTCTGGCCCCTCTCTGTTTGCCTTGTCAGTCCCACTAAACGACCACTGGAAGTCATAAAATGGATTTCTCCAATAGTAGTACGAACATGGCATCATTCCATTTGAATCTACTACTACTACCTTCCTCCTCCATTACATATACCAAAGTATCGGCCTTTATATAACGCATACAAGATTGTTTTTTTTTCTTTTTCTTAAACTACTAATTAAGATTCAACCCACTATAATTTGTTTTCTCCTGCTATATGTTTGTGATTATTCTTTTTCTTTTGGTAATGTAAGAGAAACGGGAAACTAATCAACGTGGAACAAAGCTTTTAGATATACTATACTCATAGGCATTGCTTTTCACGTCACAATAATGTATTTAATAATTCCATAACCATACTCTTATGCGAGCCAGTTAAGTATAACTCTTATCATTAGTCCTCTGTTGAAAATGATATTATTTTTTCTTGGTGGTATTCACGAGTTCTTTATGCCACTTTCGTATCCCCCGCATAAAAGAAGACAAATACAAATAGGCGAAAACGACGCCGCCTACTTGTTAACGGCACCACCTAAACGACGCCGTCTGTTAACTGCAACGTCTTGTCTCTCCCTTTATATATATGTCTCTTCCTCTTCTTCCCCCTTCACCTTTCAATATTCTCTCTACATTTTTCATAATTTCCTTCTCCTCAACTTCAGAGAAACTCAGATTCTGTAGGCTTTTTCAATACGAAAAGAGAACTGAGGGAGAGAGATCAGAACCTGTCCGCTGGTTATGGCGTCTCTGATCTCAGATACAGAACCGCCGACGACGAGTACTACTACAGATCTCGTTCGGAGGAAGAAGAAGAGATCCTCTGTTTCATCCGCCGCGTCGTCTCGTACAAGCGCAGCTTCCGTCTCCTGTGAGAGCCACACGCGATGGAGATCCGAGAAGCAACAACGCATCTACTCCGCCAAGCTGATCCAAGCGCTGCAGCAAGTCCGCCTCAACAACTCTTCAGCCGAGGCGACATCATCTCCAACGGCTCAGAAACGAGGCAGAGCCGTACGTGAAGCCGCGGACCGAGCTCTCGCCGTTTCCGCTCGCGGGAGAACGCTCTGGAGCAGAGCCATCTTAGCTAATAGGATCAAACTGAAGTTCCGTAAACAGAAACGTCCGAGAGCGACGACGGCGATCCCGGTCACGACCACGGTGGTGAGTAGCAGCAACAGATCGAGAAAAAGAAGAGTGTCGGTGTTGAGATTGAATAAGAAGAGTATACCGTCGGTGAACCGGAAAGTTCGTGTTCTAGGCCGGTTAGTTCCGGGTTGCGGGAAACAATCAGTACCGGTGATTCTAGAAGAAGCAACAGATTACATTCAGGCTCTGGAGATGCAAGTCAGAGCCATGAACTCTTTAGCTCAGCTTCTCTCCAGCTACGGCTCTGCTCCTCCGCCGATTTGATGAGAGGTTAACTTCGTCATTATCCAAAATATTCCATCCTTTTTTATAAGAAAAAGATTCATCTTCTCTGTATGTGTACACCAAAACTCTCATATATATATATATATTGTAAGTACTCTTTTCAGCTGCTGATTCTTCTTCTCGCCATGACTAAAACTTGATTTTGAACTGAGTTAACAAATTAATCATCCAATTTTGGTTTTTACGATCCGCAAATCTAAATAAAGTATATGCATGATTAGTGGACAAGTCTTTTTTTTTTTAGTCTTGACCACTAAGGTTCATGAGTAATCAATCATAGTGGATTTAAATTGACATCTACGTTATTGCAGTTAAATGGGTCTTTAACCTCATCATATAGTATAGATAGATAGAGGATATGATACTAAACCAGTATGGAGGAGCTTTTGATGTACTTTAAATTCCATTGAATATGACATATTAATGTACTCATCATCTTATGAAACCTAATCATAAAATATATACTGCCACTAGTTGGATTGGTTTACATTTTACACACTTAATAGTTTTCCACTGTTCAACGGTCGTATGTGATTAAGGGTAAGCATCTGATGTGGTTATGCATTAGAGAATGAAATGAGACAATCAAGTGCATTAAATTGAATGATGATGAGATGGTGCGTACTTGATAGATAGATGATACAGACTTTGTCACTCAATCATCAAACTCGCTTTATTGCCCCTCCTTTGTATTCTCATATATTTGACACTTTTAGGTTGTTTTGTCTTCTTTTCCTTTTCTTGTTTTCCCTTTATTTCACAAGAACAACAAAATCTTTACACTGGCTAATTCGTCCCTGTCAATAATAAAGTTCTTACACTAATCTGCAATTTTGCATATACATCGTCCTTTAATATTCCTCATCAAACAAAAACTCTTACGAAATTATAGTTACACATGACTAAACATGATTGATTCATTAGCTTCATATATATATGCGCTAGGGGATATGATATGATAATTGATATGGCCAACAAGACAACAAAAAGAAATAAAAACAGTAACCCTAGATAGATAGATAGATGATTAATTACGAATATTTACTGTTTTTCCTTACAATTATTTAGGAAGAACACTGGAGTATGACTAAGCAACAACAAGAGAGAAGAGAAGTGACAAAAGCAATAGAAGAGAGAAGTGACCTTATAATAATAAAAAGTATGAGAGGGAGCCTGGAGCCACATGGGAGTGGCAATGGCCTTGTCCTCTTCTCTTTCTTTTCAAGGCTCCTCTTGTTAATTTGCACTGTAATTAATATAACTCTGTTGATCACATTTTCATACGTTTATCTAAACTCTTACTGCCCAAAACAGACAAACTATTTAGATTCTAAAGTAAACAAAACCGCACGTATTATTGTCTAGAGCCAGAGGTTTGGGTTCCCAACTCGCAATGCTTATTGAATGAATTGTGACAAACACTTTTACAGCGACTAGATTCATTACTGCAAAAGCTTCGATTCATCCCCTATTATTATTTGACACATCAATCAATATCTTTTCTAAACTAAATAGATATCAATGTTTTCGAAACTAACTACCTTGTATCATGTACGTATATATATATATATATACTATATTGTACTCTGCACACATTTGAAATTTAGGGGGTGTATTCTTTTTTTTTTTTTTTTTTGTCATCAAAAATAAAGATTAGCTCAAGAGAGCCAATTTACCGGACAATCGTTTACAAACTTAACAATATGCGGTAAGGTACGAACATTTCGTGCAAAAGAATCCGCTTTTACATTAACATTGCGAGAGATAAGACGTAGAGAGAAAGTAGAAAATTCTTCCCTATCAACACCAATATCCGCGAGATATGCAGAGAACGCCGGCCACTCGGACGGAGAAGACACCATATTCACCAGATCAGAACAGTCAGTTAGAAACGTAACATCTCTGTGATTATGCCCAATCATGCATCGCATCGCCCACACTAGAGCTTCAACTTCCGCGTGCAACGGAGAAAGACTACGGCGAAGATTGGAGGCACCCATTGTTGTCGTTGAATCTTTAACGTTCTGACAAAACCACCCCAAACCTGTAAACTTGTCAGATTGCTTCCAAGACCCATCAACAAAACATCGATAACCTTCTGTCACTGAAGGCAAATTGCCTGGCCCGCCCTGCCGTCCTCTCTCCTGGTCAATAAGGCCCATATTAACACCCGAATCATCTACCTGAGCTTCATGCCACACCTTAGCCTCCTCCATAGCTATCTGTAGAATCTCCATGGGATTCTCGTCTCTATTTTCAAAAGCTTTCGCATTCCTCGCCTTCCAAATGTACCACATCAACCAGGGGCAAAAACCCTCCGGATCTCCTTCTAGTGCTATTTTTAAGATATAATCCATATTGGCAAATACCGAGGCAGTGGGAAAGAAAAAGGGACCCACAGGAACATTTGCCAGAGCCCACGTCTGACGCGCGGGGGGACATTCAAAAATGACATGATTTACCGTCTCTTCAATGCTCCCACACCGAGCACAACTACTATCACAACTTATACCTCTCTTGCTTAAATTAGCCGAGACCGAAATACATCCAGTCAGTAATTGCCACATAAAATGTTGTATTTTTGGCGGGCATCTTACTTTCCAAACCTTATTAAGAAGGGGAATAATATCCGGTCCACAGACCTGGGATACCGTAGCCCTTGGATCTGGTAGCCTAGCCGTATGATAACCTGACTTCACCGTATATTTTCCAGTCTTCGTGAAATGCCAACCAAAGGAGTCACCACACATTGTAATCCCCAGTGGTATAGCTCCTATGATTGTAACATCCTCGGAGGAAAAAAATTCCTGTAACCTTTCCAGCTTCCAGGAGTTTGACTGACGATCGATAAGATGTCTAATTTGAAGAGAAGGGTCCAATAACAGCCCCTTACTTACAGCAGGTCTCGGGAATTGAGATGGCACCCAGGGATCCGTCCAAACAGAAATAGAATCACCTGAACCGACTCTTTTGATTAGCCCTTTAGCCACCAGAGAACGCGCTGAGCAAATACTTCTCCATCCGTACGACGGAGAGTAAGATTTGTTGATATCCATAGGGGTTGAATTCCTATAATATCTTCCTTTGAAAACCTTAGCAAAAAGTGAATCCGGAACCTCTATCAACCGCCACAGCTGTTTAGCCAAAAGTGCCGAATTAAAATCATTAACATCTCGGAACCCTAGACCGCCTACCTGCTTACTGGAGCATAACTTATCCCATGCCTTCCAATGCATACCCCCTGTTTGACCATTCGAGCTCCACCAATATTTAGCCACTGCACTAGTCAACTTTGATGTAATTGTTTTTGGAAGTCGAAAACAAGACATCACATAAGTCGGTAAAGCAGAAGCCACCGATTTTATCATCACCTCCTTCCCTCCCTTGGATAAAAACTTCGCTGACCAATTATTAATATGTCTATCCAATCTATCTCTAACAAAAGAGAAAACCTTCGTTTTTGCTCCCCCCAGACTTTCCGGTAACCCCAGAAAGTAGCATTTTAAGAGATTTGAGTTTTAATGAGATTTTGATGATTTTAGGGGAATTCATATGATTTATGTAAAATCTTTTCAAATCCCACCTAAAACTATGAGATTTGGATTCTTATATTTTTAACTAAGGAAGTTCTCTGAAATCCACTAAAATCCTCTGAAATCATTTAAAATCAAATCCACAAACTGTTTTCAATAACAATGGATTTTAAGGTGGATTTTAAAATGATTAGTTCAATAACATTGGATTTTAAAATGATTAGTTCAATAACACTGGATTTCATGAGACTTTTTAAAATTCATGATTGAATAACACTGAAATCACTTGAAATTCTACTTTGAATACACCCCCTTAGTATTTGTATAAATTTGCATCATACTCTAATTCCAAATCTTAAGCATTAAATTCTTGATTTGACTTAACAACTTAAACCAAAGTTCCTTTTTATTACCTTTCCAAATATTCATAATTACTTTTTGCGTATATAACTCACACACGTAAAAAAATTAAATTAGAAATTACGACACTATCTAATGTTATCTATATTCTAGTGTAAAAAAGATTTACAAACGTGTTCCGGATTCCAGAACTATCCAAAAACTTTTGGATAAGTAAGAATGTAAGATATTCATTTATTTTCAAAATATTCCGGAACAGATCTAACAGTTAATAATATCTTCAGAAAAATGGATGAAATTATAAGAGAGATCGATCGGTGGCAATTTAATAATTATAAATGAGCAAAGCAAAGACGTATCGTGACAACTGTGAAATAGAGGTTGAGTGACTAGTGATCGATCGAGAGAGAGAGAGAGCCAAAGGAGGAGAAGACACTACAAACAAAAATGGCGAAACAAGAAGAAGTATCGGTACCGATCTTCACATCACTTGAGCCTGTCTACGGCGAAGGATCTCAGCTCCAAGAAGCTACGCGACGATTCGATGTTTTGATGGCCACTTTCAATCACATCTTCGGTGCTTCTCCCCAACTCTTCGCTCGCTCTCCTGGTAATCACTTTTACCATTAGTTTGACAAAATTGGGCATTCGTTGACTTTGTTGAATTGGTTTCTTCGAATTATTCTCTCTAGTTGGAGGATGAGATTAGACGATGTTGTATTTCGGAATTTTTGGGATGTGATTTGTGGAATTGATTGTGTGAATGTGTTTGTTTTGTCTTTCTTTTCTAGGAAGAGTGAATTTGATAGGAGAGCACATTGACTATGAAGGTTACTCAGTGTTGCCAATGGCTATTCGTCAGGATACAATTATAACGATTAGGAAATGTGATGATCAGAAAAAGCAGCTTCGTATTGCAAATGTTAATGATAAGTACACTATGTGTACATACCCTGCTGATCCTGACCAGGTAACATCTGATGAGCGTTTCGAACCATGAATGATTTGTGTTGCAGTCTTCTGTTTGTCACATACTATATATAGTAGAGGTCTTGGATTATTACTGGCTTATCATATTTGTTAATTTTGTAGGAAATTGACTTGCAGAATCACAAATGGGGTCATTACTTCATATGCGCGTAAGTGTTTTCTGTTTTGGCGCTCTGGTGTCATTCAGGATCTCACCCCTTTTTCTTATTCATTTTTGTGCTTTTGAGGTGTCTTATGGTTTTCTATTTTTACAGATACAAAGGTTTCCATGAGTATGCAAAGTCAAAAGGTGTGAATCTTGGTTCACCAGTTGGACTTGATGTGCTTGTTGATGGAATTGTTCCCACAGGTATAGTTCCAACTTAATGCATCATGATTCTCCTAAATCAGGAAAGTTTTATCATTTCACTTTGAAGCTTTAAATGGAGTGCCTTGATTTAGGTTCTGGGTTGTCAAGTTCTGCTGCATTTGTTTGCTCAGCAACAATTGCTATTATGGCTGTCTTTGGGCAAAACTTTGAAAAGGTATATTACTCTCTATGCAAGGCCTTTCTTAAATCTCTTTTTGATTGCTGAAATCTCCAAGTTCTCTCTGCCTTTCAGAAAGAACTTGCACAGCTTACATGTGAATGTGAACGACACATTGGAACACAGTCTGGTGGGATGGACCAGGTTAGAAATTTTCTCAAATAATCCATGATTAGTTTTCCTACATCCATAATTATCTCTGATTCTGATTGATCGATTTTTAATCACTTCCACAGGCAATATCTATTATGGCTAAAACTGGATTTGCTGAGCTTATTGACTTCAACCCAGTCCGCGCAACTGATGTGAAACTCCCTGATGGAGGGAGTTTTGTAATTGCACATTCTCTTGCAGAGTCACAGAAGGCCGTCACGGCTGCTAAGAATTACAATAACAGGGTCGTTGAATGTCGACTTGCTTCGGTAAGTCATTGTATAACTTTTCTGCTGCAAAATCTTAACTTTATTTGGTAGTTGCATATGAATCTCTCTGCCTTGTGGCTTTGTAGATCATACTTGGTGTTAATCTCGGAATGGAACCAAACGAAGCTATATCAAAAGTTAAGACTCTCTCTGATGTGGAAGGATTATGTGTGTCATTCGCTGGTGATCGTGGGTCATCTGATCCTCTTCTCGCTGTTAAGGTATACTCATCAATCAGTCTCTGCCAAAACAGCGGCTTGATGTTAATGTATTTCTAAATCTATTTAATTTACATCTAACAACATATTTAGGGTTTTATGCGTTTTTGTCTATGCTGCAGGAATATCTGAAAGAAGAACCATACACTGCTGAGGAGATTGAGAAAATCCTGGAGGAAAAATTACCTTCAATCTTGAATAATGATCCAACATCTTTGGCTGTACTCAATGCTGCCACGCATTTCAAACTGCATCAGGTAAAGTATAAATGAACAAACCTGTGGTATATTGTTTTCTTTTTTCTTCCTGAGTCTTAACGATAATGGTCTGCTTATGATCATCAACAGAGAGCTGCACACGTTTATTCAGAAGCCCGGAGGGTTCATGGTTTCAAGGACACAGTCTATTCAAACTTGAGGTGCGACCAACTTTTGCGATGGAACTTCTGACTAAATCTGTACTTTAACCTTAGTAATTTGAAAGATAAAACTGTTGCAGTGACGAAGAGAAGTTAAAGAAACTCGGTGATCTCATGAATAAAAGCCATCACAGCTGCAGTGTCCTATACGAGTGCAGGTTGACAAATTTAAGATAAATGATAAAGTGAAACTGGTGAATGTGAAAAGGATTGATTTTTGAGTTTGATGAAATCGTGCAGTTGCCCCGAGCTAGAAGAACTGGTTCAAGTTTGCAGGGAGAATGGAGCACTTGGAGCAAGACTGACGGGAGCTGGATGGGGTGGGTGCGCAGTGGCCTTGGTTAAGGAATCTGGTGTTACTCAATTCATTTCCGCAGTCAAGGTAATAAATAGCTTCCTTATTGTTTTAAGACACTAGTGTTATCCGGAGTAAAAGAAATGGAAGTGTGGTAATTACAGGAGAAATACTACACAAAGAGAGTAGAAAAAGGAGTTGTAAAGGAAGAAGATATGGAGCTTTACCTATTTGCCTCCAAGCCTTCAAGTGGTGCTGCCATCTTCAACCTCTAAACACATATCTCTCTCCCCCTCTCTTTATTAATTTATTTAATCTGAATTGTTTGCAATCGTGCCACTTCCCAACTTCGCAATTGCAATCATTAAAATATTTAGGAGTTTTGCAACACTAATAAAATGAAGTTTTATTATCTCTGTTTTCAAGTATTTTATTAACTTTCAAATTTAAAATTTCGTTGTTTAATCCACTTTGATGATGATAGTATGATACACATGACCGAATAAAGGGTTGTCAGAGTGTATAAAACAATCGAATCGGTCGAGAGTGCAAGAGATCTACGGCGTCTCCGTCACGAAATGTTGCCCCCGCCGGGAAAAAGGAGGAAGAGAGCGGCTACCACGCCGATCACGTTGCAGTCGCTTCTCCATGAGTTGGTATTGAGCATCGTCGCACGCGTCCCAAGAGTGTATTATCCGACTCTCTCACTTCGTCTCCAACAGTTTTCGATCTCTCCTAGTTTCACCGAAGCTTTACAGTGATCGGGCCACACAGAGAGTTGTCTCTATCTGTGCGTAGAGGACGATCGTGATTTTCAGTTCCAGTGGTTCACCCTTAACCGGAAACCTGATCAAACCCTGATCGATGATGAGGAGGTGAAGAAGTCAAGTGGCTACGTTTTGTCTAGAGTCCCGAAAGATATATGTAGTATGCCCTTGCTGTCACCGTTTTATGAATGAACATGTCTTTTCCTTGTGATTTTGATGTTTTTTTTTTTTTGGGAATGCCTGTGTTCTTTTGGTGTATGCAACTGTGTTGAAGAATGACTCTTTGTCTCTTGTTTCAAATCTTATCATTTTATGTCAAAGGAAACTAACTGAGAAAGTATAACAACTGGATTTGGTCAGGGGACATTTACAAATTAGAAAGTGAAAAGACAAAACTAATTTCTTCCTGCAAACAAACACCTCTACTCACAGGCACACACTTAACCGCCAAATGCTCAAAACTCAGACGAAAGAGTTTTAAGAAACAAAACCATCATTACTAACACAAGCCTAACACTAAACCTCCGTGCCCTCATCCTCTCTGTGATGTATCTTCTCATACCCAACCACATAACCAGGCAAATGCTTTGAGTAAACCGGTACATTCTTGCATTGTTGCTTATCTTCCCGGATTCTGATTCTCCAACAAGTCCTTGTCACCTTCTTGCTTCTGTTGTCGCTAGCACAATCACTATTCCTAGGCAGCTGGGACGCTTTCACAACCGATAAATGGATTCTACCAACTGGTCCCTGGAAGCTTCCACTGTTAAGGTTCTTCAGAAAGTTTGTCTCCACAGATTCAATGTCTGAAACATTTATTGTTCTGAGCTGTAGTCCCCAGTAAAACACAATGTTTGGCTGCTTTGCATAGGTTTCGACATACTCTGTTGGGTTTGGGTCGCAAAAGCCATAGACTTCCTCTATCTGCATTACAAATACTATGAGATGAGAAAATTTTCAATGACATGTGGAATAAAGCAAAGGGCATAACTATGAGAGCGACCACAGGCAGAGTGTTTGCAAGATGTCATATCGAACGAGTTGAACAAAGATGCAAGTGCGTACCTTGAGCAGAAGACAACGGAAACGTGACTTAACCCAACCAACCCAATTACTGAGATCTTCCTGATTAGCAGCCGAGAGGTGTATCTTGGTGAACCACGTGTATGTGTTTGCATATGGATATGGCTCAAACAAATTCTTCCAACTGAAGTTAGGGTTCAAGTAATCCTGAAATTTCCCATTGCAAGTGTGTGAGATAGATCAAAAACATCATAAACTGGCTCGGAATACGGCATTCCTAGAGTAAAATTCATTGCACATAAACCTCAGGGAAGATCGAAAGACCTAAAAACATAGCCAAACAGGATATGACCCTACAGCAACCACAACTTGGTTAGATGGAACACTGAGAAAGTAAGACTTTCACCTTTGTCACATTATGCCCTCGTAGAAACTCTGCCATAATTTTGTAAAATGTGCTTCTTGTTATGTTAGAGTTGCAGAATTGATGTGGACCGCACGGCAATTGGATGGGCATTAACCCTGGTGGAGAGCCAGTAGCTGGATAAGTATCATCTAGCAGCATCACCGGTATAGGCCATTGCCAATGAGCAAATGTGTTGAAGAAATTTGCCAGAAGGGAACTCAGTGTAGCATTCCGTTCATATCCACAGACAAATGCAGCAAGAACAGCCATATGAACTCCCCCTAGGAAGCCATTCAACTGCAACAAGTCAAAATCAAACACAAATAAGCTTCTTCATTCATTGATAGACTGATTATGAGCACTGCTTAGAATTTAGCACTTACGTTACCGTATACACCTCGCCTCTTTGCCCATAATTTGACACACCGCAGCAATGATTGGAATAGCTAGACCATGAAGAAGAAGAAGGAGAAGAAAAATATACTCAGTAAACAGAAGTTGCTTACCATACACGGTCTGTAGAAATAATGCCGAGAGAATTTGAGTTAAAGAATCAAGTTACTGCTGTATCACTATCACCTCCAAGGAAGGCACTAATTGAAGAATGAATTTATTAGCACGAACTCCAGACAAGCTTTTCCAACTTGTCTCATCAATATCCCTCAGAAAGAAAGGATTAAGCACATCTACATTCTGAAATGCTCGCAGTTAAATTAGGAACAAGATTGTATATAAAAACCATATTTAGAGAGTAAATAAAGCAATAACTAGGACTTAGAAAGTCAGAGAACCAACGTGTGGAACGGATAATACTCTAAGCTGAGCATATGGAAGATCAACCAAGATCCCATCAAACTTAAAGCGGATCAGAGGAACTTTCGCATCTTTAACACAATGAACCTCAGAAACTTCTCGTCTAGTTATCAACATATCACGCAAGCCGATGAAAAAATCCTCCTGTACCAATAAGAGAACAATCTCAAATTCACGGGAAATAAAGTAATTCAGATCCTTCATTAAAAGAGGGCAAAACTCACAGCCATAGACGCAAAGAAAGGACCAATCAACAGAGCGTCAATGTCTGATTCAGAACCATAAACCTGGGGGACAAGAACAGTTAGCTAAAACGTGCAATAGGTTCACCATATTACATATTCTTCAACATTGCTTCTTACAGTTTATGTTAACAATCTCATTACATCTTGCACATAACATTGATAAAGGTTGAACTCATTGCAGAGTCAATATATTAAGAATTGGAAAGAGAATGGCTTAGAGATACATCACCCCAAGACCATAAGAACCATAAGCAATAATGGTGGCGTTGGTGGCGTCAATCTGATGTTGAGGAAGACGGCGTTTCCAGGCAACAGTCTTAACCCATCTTACCACTATCTGTTCATTGAACTCAAACGAAACATATTCAATCACTGTTTTAACTCAAAGAAACAAAAAGAAATGTTTTCAGTTTAAATATTGAATGGTACCATTCGTAGCCTATCAATAACAACTCTTCGTTTCTCCCGGTCTTCAAGAGACGGAATGATTCCTTCGTTAGCCATAAGCTATACCGCAAAAAATAAGAAAAATGAAAAGAAGCCAATGAATATGATCTCACTTTGACACGAAATAGGCCTAAAACCCTAATGTTTTACCTGACGAAGCGAAATCGAGGGTTCATCTTCTAACTTTTCAGACATAGAAGGAGGAAACCCTAACACAAGAACAGAGCCGTAACGTGAGGAACAAGGATCCCGTGAGGAAGAAAGGGTTTATCGGAGAAAAAGCGAAATCAACGATTACAGGAAAAAAGAAAAGAATCGAATAGAACGTGACGATGTGATCCAAGGCAGTGACGACATATGTAGACAATTTTGGCGCGTTTTGCAATTACACAAAGGAAAAAACTCAGAAAGAGAGAATTAAGAAGATTTATGTCGGGATAAAGGACTCACCTTTATATCTCGTCGCACCTCCCGTTCTCATATTTTCCAGGAATGTCAGATCTTATTACCTTGTTTCCCGAGAAAATCTTTGGAGAAAAAAGTAAAAAGAAATCAAGAAGAAACAAAAAGAAATTGGTGATTACGAAAAAACTCTCTTTCTTTATGAAACGAAACGACTCAAGAAAAATTGCTTCAATCCAGCGCAGCTATATAGATTCGGTCCCGCCAGATTCTTGACACGTGGAAATTTATGTTTATGTATTTATAATAACTTTATTTCTTTAGTTCCCTAATACATATATTTGTAACTTATTTCTAAAATACTAAGGGATACATTTGATACTTTATTTTGAAAAGTTAGTTTGAAATATTAAGTTTACGTAAAAAAAACATTGAAGTTAAATATTCCTAATGGACCAAAACTAATGTTAAGAACTTGATGTGAAATTCGTTTTTTCGTATTGAAATGTAACACTTTTTTGAAATGATTTTGTTTTTTTGGGTATAATTAAAAGTATAGTTATATTAGAACGGTTTAATTAAAATTTGTGATTGATAATACCTTTCACGGTTGCTAAGTTTGGTTTGTCAACGTATTAAAATATAACATTCAGGTTTATTTAAAATATTATTATTATGTTTGGTTTAAAAAAAATTGAATGAATTTAGTAGTTCAAAATTAGATTAATTGCAAAACGAAATTTGTTCTTGACTCAAAGGTAGTTGTCAAACCAAATGATCGTCATGACAACATTTTCGTATTCAATATTTTAGTTCCTATCTTGGATACTAACGTAGCAAAATGATTGAAAGACTTGAAGCAATAGTGCAAGACCTAAGTTTTTGTATACGCTAACTTTTGGTTTGGATGATGAAATATACGTGTTAATAATGTATAACCAAAGAAATCTCTTGAAACAGTCTAATAGATTACACTATGGTAATCAAATGTGGACAGTAATATACAATGGAATACTAAGAATTCACAAAGTCAAAATATACCAATCAGCATGGATCCTAAAATATAAGAACATATAAACAGAGTAGGAAAAGCTAATTCTAAAGTCGGTGAATATTAAAATTCCGGTTCTCTTACTGATTGCAATGTTAACGAACTTCTTTAATGACAGTAGACTTTGAAAAAAAAAATAAACCCGACTGTCTATATATATTTAGAGTGTAAAGAAACGCGTCTTTGACGAATCATATGAATTATTTATTATTCACACGCCCGCCCACATCGCAGTATCAGATCAAAATGTAGTGAGATTGAGTATCAAAATGTATGATCCACCAAATGTGAAACAAAATAATAATGAAATTGTATCTTTATTATCCTTAGCTCGTCTCCTTCTCTAACAAAAACGAGTATTATTTGGTTGTTAAAATCTCAGTACACAATAACACCATTTAATTTTTTTTTTGTAACCATGCAACCAGTAACCACTCCCTTTCTATCAGTGGTCCACGATTTTGACCGAGAGCATGATAATTTTCTTTTTTTTTTTTTTTTGTGTGAAAAGAGCATGATAATTTTCTTTCCTTCATTGTCCCTAATGAATTTGTCGGTTAGTAATTTTTTTTTGTTTTGTTTGGTAGAGAGAGAGAGAGAGCTTTAGTTAGCTGCTGCTACTAACCGTTCATTGAACACAGTTCATCACTCGATCTTATTTGAAGCATTGCAGTGAGTCTGTTACTATATATAATAGGAACGATATAGAGATCTATACTTTGATCCAGTTGGCTGTGGGGTCGTTGCTTTGTTCGATTTTTATCACGAGATCTCCCAGATCTGGTTCAGGACCTAACGAGTCCTTTGGAGTTTTCGACGATTTTATCGCGCTTGATCGGAAAATGGCGATTTCAAGCCCTCTTACACCTGGGCTAGTACGTCTTTATGAGCGATTTTGTTCTTGTTTTGAGCTTTCATTTGTTTTTGATTAGATCTTGTTGCTTGATTTGGCCCTTTCTCTACCTACTTCGGGTTCTTCTGAGAGAGTGATTTTGTTTTTGCTTTCCCTGGAAATTGCAGATGTCGGTGGTGCTTGGGATTGTTCCGGTGATCATTGCTTGGCTATACTCCGAGTATCTGCACTACGCTAAACATTCCGTCTCCGCCACCAAAGCGTATGTTGTTGATTCAACGTACTTCTCAACTGGTAATGGACTTTTTTGCTTTCACTTTTTTCTCACTTGGCTCTTGTCTGTGTGTTAGTAGGCACTCTGATGTCAATTTGGTGGAAATTGCTAAAGACTTTGTCAAAGAAGATGACAAAGCTCTTTTAATTGAAGATGGAGGTGCTCTCCAGTCAGCTTCTCCTAGAGCCAAGGCCCCATCCACACATTCTCCTCTCGTCAGGTTCCATTACTTCTTCTCAAGCACCCCACTCTGCCGTTTTTCTTTCTTTTGCTTATATGCCCGCTCCTTCTACGCAGGTTTGCCCTCTTGGATGAGTCCTTCTTGGTCGATAACAGACTTACGTTAAGAGCAATGTGAGTACTGTTTTGTATGTCGAAAGGCCCATTATCTAAAAAAACTCACATTTTATGTCTAAATTATCTTGTTTTCTATGCAGAATTGAGTTTGCGGCACTTATGCTATACTTTTACGTGTGTGACCGTACGGATTTCTTCAATTCATCAAAGAAGGTAATGATGATATCTTGCTTGCTAGATTCTGGAGAGGTTTATCTAGCTAGTTACAGAGTCTTTACGTTCTTCAGCAACATCTTATATACACTAATTGTTTCTTATCATTTAAGTTGGTCTAAAATGTTACTTGGATAGAATAGACTCCATAAGATTCTGAATTTGATGTGACAAAAAAAATAGAAGGATAGTAAATTTGATATGTCATGATGAATTTCCTGCTTATGTCGGTTCATTCGTACATGCCTCTATGAATCTGACTAGCTTACATTGTTTATCTTTTGACACAGAGTTACAACCGAGATCTCTTTCTGTTCCTATACTTCCTTCTCATCATCGTTTCAGCGATAACTTCATTCACGATTCATAATGATAAATCAGCATTCAACGGAAAAGCCATCATGTACTTGAATAGGCATCAAACCGAGGAGTGGAAAGGCTGGATGCAGGTTTGTCGTTTAACTTTATGTTAGTGACTCCCCCCTCGATTTGGTTCATTTCTGTTAATGCATCTGCTGGGAAAATTTGTAGAGAAGTAGCTAGTGTTCATTTTTTTTTAATCTGCCTTTTCATTTGCTGTTACCTCATCATTGCTTTCTTTTTCTGGTGTTGTAGGTCCTCTTTTTGATGTACCACTACTTTGCTGCTGCAGAATACTATAATGCAATCCGTGTATTCATTGCATGCTATGTATGGATGACTGGATTTGGGAATTTTTCTTATTATTACATTCGCAAGGACTTTAGCCTTGCAAGGTTTGCACAGGTAGCTATGCCTCCTGACTTTTTTTTTTTAATTCTAGCTGTCAGCTACTTTCATATTCTAACATACTCTTGTTCTTCAGATGATGTGGCGGCTAAATTTCCTGGTCATATTCTCCTGCATCGTCCTCAACAACAGTTATATGCTATACTACATCTGCCCAATGCACACTCTGTTTACTCTGATGGTCTATGGAGCACTTGGTATCATGAACAAGTATAATGAGATTGGTTCAGTCATAGCTGCCAAATTTTTTGCCTGCTTCGTTGTTGTCATCATTGTTTGGGAAATTCCTGGCGTTTTTGAATGGATTTGGAGTCCATTTACCCTCCTAATGGGTTAGTGACGACATAAATCTTTGTTTACCACAATAAACAATGTTCTCACGAGACAGCTGTTTTCTAAAAAAAGACTTGAAAACAACAAGTGTAGGTTACAATGATCCTGCAAAACCACAGCTTCCCCTCTTGCATGAGTGGCATTTCCGCTCTGGCCTTGATCGGTACATATGGATAATCGGGATGCTATATGCATATTACCACCCAACTGTAAGTTCCCAATACTAGAATTTCACATCTACTCTGATCACAATGGGTTGCTTAGTGGTAAATACTTGCCATATTTCGTCCTTTATTTCCTTGATTATAGGTTGAAAGTTGGATGGATAAACTGGAGGAAGCTGAGATGAAGTTCAGGATGGCTATCAAGACAACTGTGGCACTTATTGCAATAACGGTATAACAAGTCATCTATTACTTTCTTCCAGGTGAAAGAGCTTTACGTACTGTACTTCCAGCTAATCCATCATTGTTATTATGAAACTTTTAGGTGGGATATTTTTGGTTCGAGTACATATACAAGCTGGACAAGCTAACTTACAACAAATATCATCCTTACACCTCTTGGATTCCTATAACGTATTCCACTTTACTTGCAAACTCTACACATCTGATTTGTCTAAGAACCAGTCCTAACATGTACATTTTGTTTTGCTTTTCTTTCAGTGTTTATATTTGTCTCCGGAACATCACCCAGTCTTTCCGCGGCTACAGTTTGACCCTCCTGGCGTAAGAAAAAAAATATTTCAGTCAACTGAGATATTCGTCCTCCTGTTTCGATTTTTTTTCCAAGAATAATATGTTCATGAACTTTCAGGTGGCTTGGGAAGATAACACTCGAGACATATATCTCCCAGTTTCATATATGGCTCAGGTATGTCACACTTTTTCTTGTCAAAGTTCTCAATTGTAGAGTAAGTCGGAAATTGATGGTCGAGAATCCTAGTACAAAGCTATTTATATGTTCTTGACTCATTGAACTATGAAATAATCTAATTCACCCACAGATCCGGAGTTCCTGATGGTCAACCCAAATTACTACTCTCTCTTATCCCGGATTACCCATTGTTGAACTTCATGCTCACAACTTCTATTTACGTCGCTGTAAGCAAACCCTGCTATAAGAGATAGAAACAATTTGAAAGCCAGACAGATACAAACAAACTGATTGGCGTTTTGTTGCTCTGTTTTAGGTCTCTTATAGGCTCTTTGAGCTTACCAACACTTTGAAAACAGCCTTCATACCAACCAAGGACGACAAACGCCTGGTCTACAACACGATCTCAGGACTCATAATCTGCACTTGTCTCTACTTTTTCTCATTCGTTCTTATCACAATTCCCCGAAAACTGGTAAGTCAAGAGTTTCTGTTTTTGTGTGGAAAAAAGCTTACTCTCATATTCGATTGTAACATCTCACGTTCTGTTATTTCATTGGAAACAACAACAGGTGTGAAGGCACTTCTGAACCGGGCTGGAATATTTGAATGAATCTATAGGAGTTGAACTACGCGATATGGTAGAAATATACGAAGATAGAAATCAGAGATAGATGCATACAATGTTTCTGTATATTTATTTATGAACGGTGTTCTTTCTTGTTTATTTATGTTTGTTTTCTTTGTTCACGATGATGTAAAGACTTTTACTCCAAGTTAAGGAAATCCATGTGAGTAATATTATAGAGGTACGAATTCCAGATTAACTCAAATTTAAGTAAAAATATATGGACTTGCAAAACCATTACTTATGCTATTAAATTCTCTCGTCCAATACGGGAAAACATTATTGCTACAAAATAGATAGAAAATGTACTCAAATCTTGTATGACAAGCTTTTCCTCTTCTCTTCCTTCTAACTTCTTTAAACGAGAAAAAAAAAAGAAGCTTTTAAGTAGGAAGACGGGAGGCAGAGAAAGTGTCGGAGGTGTCTTCATCGGAGAGATTATACGAAATGAGCCGTAAGTTAAGCAAAAATTGAGGTATACGTAGGAACCATAAAGTATCAAACATGTTACATGCCAATAAGACAAAACAACCAACCGAGGAAGAGCGTGTACAGAGCATGTCCCATCTCCATCCTAAACATACCTGATAGCTGGATCAGCCCTATCCCAGGCGTGAACAATGAGGTGGTGAATAACGACATGGACAACCCAAACTTAATGTTCGTCAACTGCTCATAATATGACGGCATACCAAACGTTGCGCCCAAGGACAATACCGAAAACGAAACCTGAGGAAGCCTCTGCAGCTTTCTAGCAAGCAAGTGGAGGGAGGAGCTGTAAAGAAGAGATATCTGAGTAGCGTCATGTGTGTAGAATGGTGTGGCACTGACCGCACCAGGCCCTGTGGAATGGAAGACGATGATGAATCTCAGAGAAGGTTGAGTGATTTGGAGAGGCCAAAGAGTGAGAGTAGAGTCATTAGATACCATATTCCTCTGCATACAAACACCTCCACTTTACTATCTTCTTCTCCATTTTACTAATCTTTTTTCTCCATTATGATTTAATAGTCGTCAGGATATGGGATACATCTCTATTATTACAAAAAAATAAGATTTTGCCAATCACACAACTAACAAAAGAGAAATCTTCCAATCTTTATCTAACAACTTTTTTATATTTTCTTACAGTTTATATCCTTAATATTCCCCTAAAGTAAATAGTTCGAAAACTAAAACAAGTAATAAAACTGTATTCATATTGTAAACAAAGCGAGTAAAATTGTATCAGCCACAAGTAACCAACTAAAATCTATTTTATAAAACTACAGTATGGCTCTGTTAGCTACTTTATTAATTTAAATTGTTCATATTAATAACAGTAAAAAATAAAATCTGTGGGTCGTGTACTCGTATCAATATATGATGTGCTTTGATTAGTACTAATGAGAAAACTTCGTAATTGATTTGAGAATTTCTTTACTTTGCGGAAGCTTTTTCTCCGATCACCGAACTCTTCGCCGGTGTCATCAGCTTAGGACACTTTTGATACCCAAATCGGTTCGAGTCACACCATGATTGACCTCCCTCCTTACCCGCCGCTTGATCCTTCTAACTACGATCTCATTGTCGTCGGCACCGGAGTTTCTGAGTCCGTCTCCGCCGCCGCTGCTTCATCCTCCGGTAGTTCTGTTCTCCACCTCGACCCCAACCCCTTCTACGGCTCTCACTTTGCTTCTCTTTCCCTTCCCGATCTCACTTCTTTCCTTCACTCAAACTCCGCTTCTCCTCCTCCGCCCCCTTCATCTCCTCCTCCTCTTCCGCCGTCGAGCAGTCATGATCTCGTCTCAGTGGATATTTTTCACCGATCCTTGTATTCCTCCGTCGAGATTTCGAGCTTCGATTCGGAGATCCTCGAAGAACACTCTAGAAGATTTAACGTTGACTTGTGTGGTCCTAGGGTCGTCTTCTGTGCCGATGAATCAATTAATCTCATGTTGAAATCAGGAGCTAACAACTACGTTGAGTTCAAGAGTATCGATGCGAGCTTCGTCGGGGACTCGAGCGGTGAGCTACGAAGTGTGCCTGATTCGAGGGCTGCGATTTTCAAGAGCAAGAGCTTGACTCTGTTGGAGAAGAATCTGCTGATGAAATTCTTCAAGCTTGTTCAAAGTCACTTGGCAAGCGATGATACAACAGTCAAGATATCAGAGGAAGACATGGAGAGTCCATTTGTGGACTTCTTGGCAAAGATGCGTTTGCCACCCAAAATCAAATCGTATAGCCTCCTTCTCCATCAATTCCTCCTAGGTTTTGTTTCTCAATTTATTGTCTGTGAAATGTTGATGATAAGGCTTTATTTACTCTTCTTCTGTCTAGGATCATCCTGTATGCCATTGCGATGCTAGATTATGATCAAGACAATATGGAAACATGTAGACATTTACTCAAGACCAAAGAGGGTATAGATCGATTGGCTCTATACATTAAATCTATGGGCAGGTCATTCATCATTTTGTCTTTCTTGCCTCTTAAACATCTGTTTATCATTGTCTTTCTCTTTCGTTATATCGATTACAGTTTAGCTGTTAACCCTTTCGTTCTCTCCCTACCTTAGGTTTTCTAACGCACTTGGGGCGTTGATCTACCCAATCTATGGACAAGGAGAACTTCCACAAGCCTTTTGTCGTCGGGCTGCTGTCAAAGGATGTATCTATGTACGTTAGGAACAATTTGCTGCATTGTGTACTGTGTTGCTGCTGTGGTATTTGTTACTTATGTGGTCATTCATTGTACTCACAGGTTCTCCGGATGCCTATTACTGCTCTTCTTTTAGACAAGGCAAGTGAAATGACAAATGTAGCATAAGATAAGATTTGTTGGTTTCGTTGACAAAAGGATTCTTACTTTATTATTTTAAACTTTATTGCAGGTAAGTGGTGCTTACAAAGGGGTTAGATTAGCTTCTGGTCAAGAGATATTCAGCCAAAAGTTGATTCTGGATCCATGTATTACTGTTGGTTTGGAGTCTCTGTCGTCATTGACAGATCAGCAAAATGAAACTCTCAGTGTTATTGTCCCAAAGGCCATGATCAATACCCAGAAAATAGCAAGAGGAATATGCGTCATTAGAGGTTCTGTGAAAGCTGATATATCAAACGCTCTTATTGTATATCCACCTAAATGTAAGATAAGTTTTAAAGGCCTTGTTAGTTTTTTCGCTCGCACATCTATCATCAGCTTTGATTTGAAGGTTCTAACACTACTAATAGTGTTTTCCTCTTAGCTTTGTTTCCTGAACAGCTAACTGCAATCCGGGTTCTGCAGCTTGGTAGTGGTCTAGCGGTTTGTCCTGCTGACATGTAAGTTTTGGTTCAGGCTAAGATGATCCCATTTTGTTTCTGTTTCTTTCCATTTGCTTCTCTTTTAACTGTTGTCTAAGTCATAAATTTGCTGCTGCAGGCATGTTTTGTATCTTTCAACTCTGTGTGACAGCGATGATCAAGGGATAAAAGCGCTATTATCAGCCATAAGTAATCTCATAAGATTGCCTGTTACTGAGAATTGTCAAAGCGATTCCGTTGTTGAAAATGATACTTCTGAGGCAAAACCTTTTCTACTGTGGAGAGCACTGTACGTGCAAGCGCTAGCCAAGGTGGGAAATGTGATTGGGAATCAATCAAACTTTCATTGCTGACATTGGTAATGTGATTTCACTAAATTTTGATTTGGATCAGGGTGAATTTGGAGGTACCATCAGTTCCATGCCTAGTCCAGATGAAAATTTGAACTACAGCGAGATGGTGGAATCAGCCGTAAAGGTTAGTAAAGGATCCATACTAAAACACACTGCTCTCAAATCTTGTTTGAGTTATGGTTTGGATAATGTTATGTATTTATATAATATATCATGTTGGATTTGGTAGCTATATGAACAAATCATGGGGAGTGAAGAATTATTTAAAGAAGAGACCTCAGTGGAAAACACAGCCGAGGAAAACCATGGTGGTGTTGAAATAGAAAACTGATTGGTGAATGGTTTTAAATATTGTATTACACACTGATTTATTTTTACTATAACATAGTTCGCAAGTTCGTTCAAGTCAAGTATATTTTCAGAGTTTTGTATTTTTCGGTCATTTGTTAGTAAGGAGAATACAAATTTTATTATTATTATTTTTGGTAGGAAGGAGGATATACAAATTTATAGAGAGATACAACATAGCTCTCTATACTTTATCACTAATTAGCTCCCAATACATCAATTAATACGTAAGTGAGCAACACGTGTTGCAGGAGAAATTGAAGAAAATACAAACCCATTCGCACCAAAGGCGCATTGAGCGCGTGAGACTAGAATCTGTGGGTTGAGAAATAAAGAGGTACTGCAGCGCGTAGCTTACAAAGTCCCACGAATTCACGTTTACAACATATTCGCACGACCGCTTGTATATTTTTCAGACATAATTTTAAACAATTAATCATGGGATTTTCTTCCTCGCAGATTATGATCCAAATTAAAAAAAAAATGAGATTTCATATTTGCACATGACCCAGCTACTTCGCAAATGGAAAAACAATGATAAAAATTATGCAGATATATTGCTACACGAACAAACTGGAAAGTCATTACAAAGGGATCTCAAACACTACAAGTTCAGAAAGTTATTTACCCCCAAACAAAAAAGAAGAAATAGAATCAAAATTGGGAATCAGAAGTTTCTAAAGTACTCAATTGTTTCACAGGTATTGAGTCAGACTTTCACCGCTCATCTCTTCCATCTGTTTGATTATATCTTGAGCCAAAGATTTTACAGATAGCTCAGCGTCTTCGAGTAGCTCACCTAAGAATGGAATAGTCTCAGCGAGCAGCACAAGATACTCTTCTTTCAGATTATCCAGCATCTGTTTCACACTTCTCAAACTCGATATCCTTGACCGTATATTCTCACTCCTTGTCTGCATTAGCACCTGACCAAATATGTTTTTTAAGTAAGTCAGTTTAAAAACCTATGCCTTGCGAACAATAAGTCAATACCACAACTAAAGTCTTATCAAAAATATCAAAGGCATGCTTTCTAGAGATTATGTTATTACCTCGTGGTTCAGCGGTTTCCAGAGGAGGTCAGAGCCTGAGGCTACCGCCATCTGACCGATACATGAAACCAATACTTCATCAACTTCATCCACAGATGGTACATGTGGATGCTCCTTTATAGAAGATGGAGGTTCCACAACAAGCTGTGATACAATAGGCTTCAGTAGCACCTGTGGAAAGAAGACCATTTGAATCAAGTTCAATACTCCAAGAGAAAGGGAGATATGTTTGATCCAACAACAAGTAAAATTTACAGATAATAATGACCTGGAAGTTATTCGCATCTAGAAACTTTAAGCTGCCGGTATCATGCAGAAAACAATTCTTCAAGGAAGAAAGCACCAATGCCCTAAGATGCCAGCTTTTTGGTGATATAGCGTCAGATGTTTCCTGGATTTTGGCTTTCTTTTTCTTCCTAGTTGAAACAGAAGCTTCAGCACTGGTGAGGTGCGATACAATACCATCAAGCACGTATTTGAAATATGGTACAAAGATGGACCTGCAATCCAAAGTAAGAGAATTTGAAGTTAATTCCAAATTATCTAGAAGCATAAGCAAATCATACCACGTATTGGAAATATGTTCAGTCACCTGTGACTCTCACAGAGTCGATTCACCAGACCATAGAAAGATATAGCTCGGTCAATGCTCTTGTTTTCACTCACAGATCCGTCTATAATATCTGACTCTGCCCAATCAATACTCCTAATAAAGAGAGGTCTGAATTCGGACTCAGTTAGCTTCTTTGTGAGAGCAACCATTGCATTAGTTACACTTCTCTCAGCATCATCAATGTTCTGAATTGCTGCTGGATTTTGACGTCGAATATCGAGGGCAACTAAGCATTGATCAAAAATCTTCCCATGGCTGCTAACGATAGATGATCTATCCATTTTCACAACTAGATTTTCTAACATATCAAAAGCAATCACCAAGCTTGCATTCCCAGAACTAACAGCCTCATTGTATATTCGTAGAAGTGGTTGCAGAGTGAGGCGAACCTGGAAGAAGGGTTACTATTAAGTTCACTACCTACAAGCAAAAAGAAATTAGATTCATATATTCATGTAAACTTACAGGTATTTTATCAATAAGGAGCCTCCTAATGGCATTGGCTTTGGACTTGAGATTCTTGTCGAAGTCAGAAACATATTCCGGATGCAGCACCATGACTTTCAGAATATCTCCAAGATGAGGATTTAGGAAACCTCCAAGTTTATCAATCACTGCTTCCAGAGTGACTAGAACAGACAGCATAAGCAACTGTTCTTCTGCTGTTGGGTTTCCCCCACTCTTGGATGCAGATGATACTTCACTCGATTGTTTAATCAAATTCTTCATTATGCGTGGAAGTTCAACGAGCGCCTTTGGTCCAAGAACATTGATCAGTGCACCAGCTGCGCGTAGACAGCTTGACGAGACTCCCAAATTCCTTGAACTGATGCCTTCTGCAACAGATGCAAGGCACTTGCTGAAGATTCGATGACCAGAGGGAAACCTGCCAGCCAAAACTTCCAGTGTAGAAATGGCAGCTCGTTTAGCTGGAAAACTTGACTCATCATCTGTCTCATCAATTAGATGGACAATCTCCTCACACATCTTCCCAAAAGAATCAACAGCAACCTCATCCAAGTTCAACCAAGGATTTCTTCCTTTTAGATTGGGGAGCTTCCTCTTGTGTTTCAGTTTAAAAGAGGAGGTGTCCTTAGCTCTCTCACTTATAAGTCCAAGTACCTGCATATACAAATAATAGTAACATTTGCATCAAAGAAAGGCAGTAAGGCAACGAGTAAAATCCCAATAAAGAACAATTTAACTTCAAAGGATCTGTGCATTCCCAAGGGAATTCACTTGACAATGCTAGTCCCAGGCAAACAAAATGAAGAATATTTGGTAGAGATGTATTCACTTATTACAGCCGCACAATTACCATGAAAGCCTCTGTAATAAATGGCTATAACATATACCTTTTTTGTCCCGTTACGATCCAACTGCTGCTGAAGCAAGCTAGTAATAACTCTGAAATATATAGAAAGATCCATGGCTCCCGTGACAGTCATTAGGACATCATGTATACGCATTCTGATTTCATTTCTAACTGCAGAAGTCCCATCTTTCTCTTTTTTGGCATCAACAGATTGTAGGAGAGATATACAACCCTTCATAAGCTCCTGTAGTTCATCCTGACAAAATTAACCAAAAGTACTTACTAAATTGGACATTTAAGAAAGCACACAAACAGAGAACAAGGAATAGACAGAGGTTTAGTAAAAACTAAAAACAATTTGTATGACAAAGAAAAGCTGGAAGAGGCTTTTTACCTGGATGCCAACTGATGCATTATTTGTTGGCTCAAGTGACACTGCAAATGCAAATTCCGGGTCTTGCAACTTCTGGAATATAAATTCTAAGACAAGCCGCATCTGTAAGAAACATTGTTTCCTGTCTTTACTGATAGTTTGAAGAAGCATGACCAAGGATGAGAGCCATGTCGAAGAAGAATATTGTTCACATATTTCCATGGCAAAAGCATACTCCCATTCTCTCTTAACAAAGGAGGCAAAACTTTCAGAAGCCTTGGCATTACCAAGCCAAGCTGAGTCTTTCCTTGAAATCAAAGACTGGAATAAGAGGACAAGCAAAGAAGGCAAGCCATTTCGTTCACCAATAACTCTGCAGAAATGAAGGATTTACATTTAGTAAATTCAGATTAAAAAACACAAAATCATATTTAAATATTTTTACTATCTAAACATTACCCCAGCAAGTAAGCAACAATCGAACGCCTTCTATGCTCAACAATATCAGGCAACACTTTCACAAAAATCTGAAAAATCAAATTCAAAATAAAAAAGATATTAATTACCAATTGATTTAACATTTAAAGTACATTATTGAGGGGAAAAAATACCTGCAGCAACTGCTCCTCACTCTTAGTCTTAGACAGCCAAAATGGGATGACCACTGATATAAACCCCTCAAAGATAGATTTCGAGTGGCTATCAATCTACAAATCAAAATAACAAACCAGCAGTTAGGGAATATGCACTAATGAAAAAAATATCGGGGAATGTAAAGAAAGAAGATAGAGACTAACAAACCTGTGTCACAGTTGATTCACCAACAAGTGTAAGTATGCTGATAATATGATCTAAAACTCTATCAGGGACAAATTTAACAGTAGCAGTGAACAGGGAGAAGATATAATTCCGCGTGACTCCTTCATTTGATGAATGAGCCAACTCAACCAGCATTTTGACATTGATTTCATTTGCTATTTCAGCCTGCCATCAGAAGAGAATTAAGAGAAGAAAACAGGCAACAATATACTTAAATCACCTATAAAAATTTCAGCATACCTTCAAAGGATTCACATTCAGAGAATCAAAAATATCTTTCAGGATTAAGAGCACTGTCTGTTGAATGGAAGAAACAGAGGTAGGAATTGTTTCACGAACATCTTGTGGAGGTTGGACTGAGGTTTCCTCAACGGAAGGAGCAATTTTTACCCATTCTTTAGACATAGATCTTTCTAGGAGCTTAAACAAGGGTCCTATGAGGGACTCCCTAAGCAAAAATAAATAATAATAATAAACAATCAGTTGGGCAATAAAATAGTCTCAGATTACTAATCATAACAATGGGCATGCAAATATAAGCATATTGAATTTGAAGAGACCTGTGAGCTAAATCTTTCTTTAGAAGCAGTATGTCAAGTAACGAGGCAATGAAAGAAAGAGCTTTTTCCCCACTAAGAAATTCCCCGCTATTTAAGTCTTCTTCTGGACATGACTTTGAAATTTTCTTCTGTTTCTTCTTCTTGCTTAAAGAACCAATAACAAGTGTATCCTGTTGTGTGATATGATGAAGAGCATGGACCACAACTGAAGAAGGAATCTGCAGTAACATGGAAATATCACGTAATTAAAGCAAAATACAACAGGCAAAATTCTTTCGAGTAAAAATGATCAGTTCTTCAATAATTTTTTTTTGAAAACAACACACAGATAAAAAGGGCTACATAATCCATCAGAAAATACTCTGAAAACAAGGAAGGCCAGGAATAATCTATGGAATAAACTGAAAGTGACCATACCTTCAGGCGTAAGACAGCTTCTTTGGCCCCATTTTGTATACTGCCATTTGTGCTTCGAAACATAGACACCAGTTTATGGAAGAAAGAAATCTGATCCAGAAAAGACAATCAAGTTGTAAACTATCCTGATATATATGAAGAGTTTCCAGCTATAGACGAGTATTGCATTTATATTACACAATGCCATTAAGACTGACCTGAACCTCAGTCTTCAGTGCAACAAAAAATTGATTGCTTAGCTTCTCCAAAATGGTAAGACAAGGAGAAATAACAGCAGGATGTTCTGATGCCATACAATCCATCTGCAAAAGCAAACATCTGTGACTGGACCGAAAAGGTGTCCAAGGAACCAAGGAAAATATCAGATAATGAACTATTCTTACTTTCAATACGCTCAGTATATGGTCATCAAGAGTCTGCCCTTTAAACGATGCTGGACGCATCATGGAGCACTGACACAGGGAGTGAAAAGCAAAAGGGAAATTTAATTAAACTGTAGTGCAAGGCAACAGGTAAAGTTTCCTCTGACAAATATGGAGAAAAGTGAATTTACCTCCAGAAGAAGGCACAATAAATCGACCTCAGCATCTGATATTGGCTGGAAAGTTTTGTCCAGTTTAAAGTAGTACTGACTACGTTTATCTAGAAGTTGAGACAATAACTTAACATTTTCGTCATCCAGAAGCATGCTCCCCAGATTTTTTAGTAATGAAAAGACTCTTAGCTGTAGAAGGAAAAAAAGTTTTAATACTCAAAAAATAATTGCACAAACCATTAGAATGCTGAAGGAAAGGGAACCGAAACAGATAGAAGAGGTAGAGGAAACACACCTTCCCATAAGCAGGTAGTTCTAGCGAAGACTGTAAAATGACCGAAAGAATATTTTCTTTTGTGGATTGATCAAATCTGAAGTTGAAAATAAGGAAGAGATGACAGAGTATGAGAAAAGAACATTCAAGCATGGAGTAAATGGATTAATAGAATTCCAAAAAAAGGCCAAAAAAATATATCCAATTGTTTTTTCAGTCAGATGCAAGTTTTAAGGCATTTATGTATTACTGTTATCTAACATGTTTTTTGCAGTTTTAATTGTGGTGGAAACACTAAAAAGTAGTACACCAGTGTAAGTAGACAAATATTTTGAGGTAAAAGAAAACTTTATTATGATTAGATTTCGATAAACACAGATAAGTACCTTTTCTGCAGGTCAACTGGCACTGTAAGGTCATTAGGGTTTGAACTGAGCAACGATGTCAAGTAGGATGGGAGAAACTTATTGTCCGACAATATAAGTCTCTTTTGTTGCACGATCATCCCCAAAAGCTCATCAAAAGCACTACTATAGATTGGAGCACTCCCTGGTTTTAAGTTTCAGAAAGGTAATTTATAAATAATGTTAGGATAAAACATGACACCCCATACCAAAACAAAGATTACCATTTTTTTTGCTAGAGTCAACACGACACCGAAGGTTGAAGAGAGCCTCAATACAATTCATGGCAGCTACTTTAAGGTCCTACAGAGTAAAAGTACCAAGATTAAAAAGGGTTTTAAGAAAAGGAAGATACTGCAAAACAGAAACAAAAATTCAGGTGTCACCTGATTATTACTCGACAATGGAACCAAAAGTACAGGAAAGTTTGAGAAAATTTGAGTCAGCCATTCATTATTCCTGCTAGAGCAAAGATATGAAATGCATTTGAGACTTTCAATTTGGACCGCAGGAGGAACATCTGCAAGAAGAAACAAGCAGCATAAGAAAACCGAAGACGGAATAAACATAAACAGTTACCAAATACCGGATTCGATGAGCCAAATGGCACAAAACAGAAGAAAAATATTAACTAATAAAAATTCAGACATTAAGAATGCTAGGAAAGAAAAACTCATCTGAAAACAATCTCAAGTGTTTATGACACCATTGAACAACTAAGGGAAATATAAATCTCAATGCAAACCTTCTCGTGAGATCAGTGGAGACAGAAACAAAACGGGACAGACTTTGGCTTCTCTCACACGGTAATGAAGGTGTTCCTTGAAGACATGCCGTGACCGAGTTGTTGCGAAAAAGAAAAACAAGTCCTCAAGTCCGCTACACAACCTTTTGCTAAAGACCTAAATGAAGGAGAAGAAGCACATATACAGTTGTGAGCATTGCTATTGATTGGCAACAAGAATTTATATAGCCACATCTTAACCTGATCATGTTGAGAATCACCTACCGAAGCAACATGGGCGGGTTCAAGATTAATGAATGACTCGCCCAATTTCCAAAACAAGCAGATCAGAAGCTTTGAATTCAGAGCAGTAAAATCAGAGGTGTCAAGAAATTGGTACAGGAGTTCTTGGCAGTTGCTTTTCGACAACTGCAAATAATACACAAATACATTAAAAACTAACAAGATTTAAAAAAGTATCAACCATAAAATGAAAACATCAATCTACATCAGCTGGTAGAACGCTATACCTCTTTCAAAGAAATATCAACTTCAACCTCAAGTTCTTCCCAATCCGTCTTCAAAGCAGGAAAGCAAAGCTCGAAAAGATCCAAAAACTGAATAGGGTCTAAATCAAAGGAAAACACAGCCATCAACATCACATCATGAATACTTATCATATGAAACAAAGTTTTTTTTTACGATTCTTAGAAATTAAAAAAGACTTGATTATCAGCATGTATTAATGCATCAACTTTAGACAGAACTTTACCAGATGAAGAATTTAGCTTCTGCAATGAATGCATCAACAGCATATAAAACAGTGACTTTGACAAGGTGAAATCTTGGCAACTGACAGTAAGCCACGGAATATAATCACCAGGGTGCATCATAAATGCTTCCGCCAGCTTGTTAATGATATCCATGTTCAATGCGGATACACTTTCACGGATCAGTAGTCCCTTCTGATATGAGATAAGAGTTAATAAGTCCCAAAAGAACTGAAAGTGTTATTTACAAAACAAAACAGTAAAGTAATGACGAACCTGCAACTTGTTACGTTCCTGTTCTGTTAATTTGATATGGCTGCATGTTTGCAAAACTTCAGAGAGCTTATAGTTGCACGCACTCTCAATAAGCTCAATCCTCCGTTCATCATGATCCAAGGAAAGTGCTTCCCCCAAATCGTTGATAATATCCATGCTAATCGAAGATAAGGTTGTAGACATGATATCTTCAATATTTTTCTGTAACAAAGAGTTTCTTAGATGACATGATAATAATAACAATCAACAGCCAAAAAAAAAGATTTGTGATTGCGACTTGGAGTATGAAGGAAAGAAAAATCGTAAACACATATTTACCATTCCATCATCAACATCAAGATTCTTGAAAAGGGGCCAGTTAACATGCTTCCCCAGTTTTAGCACATGTAGATTTAATTTCCACGTCTATTAAAAGACATGATTCAGCAATTAACAAAAGTAATAAAGATTTTCGTCATAGCTGTATAAAATGATGAGTACAAGTAAAAACCTTCGGTTGAATTAAGAGAAATGGGAAAATTGCAGAGGTAACTTTCTCAGTAGAGTCTGCTTGATGACAGAAGCTCGAGACAGCAATTTTAAGAGACAAAGAAACAACGTCAACTGCCAGTTCAACATTATATGATACTCCTGCAACAAAATGGATGATTTCAGGTTAAACTGATTGAACATAAAATTTGCAGTCTTAAAAAGAAAAAGGAAAAAAAATCATTACATCAGATACTAAAGAAACTAGATGAAAACATTTTCCAGAGTTTTCCTTAAGGTAATAACTCATTCAGTAATTTAAAATATGCATAACATTCACGAAAAGTGGCCATAATTTAAAAAGCAACACAACTATGGCCTGAGTAGTTTAAGAGCCTACAAATAAAACAGTGTATCAGCGGTGGACAAGGAAGCAATTCTATATCACAAAAGACAGTACAACCTAAAACATGTCTAACTAATTTTATCACACTAGAATATCTGGATTACATCTGCATAGTGTCCCATCTGATCAAAGCATAACTGCTAGCAGAAAAGATATATTAGAGGATACTAAATATCAACACTCGTTAATAAAATGCTAAGAAGCCTCTAGACGACAACACTGAACAAAGTTATGAAAAGAACAGACTATATTCAATCACCTGATAGGAGGATGCCAACACATCGTTTCACCACATGCAGCAAGGCATCTAGTAGACCAGAAGTGGTTATTATATTTGGCAACTTATCAAAAGACAGGGCAGCGTGAACAACAGCCAGATCATCATCCCAAAGCTGACGCAGTATAGCATCCTGAATTGTTATAAGGTTCTGGATGGAGGGTAGAAAAGAAATTGAAGAATAGTCAGATGACAAGAAGTGCAAAGTATAGTCACAAAATGCTTGGAATGAGTACCCCACACATACCTCTGCTTTAGAGCTATCATCCTTGAGAACACCATTCAGACTAGAAAGTGCGGCACAGCGTACAGTGGCCTATGATTCATATCATGCCCTCAGTCTTGCGCAGAAGAAAACAGAAATTATCTACATAATTAAAATAAGAGTTTATAGTACCCTGGGATGGTGGAGCCGAAACCACAATTTTGAATCCACAAATGGGTGGGACATGTCAGAATTTCCATCCAGCATACAAGACAACATCTCTAGCTTTAAATCCTCTTTCTTTGACTGAGCTTCAGTACCCTGCAACAAGAATTTAATAACTCAGACGACCATATAACAAACATAAAGGAAGTTAAGTAATCGAGAGTTGGATCACAGACCTCTAGAAATTTAGGAACCGCTGCCCGTAGTTCAGCAGGATATTTATTACTTACAACAACCAGAATTTTCTTGGCCCAGCTCCCTGCAATTAGATCGCAAAAATAGCTGTTATATAAAGAGTATCTTCAAAAATGAACACCCAAAACTCAAAGGAATGAGTAATTGACATTTCACGCACCAGATGTAGAAGATGTAAAATCACTATTCTTCTGATATTGTGTTATACACAAAGAGAAAACCTTGGAGATGAAATGATCAACCAAATTGTTTACTGGAACAGCCTCAATTATTGAAGCTAAAGCTTCACAGCACTGATCATCAGATGAACTACAGACCAGATGACAAGTAAGTCATGACATGAATACTAACAAAATATAGGCATCTGCTTGGAAATAATAGAAAGTGTCAGATATACACCTGTAAAGAAGCAAAGAATCCAGTAGCACTGCCATGAATCTTTTGATGTTAAACTCTTTGGACAAGCCCAAAAGAATACCAGAAATATCTCTACACAAAATTGAAACCGTCACTGGAAAAATACTAACAATGAATACTATTAAAATGGTTTAAGAGAGAGAAAAATTCATACTCAGCTACCTTATTTCCTTCAAAAGATCCAAGGCTTTCCTTGGGATCAAGTCCACGGATTGCAGCTGTAGTTGATAAAGAAAAAAAAATAGTTCATTAAGATCAACACCAACCAGTTGTGGTAGAATCCTCAGCTAGCCATAGAAAATATGTTTCACCTCAATTTAGAAGTTTATATATTCGTGCTATTCGAAATTAAAATGCAAGAGGTTCATGATAACAGGAAGTTACTGCACCTGAACAAAATTGATCAAGGCCATAAATGACAATCGTAGGGAATGCGGGGCAGAAGATTCTTTGGCATGTTCACGAGCAATGTCGATGATGGACCTCATAAAGCGCTTGATAAGGTTAGTATTTAGGACGGCTCTGTTTGCCAACATCCCAACAACCATTAACGCTCCAGCCTAGAACCATTTAAGAATGTCACAAAAGTCACATTAACTGAATAACAAAATGAAATTAGTAAACAATATTTGGTAAAATCCACTTTACAAACCTGTTGATCTAAACACCCTTTCACACCAGATTGAAGACCAGAGTCCACAAATGGCAAAATACTCTTTACAATATCTCCATCAACAGTTGGAACTGAACCAAGCACCCCGACAACAACCGCTGTGGAGAAGCTAACGACAGGTTTTGAAGGCTGATACTTTTTAGTACGAGATGCCTACAATGTAACCATGAAATCAGATGTTCAGTTTAATATAGCCAATTAAAAACTAGTTTATGGAAGAAAACTATTTGCAGCTACTTACGTAGTCACACAAGGCCTCCAAAACTTGCAGATGACGTATACATTGTTGAACGATAACCGATCTAGGAGGTGGAGCACCTGAATTTTTAACACCATCCAGAAATTTCCACTTGGTATTTCTGTAATGCAAATGAGAACCAAGGTTTACAAATTGATTCGATAAATTGTGTGACTTTATTTGAAAATGAAAGATCCATACTTACCCAGTAGAAAGCAGTTGAACAATACGTACGAAAGCATGTGTGTCGTGGTATGGCAAAGCACATAGAACAAGCTCTTCCAAGTTGTATATATGAATCCTGCAAAATAGAGAAGATTGGGACAATCTGTTGAACGATAAAGGCAAATATAGATAGCCAATAGTAATAAGTAAACACATACTTGTATCTTCGTATCAGATACTCAAGGGTCTCCAAGGAAGCTCGAAACTGAAGATACCCCGAGAGTAAACGTAGATACGAACTGATTGATGCATCAATCCGAGCATTTTCTTCCTTACCCAGCAATTCCCTATCAATTTCTCTACTTTTATGACTAAACAAGTCATTCATGTAATTCTTAAACCTCTCATCTTTGTTTCCAAGTACTTCTAGACCTGAATTAACCACACACACAAAGAAAAAACAAAATAGCGATAAGAAATTAATTTTTCAATGAGCTTGCTCACTGGAATTACATATTTACTAGAAGAGAACAATCAAAAATTAGAACAGGCCTTTGAGTCCGAGCTCATAGATAGATTCGATATCAAAATCAGCTGCTTCTTTAGGACTGAAGAGAATCGAAGGGCGTGTGAAAGGTCTCTTCGAAGGCTCTGTATCGCCTTGTAGCACTGATTTAAGAGCCTGTAGTTGCGACACCATTGAAGAACTCATGCTTGCTATTGGGCAAAGACTGTATCTTCAGATGACAATCGAAGAAAACGTTTGAGGGTGAGCGACCGAGCGAGAGAGAGAGACAGGGAGCGGCGTAGCAGAAGAACACCAAAAACAAAAACAAAAAGACGCGGCGTTGAGGAGGTGGAAGAAGAAGAAGCGGGTTTAGGGTTTAACGATCCTTTTATTTTCTAATTGGGAAAATAGTTCTAGGGTAAAATAACATTTGAAACCCCTGAGTTTGAATGGATTTGCGTTTCAAAGCATGACCCATTTGTTTAATATTTAGGTTTACAACCCCAAGTTCTGTTTTTGGTTCAAACAACCCCATAAAACCATATCTGCATCCACTGTTATAAAACGTTGCGTTTTGGTTAAACAGAGAATCCTTGAATATAAAAGTCTGAAAACAAGTGGGAAGATGGAACTCTCTCTATTCTCGATAACTTTTGATTCATGTTATCGAGAAAAGGATATTCAAGAAACTGTTTGATAGAACTTGAATATTTATTTCAGGTTTAATCACTTGTTACATTCCATTTGTTAAGATTAACACACCCATCACTTCTAGAGTTCTACTGGAAGTTATAGCCAAGAATTTCAGTAATATTTGAAATTGTAAAAAATATTAAAAGCTCACTACAAAAACATAGAACAAAAAGAAATGTAACGGTTGACCTCTTTCGCTAGAAGTCATAAAATTAACGACACCAGCCAGCTTCAGAATTGTTATAACAAAACAGTGCTACTGCTTATGAACAAGTTACTTTTCCCTTATCATCTAAATCAACAGCTGTAACTGTTAGTCAACTTACTCTCATAGTCTCATATTTAAGCATGACTCCATTTTCCGTTTCTCCACACTTGGCAAGGCCTTAGATCACTGTAAGCAAACTCCAATCTCTCATCATTCGTCTTGAAGTAGACACCATATCTCGTGTAGTTGTAATTTATCGTATAGACTCGGCCAGACCACCAACCTTCATTGTACCAAGCATCCACATCTTCATACAATTTATATCTGTATGCCTTTGGAATCAGTGGAGGAGGAATAGGTCTTATATCTGAACCTCTTGCTTCTTCCTTCAACAACTCTCCTTCATCATCTGTTTTTAGTGTTTGATACTCCACTGTGTATCTGTTGTCCCCTAAGTAACTTATGATCTTCGCAGAGAACCATGATCCTTCGTAACCTCGTTCATCGCTTCTAACTTCCACCATCATTTCATTGTTGAAGACCTTCTCTGCTCTCTCACAAGATTTTAGCTTCTTAAGTGGAGGTCTGTAACATTCTGCCTGCATATAACAAGATATCCACAAACTGTAAGTATAACAGCATAAATGCTTAAGTTCTTAAACCAATAACAAGATCAGTCAAATACCTTGGAAGGATTACTCCATTCTCCATTGATCCAATCTTTGTGCGGCCTTAAGTTGGAACTTAGGATTGTCGGTTCTTCACCTTTTGAGGTGATAAAAACTGAATACTTGGAACCTCCTCCGAGAACTTTGGAAACACGACCGGTCCACCACCTTTTGTTGAACCAAACATCAACTTCATCCCCTGGTTCATAGCACTCAACAGGCGAAACTTGTGGAGGGGGAACTGGTCTCATGTTCTGGGATTCTACAACATCTCTCAGAGGGATCGACTCACCACCATCTCTACTAAAGTTCAGGTGTTCAACAATGTACTTATCGTCACCTAATAAACAAAGTATAAGTGCACAATACCAAGAACCCTTGTAAGCTGCTTCTTCACTTCTGACTTCCACAAGAGCTCCCTTCTCATATTGATCTCTTCTCTTGATTTTTATCTTCAGTTTAATACTTTTAGGTGTCGATTCCAAGACATTGCTCTGTAAATAAATAAAAAGCAGCATGAGTGTATTTACTATTTAGCTATAGGAATCCCAACAAATCTTCCAATTCAATTGCTTGATTACATATAGCCAGTCACTAGGCTTGATTCTAAAATTAGGAAACTTAGAATTAAGTCGCGACACCTTCAAAGTATCCGACTCCCATTCCAAATCCATAAAGTATCAATCAAAAAGCCAAAGAAAGAATGTATCTCTCGAAGCTCTAAATCTGTGTCAAAAAACTTATCCACAAATAAGCAAAATCAGACATAAAGTTTACTTTAAAACCCTAGATTCTGTTCAAACGCAGAGAAATTTTTACCTGTTGAAAAAGAGAGGGAACCCACGAACCACCTTGCCATTCACGATGCAGCCTCATATCGAGCTGATCAAACTCTATTTCTGGACGATTTTCCCCTTTAAACGCCACAATGTACCTTGAATCTCCAAGTACGGTCGTAACAGTGCCTCTAACCCAGCAACCTTCGGTGTCTCTGAAGACGTCGACCTCATCGTTAGCTTTGAACCGTCGGTTGAGCTCACGCGGCGGAGATGGGCGAAGGAGGGAGGGAATAACGTACTCCTTCATACGTGCCGAACCTCCAACAGTTAGGGCTTCGTGTTCCACCCAAACGTGCTTCTTTCTCACCGAAGGCGCGCTAACAACAGTAGCCGTAAAGTACGCCGTCGCGCCGGAAACGAGTCGTTCCACCTCAACTCGGTCGCCGCCCCGCCAAAATCGATCGCTCGCCATCAGTAATCAATTTTTGTAAACGAACGAGATAATACTGAAGAGGATGAAGTTTCTGGAAACCTTGCTTTAATAGAAGAAAATCAGAGAAGGGAAGAGTGAGAGGAGGGCTATAGTGAAAGATGAGACCGTGGCAACATGAACACGTCGGTCAAAATTGGTCAATGCCAAAAAAAAACAAATTACCAAAAAATTGGTCAATGCGAAAAAGAGGAAGACACCAAAACAACACCTCGTTTCTAATTTATATAATACAACGTCCTGCTTTTTTTTATTTTTCCTTCAGATCACAGTGCGAGGCGCTTGTGTGTTTTTTTGCTCACGTGTCAAATTAGGAGCCGTTAATCTGTGAGTAGCGTGGAGTTCAAGCCTTCGAGTAAAACCCTCACGGCTCGTTAAAAATTAAAAGGGGCCGACCAAGCCCACATCTTCTTAAAAGTTATTTTTTTGGTTCTTATGGTCATCCGAAAATGGGCCGGCCAAGCCCACATCATCCTAAAGTTATGCACCAAAAAAAAAAGTCGTGTGTTTTTCCACCTTTCCTTTTTATTTTGATATCTGAGTAGTGAGTAGTGAGTACTTTTGCCGTCTCGAAGCTGAGTATGAAGCTACGCATAATAACCGGACACTGGGTCAGTTAACAATGCCATTAACTGATCGAACCAAATGTCGTTACTCGTTAGTTAGTTATGCGTAGGTAAAAACAGATCCGTAGGCTATATACGCTAGAACATCGTGCCGTTTTGCCTTTATTTAAACATAGACAACAAAACGGTGAATCGTCTCAAATTGCGCCAAAAGTTTGGCAAATCGTACAGGGAAATGAGTTTGTACACTCGGTTTCTTCTACTCTCTTTCTCTAGTCAAAGGGTGAGGCTAAAGCGGGATGTAGAACGAGCCCAGCATCATCAGTGTGCTTGATCTTAACTTTTCTTATCCTCTTTTTCATGATAAGTGGCCATATGAGAAGGGTTCGAGCCACGCGACTCAACGGGTCTTGAAGACCATCCACTTGGTAGTGACCAAACCGCCAGTCACGGTCGACAATAGGTCTCCACTGAGGCTTGTCGAGACCATCTTTTAAACAAACACAGCCTTGGAAGTAAGATTATACAGTAAACGTTGGAAAAACTGAAAAACGTAAGGTGGGTGTTGTAACCAACCTGCGTACATAAGACCATTATTATTAACGGCTCGGTAAAATGGCCGTATTTTTCCTGCTTTGGCAGCTTTCTGGAGTTCATTCCATGCAAGAGACCGATCTTTACGAGTGACTTTTCCACTTTTAACTATCTGGAGGGCAGGAAAGAAAACACAAAAGCAATTTAAGAAGAACAGCGATCTGTTGATCTCAAGTGTAGTGGAAACCACAGTGGGTTATAATGATAAACCTTGGAAAAGAGATGGTACGACGGCCGAAGGGTTCGAGCAAGATTATGGGATCGGTCAACCGCAACAAGTCCAAATTTTGGACCATATCCATCAGCCCATTCCCAGTTGTCAGAGATAGTCCAAAATACGTAACCAAGCACAGGAACACCCTGTTGTAAAAGCCACAAACACAATGAGAGATATGCCAATACCTAGGGTTGTATGGCGGACCCCAAGCATGACCCGTTTTGAGTCTAGCCCATAACGTGTTGGATGAGTCAGGTACCAGCCATTTTTCGTAATGGTGTCAAGGCTAGCCTGTGAACCGAAATCAAGGCCGGTTTTTGAGCTTAGATTAAGCTCATAACAGGTCAGACTCAAAATGGGCGGGGCCAGCCAGTCACAAAATACTACCAAATATCAATATTTAAGAAGTTAATCACGTTTGGATGATTCAGAGAGTTACAGGGACAAAAACCTTTAGCATTGCAGCATATACGGCAAGGAGATGCTCGATCAGGTAAGGTCGTCGAATCACATCTGTTTCATCAGACACGCCATTTTCTGTGATGATGAAAGGAACTTTCAGATGTTTGTATTTCTCGTGGAACATCAACAGCACGCGGTAGAGACCATCAGGATATACCCCTCTTCCAGATTCACTGTATTCATCAGTCTCTACAAGCTTTAGTCCAGCACCACACACTACTTCCTGATTTGTCGGAGTCAGATTCCAACATACTTATTCGAGACAAAGTAATATTATTTATCCAAATTTGAGACCTAAAATCAATTGTAACTCTTAGCTCTCTTACCTGTCCGTAGTAGTTGATGCCTATGAAATCCAACTTCTCAGAAATGCTATCGATGTATGGAAACATAGTGAGGGAATTTGTAATAGTAACGGCCCCGATATCAAAGAGCCCATATGGTCGCATAAAGGAGACATGGTGTGCAACCCCTACCAAAGGTTTTTTCAAAGAACTGCAAAATAAGAGTAGGAGGCTATTAAGAAGTGCTAGTGAGAGAAATTCATATGATATATTTTTAAGAAATAAAGGAGAAAAACTAACATTTTCCCGTGGATGTAGTCATAGGCCTTTGAGTGAGCAACAGCCATCCAGTGTAAGGCTCGATGAAATACACCCATTGGTAGAGTAGATGTAGCCATCTCCAGAAAATCAGGGTTGTTACCGGGCCAAGATCCACACATATAGGTAAGCATGGTGAAGACATGGGGTTCATTAAATGTCACCCAAGAGTCTACCAAATCGAACATGGAATCCACTACAAGCCTGGCATGTTATAGAGAGATGATTAAGACCTACATAATTTCCATAAAGCTCATTGAAAGGGGCAGTCACCTGGTAAATTCCATAAAGTAATCAACTGTCTTCTCTATTTTCCAGCCACCATAATCAGCAGCCCATGGTGGCAATGAATGATGAAACAACGTTAGCATCACCTTCATTCCATTTGAACGAACTCTACCAAGTATCCATTTATAGTGTTCAAGGGCCTCGTAGTTAACCTACAAAGCACAATAATAGAAAAACAAAATGGATTGAGGCACTATATGATGGTATCACAATAGGTGAGGTGCGTTAACACTACAAGAAGCATATGTATTCAGAGACAAGCTTTATGTATCCTTGACTCACTGCTTCCTTAATTCCTTCGGTGGGCTCAACTGGCATGATCCTAGACCAATCAATTCCCATTCTAAAGACAGTAACGCCCGTATCTTTGGCTAGCTTCACTTCTTTGTCAGGATCTGACCAAAATTTAAGCCTTTCCTCCCTGAAACAAATCGAGAAAATTAAACTTTGAGGTGTACTATGCATGCATCAACTATCTTGGTGGAATTGATGTTAGAAATCTCACGCGTGGGGAGCGTTATGCCAAGCAGCTACATTTTTAACAGGTGACTTATCAGCTGAAGTCTTATCTTCTTTTCCATTTTTGTTCTTCTCCAACCCTTTGGTTATAGCTCCCACAGCAAGCTTAACTTTCTTCCTCTTAACTTTGTTATCAGCAGCGGCCTCTGCATCTGCTTCTGAGCATGGTGTTTCTTTTGCAAACTGGAGCCAAGCATCATCGAGGTCGTCCTCAGCATGAGCAGGTGCGGTAGCCAACCCAAAGAAGAATTTGCCATCCTTGTGTTCTGAAACGAACATGTTCCATCACAGATAATGATATATCAATCGGATTCAATTTCTACATAGACTGATAAAAACGTAGAGGAGATTGCTTCTGATAATTCTGAATCCAAAAATCGTTTTAACCAAAAGAGTTTCCCAGAACAGCAAGCTCGACAACATAAACGAAAAGGAAGAACACATTTGAACAGTAATAGGAATCGCAGTGGGGGAGGAGAAGATGAGAGAGCAGCTTGTTACCAATGGAATTGAAATCGGCGAGAACTTCTTTAGATTCGTCGATTGGAGAGCGAAACTTAGCGAGGCTCTGGCGACGGAAACGAGAGTAAGAGTAAGCGTTGGCTCCGACGGTGATAGAGGCCAAAAGACCGGCGACCTTAACGAGCAATGCGACTAATTCCATAATCTCGCCGACGATGGAAATTGACGACCGGAACTTTGTTTTATGAGTTCGTACCGGCGCGGAGAAAGATAAAACAAAACGGGTTTATGAAAGGAGAGCCCATTAAGGGCCCATTGAAACGGCGTGACGTGAAAGCGGTTGGGTGGTGGTGATCACTTTGCTGCTCGCTCTCTACCTTATCGTGTTCGTGTGGGTGGCTTAGCTCCAAAGTCCGTGTACGTCTCTTTGTCACTCACTTGTCAGTTTTTTTAAACTTTAAAGCTCATCTTTTCAGTAAGTAATGTTAACTAATACACTAATTAACTAATACTCGATATGGATTTTGTCTCAGTGGTATGTGTACTCTGCTGAGTGGTCCACTTAGATTTCCTTATCTTCTTCATCAGCCACATATACACAATAATTTCCTTTATTTCCCTCTACACCAATTTCCTTTTTCCTTCAAATATCCAATTTTGATTTGATTGGATAAAGTCTAGCGTATCCATTAGGAAAGTCTAGCGTATCCATTAGGATCAAATTTTGATCAGATTAGTCAATTTTGTGTTATTTATATCCAAATCATTGAAATCAATTCCAGAAATAGGAAATTCGGGAAACGAAAAAAATATACTCCTATTGATGTTACTTATACATGTTTCACTCAAGTAATAGATATACATCATTTATAATTATATTTACAGTAGTATGTATATCTGGATAGTTATTTACATAAATAAGTGTAACTAACTTATGAATGTGATTCATATGTGAGGAAACTTTAGGCAATAAGATCATGTTTTGTTTATGAGTTATGATCACATGTTGAAAACTTGAAATATGGAGCTTTCAAGGGAAAAAAAGTTATGTTTCAGGAAACTATGATCTTGGAGGTGTGAAACGCAAACACTTGTTCTTCCCTCCGCTGCTTCTACTCAGGCCACAGACACACGTCTCGAGCAGCTGATAGTCCTCTTCCCAGAACAAGAGTGATGCTTTCTCAGGTTGTTCTATGAGTTTCTTAGAAGCCAAGAAGCCTGCAATGGTCCAGGTCTGATAAAGCCTTGATTGTTTCCCCACGAATCTCCCGCTTTTTGTGTCATAATACTCAGGCCACTCATCTTCCTTGAGCCTTTTCTCTGCTACAGCAACTGCTTTCTTCGCTAATTCTAGCTTACCCATCTTGATACAAGCCAATGTAAACTACAAATCAATCCATGCATTATTAGGGTTTTAGAGTTTCGTTCAATCTGAAAACACAGCGAAATGATACATGTTTGTTTGTTTGTTTGT